AACTTGATGTGTAAGCGGCACACAATCATTTTTCAGTCTTTATTAAAAACTTTATATAAAAAGTATATTAACGATGTATCACTATATATTTAAAAACATAAATTTTATTGAGATAATACTAAGTAATATAAACACAAGTAAAATAACAATATTCAATATGCTATTGAATATGACCGGATGTTTCAAGTACATGATAATAATTTAAAAAATGTGTTGATTATTTCGTCAGACTAGTCGCGTTAAAATTACTCGCTCGAGGTGTTCTTTAAGTATTTTTTAGTTGTAAATATAAATTAAACATTAAAGTTTTATCAAAAAAGAGTATGTGTGTATATTTTTATTGTTTTTTAAAGAGTGTTACAATCTTTATCGAACAAAATTACACATTTATGAGACAAATTTTTTTACTTTTAGGACATTTTAATATTATTTTGAAACATTATATCATTTTGAAACACTTTTGTTTTTTATTGGGACAAATTACAAAGTAATGAGACAAATTTTTATTGTTTTGAAACAAAATTGAATATAGGTGCAATTTTAATTTGTTTTGAGACAAATTCAATTTATTATGAGACTTGTTTCATTTGAATCCGAACTAACTGTACTCACCTTACTTATTACTCATATAGTAAGGTGAGTAAGGTACTTGACCTATTATTTAATAGTTTTTTTATTAAGTATAAAATTTGTACGTTTAAAAATGTGTGAATTATTTTTACTATTGATAAGAAAAAATCATTAATGAATAGGTCAATTATTTTACTTATTTTACTATATATATTCAAACTATTGATTAATACAGACGTGGCACTAAGGCTTCGAACAGGACCTTGGTTTTGACTTATAATTAATATTTTCTATACCATTTTAAAAACTACAGATGTGGGACTAATGTGTCGACGAGTACCAAGGTTTCGACTTATTATTTAAATACTATTTAAATAGTAATGAACGAGTTTCTATATTTATTTTAAAAAATAGTCCAAATATAACATTTCAAATTTAGTTTTAATAGTGGTATAAATATTATTAATTATTAGTCGAAACTATAATCCTGGTCGAAACCTTAGTACCATGTCTGTAAATATGACAAGTTATATTTGGATCATTTTAAAATAATAAAAAAAACTTGTTTCTTATTATTCAAATAGTATATAAATTATAAGTCGAAACCTTGGTACTCGTCTAAACTTGGATACCAAATCTTCAGAAAAAATAATAAAATACCCCAATCTACAAAAAAACAAATAAATAAAAATATTATAAATTTACTATTGTTTTTGAACACTTCTTTTTATTTAAAAACAATTTAACGATAATGATTTGCAGACAGACATTTATTCTAGACTCATTTACAATTTTATTATTTATTAACCATATTAATTCTAATATAGTTTTAATTTCTAACTTTTATTTTACTGAAAAAAGCAAAGTCATCAATAATTGAATAAATATTATGTAGAGTCAGTCCGTAAACGTTGTACACTTTACGAATATTAGACTTGTTTTCCAAATTTTTTTGGGTATTAGGATAAAAACAAAAATAGCAGCAAAAAATAAAAACGCACTTTTGGGAAAAATAAAAAAAATCCCGAAAAATAGAATAAAAAATATGGAAAAGTCGGGTGTACAACGTTTACGGACTGACTATAGTTAGTTTTTCAACTTTATCTGGTATTTTTTAAACAATCTGAAAAATAACTTCCTTTGTTTTTGTTTTTTTTACTTTAATTTTAATTCCCGTTTCTTACACGAAATAATAGCCAATTTTGAGACTTATTTAAACGTTTTTTTAAAAATAATAATGAATTCCATAATAAAAACTAATATTACGTTAATAATGAACTAAACGGAATTTCTACTTTCCAAAAACCAAACAAACAATTAACAATAAATTTTTTCATTTTTTCATGAGTAAGTTACGGATAGTTGTGTCGTTCTTGTGTATTGTGCAGACACCGTCAATCGACTCGAGACCGACAACATACTTTGCAATTTCTGCTCCAATCCGAGCAATCTCTTCTTGGCCGAACAAATAGTCACCATTTGGCGCAACTACGCCATAAATGGATTCGGCTTTAAGTGTACCTCTCTTTCCAGTTGACACATGGACATCAAAATCAAATCCAAGTAGCTCCAGAAGATCACCAAGTGTGTGCAGAGTATCGACTAGCCTATAATTTTCGCACCTTCTGAGCGCTGTTTTGAGAGAAGACCCAGCCGCAACCTCCGAATTAAGCCTTTCACTTATTCTTCTCTCAATGAGTTCTCTGAAGAAGATAGGATCACCATAGTTTTCAAGTGTTAGTATTCTGAAGAACGGGACCGTGATCAACATCTGCTTCTTGTGAGCCGTGAATGTGACATCATAGAACATATTCAAGAGACCGATGAGAACCGCTTCTTGCTCACTCTGGTAGTTTCTAATCTCTCTGAAAGAATACACACATTTGAAAGATGGGTTCATCTCTTTCACAAGCATTGCTGCACTTTCCATTTTAGCCTTGACTCACACTTCACAGTACTTGGCCACCCTTTTTATACCTCCAGGGCATTTTCCTCTTGTTAATTTGATCGAACATGGCGGCTTTTTTATGACTCTTTATTTTCTTGCCCCAAATACCCACTCGTTTGGCTCTTCTCTATCTTGTTGCTCAAAATACGCTCTTTTTAACGACTATAGTTTAATTGTTGTTAATTAACTATTAAAGAATAAAGGTGATCTTCTCGTTTATAAAAAACTATTTATGATAGCTTTATTCTAATTTATGATTTTGTGATAATCATGCTATTTTAAGAGTAATGTTGTGGTTATTAGGGTATCGCCCGATTTATCAGGTAAATTTTACTTAATCGAGTATCTATTTTAATATATTTAGATTTTGACGTATTATTAGCAAAACAGTTTTTTGGGTTATAAAATAGAATAAAATAATATACAACTGGTAAATGAAATAGAAATCTGCCGAGATATAAAAAGTCTATATGACATAAATAGAATTCGAATTAAAATCGAATTAATTAATGAATAGTAAAGTTAAGATAATTAATAAAAAGAACAAAAACCCTTGAGTAGAAGTCATGAAAAAAGCACACATCCAAAGTCAACACCAGAAAATGAAATTCAAAGTTCGCCTCTGATCTCGATAATGAACACGCACAAATACAAATTAACAACATTTTGCAACAACAAATATTATAACAATTAATAAAAGAAATCATAAAAAAATTATTAAAAAAATAATTTAAAAAAATTCTAAAATAATACACAAATTTGAAAAATAATAAAACATTTTGAATAACATATTCAACAAACTTTGTTTTTCGATGCGACAGAAACCTAATGTGACTCTCGCACCTTCCCGCGCTGGGATATGTTGCTTAATGCATCATTTTAACACACTTTTGTTCGACTGATTTTTGACTTCTGATATTGTGAATTGCTGTGAATTAGAAGTATCAACTTTGTGGTGCTATTAAGTAGCCGCACTAAAAAGTTCTTAGATTTACATATAATGTGCTAAGTGTTAGTGCAGAGACACATTTCATGTTGTAAAAGGTAGTGGGTGTCGTTCTTGTGTCTTTAAACAAGACGACCTCTTTTGGGCGTTTTTGTGCTTTTGTTGTTGGATTTTCTCCAGAATTGTTGGACTCTCCCTGTTTATAGAACAATTGTAAACTGGTTTATTTACTAGCAAGTTGTGGTTGTCCGCACCAAAAAGTTTTTTCGTTTTTGATTTTTTGATTTTTTTGCTTCGGCTTTCTTCTTCAATTATTGTGTCTTGTGGCAAATAAAAATTTAGCAAATATTCGGGAAATAATCACAATCCAAACGCACTTTGAGTTTTAATTTATTTACTGAAACTTTTTTTTTATACCAAATGTTTTTACTATTTATTTTAATTGATTTAACCATATTTATTAGTAAAAACACTCATTTTGTTTTTCTTTTTTGTTTTTTTGAGCGTATATTTAGCGACATTTTTTTGATTTCAATGAATTACAATTGAATTATACATTATAGCAATTGTCTATTGGAAAAAAACTTTTTATGACATTTTTCTGGACTTTGTGTTATTCTTTCTGTTTGGCGAATTTAATTGGTGGCATTTACATCCACTGACAACGTCGTTGTTCAAACATATTTTATTATTGACGCAAAAACGATTTTGCTGATATTTAAATTTTATGATAGACAAATCGTCACCAAGATTACACCGCACAGCCGTGCATTCCCATACCGCCATTTTGTCCACTCTATTAATACACACATTTTCTTTTGATTCACCCAATCAAAATAGACACGGCATTGTATTATTCCATGTATTGCTTTGTTTGTTTTAAGTCTACAGATAAACAGAAGACTGTATTCCGCTGCCACAATTGCCAAATGTACCTTTTTTCAACTTATTTTCAGATTATTATTAATTTACAAGTTCGTGCGGAACTAACCAAATAACACTTTTTATTAATTAAATTATACTTATTTCATAGAAATTGTTATTTAATTATAAAAACTTTTAATGATACAATTAGAAATACATAAAAGCAAATGTTATTTTAACAAAAAAACTAAAAATAAAATTATATTTAAAAATATTTTCACAATTTTATTTTATACTATTTTAACCTTAAGATACTGTTACTGATTAAAATAAAACACAAATTTTATTTTTTTTGAACTTGATATGATATACAAAAATACTTACCTTGTGGCGGCTCTTTTGAAATGCAAACAGTAAACAAACCAATCGCGCAAACAATAATTTATAGGTTTTCCTTTTTTTCTTTAATTTTTGGAAATGTTTTAATTAAAACACGAACAATATTGGCGTTTTCATCAACAAAACATTTTTTTTCCAAAAAATGTTTTATAAAAGAAAAAAAAAAGAATCGTAAGGTTAATTCTTTATAATTAATTACAGTTTTACAAAATTAAAAGATAAAAAAAATCAATTAAATAATAATACTTAACTATTGTCATTATTATTTCAATCTATTTTTATATTCACAAGTCGAACAGACAAATGGTCATAAAGTAGTAAAATAGTTTTACATAACTTTTTAATAGTAAAAAATTTAAAATTATTAATATAATTTTTATCGTTGTTTTTATGATTAATTTTAATAAAATAATAATTAAAGATAATTATTTTTTAAATTAACAAACTATATATCTGAAATTAACTAAAACAATACCAATTTTAATAAATATTAAAATTAATTAATAAACTGCTATTAATAAATACCTGATCGAAACACAAATTAAATTTGTTGTTTTTGCATCAAAGGCAATTTTTTGGAATCTATTGTTATCCAATTTATACCATCAATCGGTTTATTGTTGTGTAAAGTTCATGTACTTTAAAGTTGTTCTCTGAATTATTTCAATACCTTAATTACTTGGTGATATATTAGACCGTATTCTTTGCATTTAAAGCTTTCTATTGTTTCTTTTTAAACAAAACTATCGGATATAGTTTAATTAACATTTATCAATACTAGATTATTCTTCTTATTCTATTTACTTTTGATAATAAGTTATTAGTTATTACATTTAAGAACAGATGGTTTATATTATCAAATAAAATTTACACACAAAAACACAAAATGGTAATATGCGTTGAGAATAGTTTGTTTAGATCCAAAGTTCAATTAAAACATTTTTAAAAATATCACACCAATTATCTTAATTTAATTTTAAATTGCCGAATAGTTTTTCTTTTTAAAATTGAAAAAGATTTATACAACTTGAAGTTTTTATTAGTGAACGTTTTAAATATCAATATTTTGACTCAAAATGCTTTGATAAAACATTGCTACAACACAGCGTAAGTAAATAAGTCAACTGAAAGATTCAATTTGTTTAATAATATCCAGGTGGTGGATACATTGGTGGATAGGCACCAGCCTGAGGTGGATATCCTCCCATTGGTGGTGGGTAAGCGCCCATTGGTGGAGGATAGGCTCCCATAGGAGGAGGATATGCACCACCCATTGGTGGTGGGTAAGCTCCCATTGGTGGTGGGTACATACCAGGAGCCATCCCTGGAGCCATACCAGGACACATTCCGGGTGCCATTCCAGGAGCACCACCTCTGTGAATAATTTGAATGTGAATTTCTCCTTTTTTATCAAGTCCAAGCCATGTGTCGATTACTTGGCCTGGGAATCCTTGGATGACTTTGTAGTGTGTCTTTCCAAGACTGTCATTCTTTCCAAGGTTGTCGTAATCGTAGCACTCAAAGCGTATATCTTCACCTACAGCAACTTGCATGTTAAAGGATCTGTTCCAATGTGGGTTACGGGTCATGTTACATGTCTGAGTCTGTTGTGTGCATTGCCTGGTAATAATCTTGCAATACGGATCAGAAGAGAGTCCACCAAAGTCTGCGCCCTTCAAGTTTTTACCTTCAATTACTTTCAATTCAATATTGAGCATTAATATTGTCAATGGATTAATTAGTTCATTTCGAGTATTTTATAGTTTGTTTTTATGAGAATTATTACCTTCGTTTTATTGAAGTATATTAAACTATTTCCAAACTATACTAAACCGATTCCTCTTTCAGATGAAAAAAGAGGGATCAAATCATTTATTAATAAAACTATTATTACTAATTATTTATTATTTATTAAATAGTTCACAATAATGATTTTTAAATAGTTTACAAATGAACTAAATATGGTGATGTTTCAATTTATTTTGTAGTTGAAAAAAACATTTCAATATTTTTCAAATAAATCACTTTAATTAGTTAAAAATAGTAATATAGTAGTATTAAACGAATTAACAATAATTTTGTCAATATTTTTTTTTTAAGTTTTTAAAAGTAAACAAACACAATGAACCAATTCAATTATAAATATATTAATAAAATATATTATATTATAACACTACAAATAAAAAACATTAAATTTAATTTTTTTCAATTAAAAGTATATTTTGAGTATTTTTAAAATAATTTAATGAAACATGATTCTATAGAAAACAAATAGAGTTTTGATAAAAGAAATTTGATATTTCAAATATTTAATACTTTAATATAGAAAAATTATATTATAAAGATTAGAAAAATTGTTTTGTTTCTATAATAATAATGAAAATTGAATTAAAATCCGCCGTATCCGCCCATACCAGCACCCATTCCTCCATAAGCTCCGCCGTATGGATTCATTCCTGGTTGTTGCATACCATATGGATTCATCCCTGGCATTCCGCCCATTGCTCCGTATGGGTTCATCCCTGGCTGTTGCATACCATAGGGGTCCATGGCGCCCATTTGTTGACCTGGCATTCCACCCATAGCACCATATTGATTCATCCCTGGCTGTTGCATGCCATATGGATTAGCACCCGCTTGTGCACCTGGGTATTGTTGAGCTGCAGCACCCGGTTGTTGTGCTTTAGCCGTTTGTGCAGCACCTTGTGGTTGCTGGGCACAAGCTCCTGCCTGCTGCGGATATCCAGGGTACGCTTGTTGCGCTCCATATTGTCCAGCAGCAGTTCCTGGTTGTTGTTGTGGATATCCTGGGTATGCCTGTTGTGCAGAAGCTCCTTGTTGTGGTTGTTGTGCCGGTTGTTGTGGGTAACCCGGATACGCTTGTTGGGGGTACGGTTGTTGTGGTTGTGTAGTTTGTTGTTGTGGATGTCCTGGATATGCTTGTTGTGTAGAAGCTCCTGGTTGTTGTTGAGCAGCTGGTTGTTGTTGCTGTGGGTAACCTGGATAAGATTGTTGTGGGTATTGTTGTTGAGCAGGTTGTTGCTGTGGTTGCGCGCCAGCAGCTGGTTTTTGTGCAGCGGCTCCTTGTTGAGCAGATTGTTGCTGTTGTTGGTACGCAGCGGCGTATGCTGCATATTGTTGTGGATCATACTGTTGCTGTGCTCCAGTCGCTGGTGTTTGTCCTGCAGCTGGCTTTTGTGATCCTGGTTGTTGTTGAGCAGCTGGTTGTTGTTGCTGTGGGTAACCTGGATAAGATTGTTGTGGGTATTGTTGTTGAGCAGCTGCTTGTGGCTGTTGAGCAGGTTGTTGCTGTGGTTGCGCGCCAGCAGCTGGTTTTTGTGCAGCGGCTCCTTGTTGAGCAGATTGTTGCTGTTGTTGGTACGCAGCGGCGTATGCTGCATATTGTTGTGGATCATACTGTTGCTGTGCTCCTGTTGGTTGTTGACTCATTTGGAAATAAAAGATCTCTATTGAAATTAAATAGATTCATCTAAGAGGGAATTGAATTTTTCAATTAAAAAATCTGCGTTATGTCTTATTATCAAAATCAATCAATAAATTACTAGAAAATGGATGGCACAAAAAGGGAGTTTTGGAGCACATGTTAAAACATTTTTGTGGGTCAAAAATGCTAATTGGTATAATCTTTAAATTGGTAAAATGTTTATAGTAGAGACTAGACAAACAATTCAATACTCCCATTTACGATTAGATTGACTAAAATATATTTGTTATTTTCAATAAACTAAAAATTTGGGGATTTGACTTTGTTCTAAAAAACTCAAAAAAACGCCTTGGTCATAAGATATCAAACCTGCAAATACAATACATCATCTTTATTTATACATAAAACTAGGAATTATTGTGATATCTTTATATTTTGAAAAATAAGCACTTAGAACTTTACAAATGAAATATTGAGATGGTGTTTATTTAAATTTAGTAAAGTGTTATATTATTATCAGTTAACTTATTGATTATGATAATGATACAGATATTAAATATTTAATAATTATTATCCAAGTATTTCATTCAAATACAGTCAAAGGCGTCTATTTGTCGTGAATCCGCAGAAAAACGTATCTATTTGTCGTAAACGAGTGAATTATGTAGAAATTTATTTTTTATAAAAAATTTAGTTTTTAATTCAACAAAAGTTACAAGTTCGAGAACAAAATATTTAATTGTTGAACACCAAACAATCGGCCGTTGTGCGACAATTAAGCAACTTCGACAATTATAATTACGACAAATAGACGCCTTTGACTGTATTTATAATTTAAAATTTATTATTTTTGAAAAATAGAAAAATAACAATGAAAGTATTTAATTAATAACTAATACAAATAATAAATAAAAAAACTTAAATATTCATTGAAAATAATATTCTTTATGAAAAAATTATTTAACAACTCAATTAAATTGAATAATGTATTTATTATAGAAGAGTAGACTGTGTTCGCCGACAATTAAAGTGTTAATAACGAATATTGATGTTATTTATCATGTTAAAGCAAAAATTAAACATAATTGTTTTTAAAACAAATTAATTATTTTGAATGATGATATATTTAAATATAAAATAAGTTTAAACAATATTCAAACTTTATTTAACTTTTTTTAAACTTGTAATTTCTAGTATTTGAAAATGTAAATTAACACTAAAAATCAAAGATAAAAGAAGATAATTTGATGAAAAATGAATCTTGTTGAAAAAATAATCATTTAAAAAAAATATTGAAATGTTGACTTTTTTAAAGATTTTCTTTATTGTATACAAATTTACAGTCTGTTTGATTGTAGTGCAATGTGTATATTAAAACTTTTTTAATATACATTAAGATTCAATTGATCATGAGATCCATATGCCACAACACATGATACCACAAAACAACCCTATTAGGGTTTGTTACCGATGCTCGAGATGAGGAACGAGTACATCGTCGAAAGATCGGGAGACAGACTACGGGCCCGAAACATATCATAAAAGATTCTGGTATAGTCGACAACACCAAAGACATCAAATAAATTTCAAAAGAAGACAAAATGGAATGAAGTTCAATAAAGGAATAATGATGAAAATGGAAAACAGAAATTGGATGAAAGAAATATTACAAGAAGCATATAAATACAGTTGCGATGAAAGACCCAAGTATAGAATAAAAAAGCGAATTGAGTGGTGTCAAAACAAATCAACAGCTCTGGAGATATTAGGTCATATCAAATGTGAATTCGAAGTGGCAATGACCAAGATTAAACATATGGATTGTGAGAAAGAGCGAACGAACACAGTGAAAGATAGTGATATGAAGGAAAGGAGACAAACAAAAATGGACTGTTGTGAATTAATGTGCTCAAAAACAAACTACTTTGAGGAAAACATGGAACTTGAAAAATCACAAACGCTTGATAAATATGAGCGTGTTAAGGATGAGAACAAAAGAGTTAAAAACAAAAATGAGTCACTGAAAAAGAACATCAATGAGATGTCGGAAGAAACAAACATAACAATAACTAGATATAAAAAGGAATTGGAAAGACTTAACACGAAAATCGGAGTAATGAACAAAGATATAAAAACAAAAGAAATGGAAATTGAAAAACTTCAACAAGAAGTGAGAAATACTTTGCACATATATACATTTAACAAAAAGGGTGTGGACACTGAAATAACAACGGTAAAAGATAATGATATAAAAGAAGCGACGGTAAAAAAGAAAAAGAAAGAAGAATATGAAGATCTGAAAAAGCCAAAACCCAACATTGAAGAAAAAGCCGAAACAAAACAGAAAATGGCCAACAAAGGAAAAGAAGTAATAACGAAAGAAGAAATAGTTGAAATTGAAGATCAATACTCAGAAGTACAAAATGACTTCTGTGAAATAATGCCAAGTGAAAAATCACAAAAAGCTGAAAAAGAAAAACAAGAAGATACAAATGAAAAGAAAAGTGTCAAGAAACCCAAATTGAGAGACGATACTGATGATGAATTTAAACGAATAGAGAAGAAATCGGTATTTAATGAAGGGAGTGATTCGAAGAAAAGAGAAAAAGAAATTATTCATGAAGACAATCCGAAAAATGGTAAAAATGGAAAGAATACAAAAATGAAAAGGTCAATGAGTTTAAATTCAAACTTAATCGTTACTAGTCATGACGATGATATTCCAAGATCAAATACCCCACCATTTGATGAGAAAGGAGAAGGTGTAACAAAAAACTTGAGAATGCGACTATAAATGAGGTAGTCGCAGATAAAATGAAAGATAATAGTAATTATGAAAGGAAAAGAAATAGGAATATATGTTGGGCAATAGGTTAGTTGGATAGACTACTACCTACAAAATTATATAAAGAGGAAATAGAAGAAATTTTCAAAATTATTTGCAATGAAGAAATTGTTATTGAAGAATACCAAAAATGTTGGGATATAGTTTTCTTATTAACAAAGAAACTAAAAAATGGTTATATGAGAAAGTCTACGATATATTAAAAGGAAAATATGAATTGAAATATCAAAAAGTGTATGATATAATTTCAAATAAGTACAATAAAGAAGATCAAGAAAGAGTAAATAAGTTAATTGAGGAAGAATTGGAAAGGGAAGGATGTCCAAAATTGAACTATTATTTCAATAGAAATATTATTAATAGTTCAATTAGATTGATAAACAACTATTTTGAAGAGAATCAAACTTCAGTGAATACATATGAAGAATATAAAAAGATGATACACTTATCGACGAGAGTATTATAAAGGAAAATTGAAGATAGTAAAGGTGTTAAAAGTGGACTTAACCATCTCAATGGTATAATCAAAATTTTAAATAAACTTGAGAATGCTTTGAAAAATAAAAATATACACAAGGTTAGAATGATATTAAATATTCCAAAATATATTATAAACGAAGAGATTATAATGAACAAAGCCAAATTAGAAATTGAAAACATCAGAGAAAAAATAAAAATGCACTCAAAAATTAAACAAATTGAATGGGAAAACAAGAAAAGGATAAAAGAAAACTATATCAAAAAACAACTGGGAAAAGCTTTAAAAAACGAGATGAAATTAAGGAATTGCCCGATGCAAAGGAAACACTTGACACTTGGAGTAAAATTTACGAAATTAAAAAGAGAGTGGATATATATGGGGGCGAACTAAAAGAAATGACAGAGACAATAAGATTAAATACTTCCAAAAAGAAAATTACCATTCAAGAAGTTACATGTGCAATAAAGAATTTTGCGAAATCGAAATCACCCGGAAAGGATGGAATTAGTGGGTTTTTAATGAAATACACAAATTCGCTTTGTATCTTTGGTAGCTATTTACAACAAATGGCTTGATTCGCCGGATACCATTCCAGAAGAAATGATGACTGGGAAAACAACATTAATCTATAAAGATGGCGACAGGAGCAACCCAACTAATTACAGACCAATAACTTGTTTGAGTATGGTGATGAAAACATTCACGAAAATACTTAAAATGAGAATAGAAGAAACACTTAGGAAAAAATAATATTAAAATGTCAATAAATAAATCACAACTTGGATGTCAGAAAAAACACAAGCTGCAAAACAAGGATTGTGGAAATCTGAAGTTTTTAGAAAACAAAAAGGCGAAAAAAGAATAGAAATATATTATGATGTTAGGAAATCTTATGACACAGTATCACACGAGTGGCTAATCAACACAATGGAAATATATAAAGTACCTCAGCAAATAGTCAATGTGGTAAGGAGAATGGTTGAATCGTGGAAAGTGGACTTAACATATGGTCTTGAATCAATAGGGACAGTCAAACTACAAAGAGGGATATTACAAGGTGACAGCCTTTCACCTTTATTATTTATAATGCAATTTGACATTATACCTAAAAAGGTTGAAGCACTTAACAAACAAAATAATGTTGAAATGATAATGTATATGGATGATATCAAAGTTAGTGGAAATAACATTGATGATATGGCTGAAGTTGACTTATTAATTAAGAAAGTTATTGAAGAAATAGGCAGTGAAATTAACAATAAAAAGTGTGGAATAATGGTTGAAGAGACAGTAAATATTCCAAAAGTGTTAGAAAACGTCCCAAAAGTTACTAAAGAACACCCATATAGATATTTGGGTGTTTATGAAGATGAAAAAATAAATAGTATAACAACCATAATTGAAATTAAAGATAAAATCAAAAATGAATTAAAACAAATGACAGAAATGAGCTCAAGGAATATAATTCAAAATATCAACCAAAAAATACTTGGAAAAATTAAATATTCTTCAAGTGTCTTGTTGTGGAAAGTTAGAGATTTGAGTGAAATAGACAAAATGATAATTAGAAGACTCAAAGAAATGAACTTTATAGGGAAAAGAGCTTCTACAGAAAGGCTTTATGTAAATTGTAAAAACCTTGGTCATGGACTTGAACGCGCTAGAGATGAGGTTCTCAAAGAGATATTCAGAAGTGTGGCCGCTGCAATCAACAGCTATGACAATGAAATAAAAAATAGGATGAAATATGATATTGATAACAAAAGTGGAATTATTAAAGAATTATATAAGATATCAAAGGGAAGTTTTGACAAAGAAAAAGTTGAGAAATGGATCGGAAGACTAGTAAATAAACTTGTCGATATTAAAGAACTATTGCAAAAAATTAAAGTAAAAATAAATGAATATCATTTAAATAAATGGAAAAAACTAAAAAATGCCGGGAACATTATAAAGATGTTAGACATTAATAATGTGGACTTGGAAATAACTGGACAAGCTTGGAGTAATCTTAACATAAAATGTGGAGTGTACAAACAAATTGTGACATGTCAAGAAAATGGATATATTATTGGTGAAAGAAAGTCGGCAATATCAGGTATAGAGTCAGATAAATACTGCAAATATTGTCAAATTGTAAACTCTGTTGACCACATTCTTCTATCTTGCAAAGCTCACAAAAAATCACAAATTGAAAGGCATGACTGTATTGTTGACGAAATGTGGAGAGCCATAATGATAAAATATGATCAAATTTATGTTGGGAATGAAGACATAGTCGAGCTTCCAGAAGGAGGGAAAGCGTGGAAAGGGAAAGAAATGATGTTTAGAATAGATGGCAAATACCCCAAAAAACCTGATATAATGTGGAAAGTTGGGAAGGAAAAAGCTTATATTATTGATATAACAATTGTGGCTAACAAAAATTTGAGCCTTGCGTTTTTTGGAAAAATCAAAAAATATATGGAACTTCGGGAAAAACTCAGAAAATGCTGGGATATAAATAACATTAAAATAGTTCCAGTCGTGATAACGACTGGTGGCCTTATAAACAAATACAGTGTACAAAAAATTAAAGAAATGGGACTGCAATTAAAATGGGAAAAAATAGTTAGGAATTTGTTATGTCAACAAATGATCGAAATTATGAAAGGATTCTATCAAGGTGACTTTAAATTTTAGTGCTATGACGTGGATATGGTCTGGAGAAAACCTTCCATAGAGCAAACAGGTTAAAAGTGAAAACTATATCAAATAATTTACTCTTTATTATTATCATTAAGATTCAATTGATCATGATGTAATTTATTTTAATTTTCATATATTACAAATTTAATTATCATTAAAACAATTTAAAATAGTTTTAAGAATATTAAATGTATAGTCGGGTGATAAAGGGGGTTAATTTGGGACAGAAGTAGTTAATTCGAGTAAAAAACTATAAAATATAATTTCTTTAACCATAAAAGTATTAGAAGGGTTTTTTCAATTAACTACTTTGAAAATAATAAAAGAAAACCATAACTTTCTATTTTTGATATTATTCAATCTTTGAAAACAATGGAAGAAGAAGAGAAAGGAACCCTTGATGAAACAACCACAGGCAATCAACATAAAAAAGCAATTCAAATACAAGAAACCAGTTTAAAAATTGTATTTCAATATATTCATGATATATATGGTTAAAATGCCAGAGTTTAATGAATTAACAACAGTGTCAATTTTTGAAAGTGTCAGGTAATCACTGAAAATCCATCATTTGTTGAAATCTTTCAATCTTTCGTTGTTGAACCATTCCCATTGAGAAAGGAAAAGAGAAAGACCATTTTAACATTAAAACAATTGGAGTTGAAGAAGAGCAGAAAAGAAACGAAACAAAGGAAAAACAAAGGAAAATCCTTTAACAAAACAAGTTTCAGACAATTCACAAAAAGTGCTGCGTTTTAGACTTCCACATTTCTCTAAGTGAACAAATTGAGGTGTTTTTGTTTATTTTTGAAATAGAAATTTATAATTTTTCAATTTATAATCATTTTAAATTAAAAAACTATAATTTAAATTAATATTTTAATTTTATGTTTATTTTGACCTTTAAATAGATTTTTTAAAAATTATAGTTTCAAAATTATATTTATCAAAATTAACTACCTTTGTCCCTTTTTTATGCTATTTATCCCCCGACTATAGTTTATTATAACAAACATACAATAATAAAATTTTAAATATATTAAATTATATTAAAATAAACATTTTATTTATTAAAAATGTTTTTACGAATCAATGTTTTTGAAAACATTGTTAAAACAACAAAAATGGCTTTAAAATATGTAAACGAACAGGAAAACAAAAAATATATAAAAAATACAAGAAATTTATAAAAAATAAATGTGTCTATTGATAACATTGATTAAAGAACTAAAATGCCATTTATTTTATTATTTAATTATTATTTAATTATCAATTAAATATCAATCGACTTACATTTATTATTAAAAATAATAATTTTATAAAAATGGTTATTATTGAGTACAAAAATACCAAAAACGTATTTAAAACACACATAATTTGATATAAATGTTAAACTCAATATACGTCATTCACTTCTTATCGATAAATGCAATTCGAATAATTCAAATCAATAAAGGCGCATTTAATAAAGCGAAAGCGGGAACTCAAAAATATAGTACTTAATATAGTACATTTATAATACATTAACTATTTTTTATTTTTTGCAAGGTCACACTATACAAAAACCCGAATGAACGCGACAAACACGTGAAAAAGAAAACCCTAATTCGCCCATTAACATCGCCTCTGGATTTGTCTCTTTTTGATAACCAAAATGATAGAAACTTCTCCAAAAGAAGCGGGAAAACACTAAAAAAAAGAGACGAATGGACGATCGTAATATCCCGCGAGGTAACGACATGGGTTTACGCCCACAAGATATGGGCAATCCGATGATGGGACAACTTGGTGATGGCCGGATGTATCCGACAATGGCACCCGTACGGTATATTGGTAACCCGCAGCCCGAGAAACTCTACGAGATGCCCAAAGAGCTTTCCTTTCCAAAAGTTGACCCTTATGCTGTCAAAGAACCAAAGCGACGACGCACCGAGCACAAACCTCGTGGTGATCATCGTGAAGAGAACCTGAAAGAGATCGCCCAGGAGATATATATCAGATGGAAGACTCGCAAATTAATCCGAGAACGAAACTACGATGATGACCGTGCCGAGAAAAAGGCCGAGAAACGGTGGCGTAAAGAGACTGCAGAAGTCACCAGACTTTTCTATAAAGCTGCCATCTTAGAAAACACAATGTTAGGTGATGACGAGACTATTGGTAAAAAGAAGAAGAAAGAGGCTAAAATTAAAGAAGATTGTCATCCCTATCTCTTATTCTGTAAAGAGCATCGCGAAGAATTAAGTTCAAAATACAATGGAAAAGAAGTGTTAACTATTCTTAGTGAGATGTGGAAGAAACTCGACCCATTGGAGAAAAATAGATATGTCGAGTCCGCAAAGAAGAACAAATTATCACACGCTCCACATCCTCAATCAACTCCTATCCAGCAAAATATTTACCCAAGAGATTATCCCATGAAAGACAATGGAATACTTCCTTACTAATGCTCTATAATTCCAATTTTAATTTTATTTATCTCTTTTCTTCATACTTGAAAACATCTATCTACATATATATGTTTGTCTAACGCATATATTTATTTATTTATTTCAGTTGTACGTTATTCTTGCGCTTCTTAATAGTATTTTATTAATAAGCAATATACTATAAATATAATTATTTTTACTAATCTTAATAATAAAATGTGATGATTTTTCAATACGAACGATAGTTAATTTTTATTAACTATCGTTTTATTCAAGTTTAGTTCCTTAAGAAAAGATAAAATTTTAAATAAATTATCTCTTTTTTTGATGAATTAATTATTGTTTTAAATAGTAATTGTATAAACAGACAGACAAACAAATTTTTGAAATTAAAAAAAGAGGTTAAATAATAAAATAGTTAAAAATTAGAAAAGAGTATTTAAATGAGATTAAATTTACTAATAAGAAATAAAAAGGTATTAGAAGTAATGGTATTATAATGAAAACTTTTATATACTTTAATGTGTTATACGTTTAACATATATATCATATTTCGATAAGGTGTGATAAAAACATAAAAACATTAACAGTTGAAAATAATGGAGGTCTTGATAAATAATTAATAAAAAGTGTTAGACAGTATATCAAATCGATAATAAACAAAAACAATTGTAGAACAAACACAAAAATTTTAGAAAGACAACACCAAAGATATAAAGAAGTTGTTGAATGTTATTTTTGCGTGCAGACTAAGATACCGAGTCTATAATACAAACGGATTGTGTTTGGTTTAACAAGCCAAACATTATATGATAAATGATTTTGTACAAAAAACACACATTATGTAAATTAGAATGAATGTTTAAAATAAGTTGATGTGTATATGTAATGTAAGTTACAAGCATTTTATAAAAAAAGATATTTAAAAATGGATTAACAACACGTATCGGCGATAGATTGTAACATGTACATCAAGATAATAACAACTTTATATCAAATAATAGTCAATTTTTAATATTGACCAGTAATAAAGTTGTGTAATCAAACACCAGAACAACAAAAAAGTGTTAAATATTTACATGTGTCATGTAAATAAAAATACATATAATTTTTATTTATTATGATGAGTGTCTCTATCTTATTATGTACTATTGAAAACATATTTTATCACCTGGTATTTAAAGTGAAAACTGTTATTATAATTATAATTTAAAAATAATAAAAGTTGATTCTTTTTTTAATAAAATGAAAAAAAATTAAAAAGAGGAATGCAACGAAAAAGCATTTTTATTGATACAAATAACAAAGTTATGAATTAATATTTGGACAAAAATGATGTTGTTGACCCGATAATTATTATCGGGTTTTAAGTGCTTGTAATCAATTGTTTGAACAACCTTAGTAATGCTGTACTATTAATTATTAATATAATTATTATAATATAATTATTATTATATATAATACAATAATCAAATACGACTTATTTACTTGGCTCTTCTCTCTTAGGTTGTTCGAATGGAAGAATCTTACCAAAAAGGAAATGTTGGACGATTGGAAACTTGTCAAGAACTTCAGCGTGGTATTTAGTAAACATCCCCTTATTGATCTTTTCCCAGCTTTCAGCCGCAGAAATGTTGAATAAGTCTGGGGAAGACTCGAAGAAAGGGGCTCTATTTTTGACTTTATAGATATAAGCAATGCAGTCAAAATAGAAATCGTTGTTTTGGTATAAGTTGACAAGACTCTTGTCTAATATAGAGTCTGGCTTGAGGAATGGATGTTTAATGAGTTGAGCAGAGCCGAAGAGGAAAGGCAGGAATTGGTAATCATCAATTCCCCAGACCCCATGACTTCCAGCAGGCTCTAATCGATAGACTTGTTGCAACTTTCTACAAAGATACAAATACTTTCGGAACACGACGAGAATGACGGCGGGGTATTCCTCTTCTTTGATCACACCGATTGTCACAAATAAGACGATCCAACAGAAAAAGTGTAACTCGTGTCCACTACCATAGTCGATACGTACTGGTGACCCAAACGCATCCATCAAATAGCCGTGGAACTCCGGAATTAATGAATGGAATTCCTCAGGTAACAATGCTTTATGCAAAGTCTCTAAACTGTATTTTTCTATGCGCTGATGCCAAGTACGGAAGGAAATGTTGCCATATCTACTCTTCTCCAAATTGACGGGGGGAATTTCGTCGATGAAGACACTCAACCGTCCAAGTTGGTTAACCATCTCAGTAATGTGCTTGTAGTGAGTCAATTTACTGTTCAAAATAATATCACTTCTAAGTTAAAAAGTCCGTGTTATAACAAACCGGCGTGATCTTTATCTTGGGCGAGTCAAACTCCATTTTTTTAATACTGTCATTTAAAATATGAAGAGTCTGGAAAAGTCTGTTATAAGCAATAGACGACTCCCAAAAGGGAAGGTCAGAAGGAAGCTTAATTCTTTTTATTGGGACAGTGTCTTGGACAGTTTCTGGAACGACGGTTTGAGGTGTTGGTTCCATTGAATTCAATTTCTAATTAATAGTTTAATAAAGTTTTTTACCCTCATCTTTATTATTCATTTTAATTGCCAGTTAAAAAAATTTGTTAAAATACAATTTTTTCCTTAAAAATGTCTGGAATTGAAATTGTTAACAATTCATAATGACAAATAGTAAATTGTAATTATAATTAATTAAATAAATTGGAATGAAGTGATATAACTAAATTCAGTTAATATAATTGTAGTAAAATATGATAATGTTAAAATTTATTATATAAATAGTAAATTATTCGATAAACAAAACTTAAATATAATTGTTAAAACATTTTAAAAAAAATTAAAAATGAGAAAAAGATCTTGAAAATGAAAATATGAAAAACGATTTATTTTGTTTAGAAAATTCTGTAAAAAAACATTGATGTTAACATCATTCAACAATACAAAATCTTTTATATTTAAACCATTTTTTTCTTGTAAAAAGTAAATGCATCAAACAAAACAAAACTCAAAATAATATAACATAATGGAAAAACCAAAACCAGCCGATCAATTAAGTAAAAACAAAACACAATTGACCGATCCAGAAACACTACGTAACAGAAAGCGAATGTCACGAAATGGGGAGAGTGTGGTGACCAACAGCGTTCTATACGTTTTGGTTAATAAGGTAAATGCCCAGATTAGTTTCAGAAAGACGAAAAAAACAAAACAAACAATCAAAATGCTTCTTCCCGAAAATGTTGTGATTGATAACGTCGTCTATGACCAAAACTCCATAGCAAAACTTAACGAGAAGTTTTTGGATGAAGTGATGTCTGAAAAGGCATTGAGTGTCGAAGGGATGAATGACAAACAGTACACGCGCACACGAGAAGCCCAAATATGCAACGGACTTCTCTATCTTTTGCGAGCATCTGGCTTCACCTTTTCAGTCAAACAAACCAAGAAAGCGAAACTTACAGAGAAGCTTGTCAAAATTTCATCAATAACAATGCCAAATGGCAATATTTTAACAATGGAAAAGTTAACCGAAATTGGTACGGCCTTTCAACAAGCAGTCGACGACCGATTTGGCAGAGACCAGACAGTTGTCATCACCAACAGTGTCTTAAAAAAATACAATATCCCGCCACTCGATACCCCAAACATACCTACCGGTGATTCCCTTTTGATGCAAGTGATCAGTCCGGACAAGGAATTTGACAAACCAAAAAGGTCATGGACCAATCCCTTTACTATTTCGGCTGATGATGAGAACAACTTTTTTCAAATGAAAAGTGAATAACCCATTGTACTTACTCCATTTTTTCGCCTCTTCCATTCTGTCGTTCCATCAACACAATCACGCTTTTTTTGTCGGCTTGAAAAATTATTGTTCTTTTAATCGTTATATTCTTCTAGTTTTTATTGCATTAAAACAGTGTTTTATAAAACACCAAATTTTGCTTAATAGTTTAATTAATAAGAATCATTCATTTTCACAATTCCCCATTGAATGGGGTGCAATAATCAAAAAAGTAAAAACAAAAATTCAAAAAGTTATAAAATTATTTAGCAAAACGAGATTGAGGAGTTGGTGGAATGAAAGAATATTACGGGGTCTCGAAAACACGAAAATTCAGAGCTCGGGGTTGCTTGTGTTGGAATGGGACTTGCACCTTGAACATTTACATATATTGTTGCACACAAGACAACACCACTGTGACGCACAGTCGCGCTTAAGACACCTCTCGCAGAACTTATGCTGCTTGTTGACTGGGCACTTGAAATGCAATTGCTTTCTTTATTTTACAACTATGACACGTGAATACCTCCTTTGGTTTTTCTGATCCAGCAACGAGTACTGGAGGTTTTGGTGCTTTTGAATCGCTTTGAATGGTATGTTGGGGCTTCCAGACCTCTGGTGTTCCTGTGAATCCGTAATCTTCTGAACCTTCTTCTTGTGCATCGGTTTGTGCTGTTTGAAAAATGACAACATCGTCTTTGTCTTCTTTTTCAACCTTTTCTCCTAATTTTTGAGGAAACGGAGAAATGTTTTTCTGGGCTTTTCCTTCGATTGTTTCGTTGATGACAAAGGAAAGCCCACGACTCAAAAAGTCCCTTACAGTGATCTTGTCAAACTGTTGTGGGATTTCGGTGAACTGGAGAAGCATCCCATTTCTGTGCATTTCGTTTGTCACTTCCTGCACTAGTTGTTCTACCGTCGAGTCCGCCGGTATCGAAATTTCGACGGAGTTCACATCCATTACATTTTGAGTTTTATGGAGTTCCCAAACCAAACGATTTTTTCATTTGTCGAATTTTTTCAATTTTTGATTTGTTGAACCAAATGGTGTGTTTTTACAAGTCAAAAACGTCCCATCATCGAAAATATAAAAACTTTAATATTTTAATTTGAATTCTTTCAAAACAAAAGTTGTAAATTTAAATTCGCAAAAATCATCCAACTATTTCCATGTTCTGAGAAACTGTTGAAGTCGTGAGAGCTGTTTTTCTTGTTTTTTCATCACGTTGTAATCGCTGAATACACCCATCACTGCGGCGACTGCGACGTTCTTGAAAAGTTCGGTTGAGACGCCAACAAAGAAGTTTGATGGCGTTGATGGGATTTGGCACAAGTGCAATGATCTAATCATTGCGACCTCGAACGGATAAGACACAAGCGTGCCCACCAAGCTTGTTGTTGTGAATCTGACAACGTTGGATTTGCCCTTCAAGTATTTTGACACCAGTGCATCTGTACATACAAAAGTGCTGTTTCTCGCTATATTCCAGAACAAAGGAGTGACTGAAAAGTAGAGAGGTTTTGGTATGATGTAATTTACGTCTTTTGCTTGGACCACAGAGAATGGGTTAGTCTCAGCGAGGAGTTGTGCCCGCGTGAATGGAAACATCAAAGACGTTGCAAGAGCGTTTTGTGCCAATTTCTTATATAAAGAAATCTCTTCTTTGTCTGCGCATCGTGTTTTTGTGTTTACAAGTGTTGATGATATTTGATGAGAAAGAGTTTGAGGAATAGCGTTGACCAGTGATAAAGTTAGTGAAGAGTATAAACAGTTATGCTTTGACATATATTTTAAATTGGAACAAGTTGATTTCCCGTTCATTATAGTCGCGTGGACAGCTGAATCCAAAGGAACCGTGAAAGGCTTTTCCATCAGAAACTGGACAAAAGTCCCTATTAGTGTGTTCATCACTTCCATTGTGTTTTTTCAGTTCAATGACTTGTCAAAAGAATTAATAATAATAATTAAATAGTATTAATTACTATTGTTTATCAACTCATTATAATACTTGTTTTTATTATATAGAATGGTAAAATAGGTTCGATGTTTTTATATAACATTTTAAAATAAATTGTTGTTCAGTGGTGGTTTGAAGTTGTTTTACTAAACTTGAATATCACATGAGAACAAATTGAAATAAGATATTTACACCAAAAAATAATACACATTTGTTCATGTGATATTGTGAATTAATTTCTATTTATTGAACTTTTATTTTTAGGGTGAAGAACAATGCGATACAATTTTGCTTCCCAAAAGTAGTTGAATGAACTTAGAATACCAGAGGTGATGGAGAGCGACAAGACACCATCAGAGAAAATGGAAATAAAAAAACCAAAGCCAATAAAAGCGCGAAGCAAACAAACAAAAAGGAAATACACCCGCCCATTAGTGGGGATGGAAGACGGTGCCATCGAACAAAACATCTTGACTGACTTGGCGAATATGAAACTCGTTGTCGATGGTAAAGGTGTTTTTGGGTGTACGGAGGATCACGCGCGTGTGCTTAAGAGCCACGCGATATTTGGACTCAATGCTGTGATGCGAGCAATTGAAAAGGACTTAATCAAGTATGTCGTCATTGTCAGTTATAGAAAGGCGAATGAAGGGATAGAAGCGTTAAGAAACATCCTCACGATGTGTACGACAACACGACGTATCAAAGTCTATTCAGCAATAGAAGAGCCGGAGATGGTGAAAAACTTATTTGGTCTTAAGTGTGCGCCGGGTGTCATTGGCTTTAAAAAGTCGATAAAAAGTGTGAAAGGATTAAAAAACTTTTTTGATTGATTAAGACTTCAACTGAATTAATTAACACATAACTTGTAGAAACACTTTTTTACTTTTCACAACACTTCTCCAATAACAAAAGAGGGTTCGTCGAAATGACAAAGTCTGGTGTTACATATGAAGTTGAGTCATCATCCCATTGGACTAACAAAAACATTTGATTCTCAACAACCGTCTGAGAAAGTATTTTTATCACTTTGAGACCACGTTGCGTTCGATACATTTGTGTGTTTGAAATTTCTGATATCACATCACGAGGACATAACGTCGGAGAAAGCGTCACCCACCGATTTTCACTGGGAAGTAATCCACAAAATTTGACTAAAAAACTGGGGCGACCATTGTCATCACGGCGCTTCAAGAGCTGTTCAGGCAATATGACGTTCATAGTTGAGGAAATCACTTTATTATATATTATAGTTCTTTTCTTAATATTTTATTATATAGTTATTATATCAATTAAATTTTAATTATTTTTATTAATTTGTTTATCAATAATTTTGATACAATATATTACTAATTAATTTTATTATGTATAAATAAAAAAAATAAAAAAACAAAAAATCCGGGGCATTACTAGCATTTTATTACCATATTTTACTATACCAAATTGTTATAGATAAACTAATATATAATAGTTAATAAGATAAAAATAGTAAAACGTGCAAGAAGTAAATTCATACCACCAAAAATCAAGATGGTGAAACTCAAAATAATAAAAGAAACTACAAAATCATACTATAATATGTTGTTACTATTCCTTGTCGTTACAGCGCTCGCAGCACCAAAACCAAACAAAGAAGCCAAAGCGCAAAAGAAGGCAGTTACACAATACAAAAAGACGGTAACAGATGTTTTGAACCAAGTGAAGATGCCTCGAGTACAGTCAACTAGCAACTTTAACATGTATCCAAGACAGTATGGACCACTTTCAGATTCGATGTACTCGCCATTATCCAATCCCGTCTACAACTCGGTTTATGGAAATCCGTATTCATACTCTTCAATGTTCAGACCAAGTTTCAATGCATACAACCCTTACTCATTTTATGGTAACAAGTTAGGCATGTATGGAGGTATGGACATCCCATTGGGACAAAATACACAATACGGGAGACATCATATCTTCCCCGGGATGAAATATGGTATGTTCCCTAATGGATACCCACTTGGGTATAACTACGCGTCTTATGGATTCCACCCGAGATATTCGAGATATTCCCAATTCGTTAATTATGACCCATTGAACAACCCATATCATAACTGATCAATTAACGTCTTTGTTTCATTATTCTTGTGTTATGGAATAGGATTGAATACTATAAACTTAATAATCAAAGCTCTTTCTTACGCATCTCCTCGTCATGCATTCTCTCATGCTCTTCTGGTGTTGGAGCATTTTCATCTTCACGAACGGGCTCTTCTTCTTCTATTTCAGTCTTGTTTGTGTCTTCTGGCTCAATTGGGAATGTATTCTTCTTCTCTGGAATAACCCCATCTTCAAACATGTCTAACACTTCTTCCATCTTGTCTGTCAATTCAAAGGAATCTTCATAATTGAATGTAGGTCGCTCACCAGAAACATCATATTTGGCACCATTGTAATGGAAAAAGAGGATCTTGGGATAATCCTTTTGAACCTCTTCGGAGGGCCCAAAGTATTCTTTCCAGACATTATCTGTGTCATCAGCTACTACTACCACAAACTGTTTGGTTCGTTTCATATACGAATCATCTTGATTGAAACTGAGAACGTGTCGAATGGCTCCATCTATCGTCGTCGATTTGAGAAAAATCACCATAAGAGGCATCTCTCGTCGTCGAGCCTCTTCTAACCCATTCTCCCAATCCCGTACGCGTAAACCTTGATAATCTAAACCACCCCATATCCCCGATCGTGACAACGCTAATACTAGTAATGAAAGAAACAACAACATCTTGACTCCTCTTTTACAGTTCTTCATAACAAAAATATTCACAACAGAAAAATAAAAGGGTCTTTGTTCTGACTCTAAATTGCATGGTTGTTCTTATATTATTTAATAACTATAAAAGAGCACTTGAAATATAGTATAGTATTGATATGGTATATTTAAATTATATAAATATTATAATTAAAAATGTTTTTCGTTCAAGAAAAAAATGGATTGATTGAGAAAAAACATTAAATTTTTTATTGATGTGAACAATTTGTGTATTTTGAAGTATAATAATACACAACATAAAAATTTAATTCTTTATAAAAATAATTCAAAACTAAAAAACGAGAGATTGAAAACATGACGGATTTTTCAGAGAAAGATTTCATTAATATGGCCGAAAGACGACTCACTTTCTCGCGACTTGGGTATAACGTGAAAGACAAAAACGAAAAGATGGTCGAGCAGTTTTTAGTGATTGGAAGTGTCACAGAAGGGAAAGCCAATGTGATTTACAAATACCCGAATAATGAGTTAGATACTCTCGACTACCCGACACTATGTAACTGTTGTTTCCCAAAAGGATGTAAAATAACAAAAAGAATAGCAAAAACCGCAGATGAATTGCAACAGATAAAAAACGATGCAGAAAATAGTCACAAAAATGTTGCAAACTTTTTCACTTTGTTTTTAGCGAGTCAGAAAAGTTATTTGAAGCGTTTTGCTCTCTGTTTTCGGATAAAAGTTCTTACCCAACAAACTCCGCACAATTCAATCAATTCAAAAGAATCTTTTGAGTATATGGAAAATGAATTTATTTCAATGATAATAACAGTAAGCAATCAATACGAACTATTAGTTTCTTTTTTAGAATCTTTATTAAGTCTACCCGAATCAAAGCAATTGTATGTTACCACTCCCAACAAACAAAGTATTCTAACTCTTGAAAACGATATGAATATTATCTTTAATTTACCATTCAATTACACTAAAGAAGTGCATTTATCTTGGTCCGCAGATACTTTATTGAACAACTCGAACATTCCGCTCTCTCGTTGTTTATTCCTTCGAATCGTTTCATTACCTCAATTCGTCGAAATGCTCTCCGCGTTGTTCCTCCAACGAAAAGTCTTCATCAAGAGTGCAAATCGCTGTTTAGTCAGTGGCGCACTTTCATTCTTAACTGAGTGTATGAGTCCATTCGAATACACTTCCCCTGTTATTAGTGTGTTGTCAGAGTCAATTTATGATTTAATGGATTCCCCAACTCCACTCTTGATAGGTTGTTATGATCTTCCACCAGAAATCCCAAGAGATTCTTGTCTCTATGATTTAGACACTCAATTCTCCCAGTTATTTACAGACAAGATCACTTTACTACCAAACAGTGATTTAATACTCGAATCCCTCGCTCTGCTTAGACCCCTCTTGAAGTCTCCAAAACACAGCACATTAGAGTGTATGAAAATTCACACAGATATCATAAAAAGTTCTTTAAATGTAATTCACTCACAACTCTCACAACTGGTCGCCAACTTCGACGACTTCATCGAAACTCGACATCTCGATAAGTATGGTAAAGTTTCTTTATTTGACTCCAATTCATTCGTTGAAACATGTGACGAAGATGCCAAACCCTTCATGAAAGAGTTTACCCAGACTCTAATATTCAATTCCTTCATCGATAATTACATCGACAATATCGATGGTTTCCACTGATTGACTTTTATATTTGTTTTGAGTGTTTTTTCACTCCAATTATACATATAATAATATAATATATATATTTAGAGTCAATATAATGTGCTCATGTTAAATAGCAATGATCGTGTTAATAAAATGAATAACAAGAAACACATTAGAATGGATTATAGAAGCCATAGGGATTATTAGAGGGAGGATATGCGCTATTAGACATTGGATAAGAGGTGTACATTGGTCTTGAATCCATAACGGATTGGGGTTGATAGACGGGCATAGGAGGTGGTGGTGGCATTTGTTGTTGATAAGTTGGGTATATTGGTTGTTGTTGATAAGATGGTTCAATGTATGAAGGTTGACACATAGGAGGAGGTGGCAATGGTTGAGCTATTGTGTATTGTTGTGGCTGGCAATAGCTTTGTTGTTGTATTGTATTTGGACCAAAAATGATTTGAATGTGTAACTCGCCTTTTGGATTGAGGCTTAACCACGTGTCAACGACTTGTCCACATTGCCCGGGCTGTACAATATAAGTGGTCGAACCCAAAAAGTCGTTTGATTTGAAAGTGTCGTAGTCCCATACATCAAATTTGATCCGCGACCCAAAGGGAACGTTTGTGTAATGAAAGGACTTTCCCCAGTATGGGTTCTTAGAGTAATTCACGACATGTGTTTGTTGGATTGAGCCGTTGAAATCGACTTTGACAAATGGGTCGCTCGAAAGACCGAAAAAGTCACCTCCTTTAAGTTGTCTTGCTTCTATGACTTTCAGTTCCAAATTCTGCATTTTGTATTTCAAAGTTCGTTTGTTAGCTTTTTAAGGAAAGAGAATCATGAAGTTTAACGATGAAGTATATGAAAAAAGTAGTTTACTTAAACTAAATGGATAATATAGTTTGTGGAAGGAATATATGTTTTGAATAAGTTAGAATAACATTTAATAAATAATGAAAAGTTTTAATTTAAAACAAAAACACTACAAAGTATAGTTTATATAAACTGTTAACAAACTTATATTATAATTAAAAATAAAATTAGAAGTGAAAATCAATAGTTAATTAAAAAAATTCAAAAGACTTTACTTGAAGTAAAAGAGATATATTTCCTCAATATTTAAAGTGAATGAAAATAGGGAGATGGCTTCTAATGAGTAACTATACATAACAATTCACAAATAACAAACTCTGAATACTTAACATCTCTTTTGTAATATTTCGTAACACAATTTTCACACTCTTTTGAAACAAAGAAATAGTCTGCACGCATCCCACTCAACTTTTTTATATCGACATAAGGAAAGAACGTGTAAAATGCCACTTTATGTGGATATAGAGATACAAAAGGGTCTATGAGGTTTGCACACTCTAAGATATCACTTGTGCCCTTTCTCTCTTCTTTGGTGAACCCACAACACCGCAACCACTCTTTAGGTTTGGCTAAGTCAGACCACCGTAACACAACATTCATATCACCACACCAAATCACTTTTTTAGATAAAGAAAGACGATGGATGTGTGACTTTAAATCGACATCCCACTCTTTGGCTCGCTTCTCCAAATTCTCTAACTTCCTCCCACTGTTTTGGACGTAAGTGTTCACCAAATAAAAATTGTCAAACTCGACGGTGATGATTCTTCCGTCGTTGTGTGTCTTTTCGTTGAGTGTATAAGTTACGTTTATTGGCTTTATTTTACTGAGCACGGCTGTACCCGAATACCCCTTTTTGTTGGTTGAGTAATTGTAATAGTGATGTTTGTACTCAGGCATTTCAACTCTATTTTTGTGTTGTAACTTTGTCTCTTGCAAACAAACGATATCAGCCTTTTCAGTGTTTATAAAGTCAATCAACCCCTTCTTAATACTTGCATTAATGCCATTTACATTGTAACTCATTATTTTGTACTCGTTTTCTTTCTTTTCTGGGTCGTTGCCTTTAAATTCGTCTTTGTATTTTGTATAGTTATGTGTTGTCCAGTATGCATCATTGTCCTTCTCTTTATCAAAGAGCTTATCCTCCAATATGCTCTTCCGTGTTGTCTTGAGAGTAGATTGACACACACATACTCTTCTCTTCATCTTTATAATTGAGGAATTAGTTTATTAAAAACTAAAAACAATTGTAGTTTCATTCATTATTTTCATATAAATATAAAAATATAAATTATATCCACTTGATAAATTGCATATGTTATAACCAAATAATCAAATTTATAAAACATTTGTTTAAAAACGTCGACTGGCATGTTATTTTGAATCTTTTTATTCCCAATGAATTCAAACATCCCACTTTTGAGTCGGTTAATCTCTGAAAATTTCCATTAAAACAAATGCAATAAAAATATCGTAGGTGAAAAACTCAAAAGCCACAATTTTGCCACAAAAAGGCGGAGAAAGAACTAGGGTTTCCTTTCGCTGCGATGTCTCTTATGTCTTCCGTTTTAGTATCCGAGTGGGACGAGAAGTGTGTTTCAACCAGTGTTCCACTCTGTGAAGAAGTCACAACAAGTGCTTTCGAGCGTTCAGTCTTAAGGACTTCTCAGTTGTTTCTTTCTGCCTCAGTGACTCCAGTCAATGCAATTTCAACACAACTCCCCTTTATAACAACTTGTAAAGGTTTTCCTGTTATTTCTATAGAGACTTTTGAACAGCAGATATCCAAAGAAGGGGTTGTTATAGATTGTCGCTTTCCTTACGAATACGAGGCTGGACATGTTTCTCATTCATTGAATTTGTGGAATGAAAACAGTCTGATTCGATGGGCTCACAAAGTTACAAGTCAAAGTCCTGTGTTTTTGTATTGCGAATTTTCTGGGACGCGAGCACCAAATTTGGCTCGTTGTTTACAGCGAGTAAACAAACAGATGTTTTCCGAGCTGTATTTAATTCAAGGTGGATTTTGTGACCTTTACAGCAAAGCCTCTTCGTGTGTTAATGGTTTTTATTTGTCGATGACTGCTCCCTCGCACTTCCAGGAGTTCATAACGTTCTCCAAGATGTGCGTCGACTATAAAAAAAGAAGAAACTTTGGTGCTCTTTCTTTTGCATGATCTTCAAATTGTTTTAAAATGATTGTTCTAATATATTATTATTATATTATAATAATATATCATTGTAATATATAGATTATATTATTCTATAATAATAGTATTAATATATATTTTAAAATGTATTAAATTATAATATATTATAATTTATATATTAAAAAATACTAAAGAAGAGAAATTAAATAAACTAAAAAGGTTATTATTATCAAATGAGTTGGGAAGAAGGTGATTTGGAATATGCCCGGAATCTAAGCGACAAACTTAATCTTCTTCTAAGTAGTTTGGGAGAGCTTCCTCAAAGGTTCATAGAGAATGTGAGAGTTGTCCAGGACGACTTTATGAGAGAGTTTACCACCACAACACAAATAGTCGTCAACCTTTGCTCAAAGATTTTACTTTCCGACTTTCCACGACGGAGCGATACAGTGAGTGAAAAGACTGACAAACACTCGCGAAAACAAAGCGAATCTTCTGAGACTGAAGCGCACAAGTTTCATCAATCGGAAAGAAATAAAAAGGATTTAGAAATTAAAGAATTGAAGAGTGCACAAGAGTCGATATGGGTAGCTCTTCAGTGTAGTAATAAGAGTTACACGGAGTTACTTTTCAATTACGATGAAATGAAAGAAACAGTCGAAAGTCAAAATGCGGTTATAAGTTACTGTGAGAAGGTGATAGGGAAGAACGAGGAATATCGGAGAGTGCAAAAGTCTGTTGAAGAGAAGAGTGTGAAGGCGTTGGTGAAACGGAATGTCTTCGGTAACGTTTTGACTCTTTTTGAGATATCAAAAATAGAGGAATGGACGCATACAACTCACTTTGAGCTTATTTATAAACGTGACAAGAACATTTCCAGTACAATTAAAGTGCCCAAAAACACGGGCGTCCTTTGCTTGGTGCGAAATCAGCACAACTCGATTTTTGGATTTTTCACACAAAGTGACATTGTCCCAACAGAGAAGTGGCAATTGCCAAATAATTGCGACTTCTGCTTTTCACTGCGGTCACTCTTTTCCAAAAGTCCTACCCTCCTCTTGTCGAAAAAGGATGGAAAGATAGAGCAATCGACAAGCTCAGATTTGATATCGCCAATTCTTATTGAAATGACCAGTTCTGTTGGTGTCGAGTTTTTGTATGTAAATGTGTTGCTGTGAGATGTTTTCGGGCTTTTGTGTGTTCAATTAATTTACTATTTTGGTCACTTTTGTTCCGTTCAAAGAACATGCTCTTGGTCACTTGTAACACCTCCATATTTGTCACGTTTGCTCACTAAAAGCAATTCTTGTTATCCAGATTTTCCTCAACACACAACGTTAACTTGACCTCAAAATCCGTATTACCCTTTGAGAAGGCCATTATAAAGAAACAAGTTGAAAAAACGGAATTGCACCAGTAAAAACAAAGGATGGGGCAAAGGTGCGACGATTTCATTTTTGGCTGAAAATAAGGTGAGATAAAAGTAATATGCACTTAAAACTTGTTTTATTATTAATTTAAATATTTTCAGTTTCTTTCCTGTGTTTTCAGTCTCTATGGGAGTAATTTTTTATAATGAAGATACTTTGATTTTACTGGCGAAACTGATAATAAGGAAAATAACGAAATAAAAAAAACAAGTAAAAGTAAATATGGTATTATGACCTTTTTACATAAAAGGATATATTACCCTTTTTAAACTCCGCTCACTCTAAAAGCAATTTCATCAACAAGAATTTGATTAAAAATGATATAACTTTTAAACTTTTCATTTAAAATAGTTCACCATTTTTAACTAAACTTGGTTGTAATTGTAAGGTGACGTGAATTTATTATTTACTTATTGATGCAAAGGCTGTTAATAAATATAAAAAAATACCATTTTTTAAACACATTATTCATTGTTGGAAAATGATTTTATTGATTTGAAGACTGATGATTCTTCAGTGAAGAGCATAGTTTCTTGGAGTTAATAGGAACTGGGAGTAATTGTTTGTATTATTATAATACTTATTTCATAACAAAAAGTCGACATCAAAATCTGGTTTGAACTATTGTATTTTTACATGTTTAAAGTCTTACTTCTTGTAAGAATAATAATTGATAATAAATTTTAAAATGTAGTGGCGCAACATCTTAGTTTGGAAGTAAAAAACAACTATGTGTGTTTTTTAACCAACAATGTAGACATACAAAATACAAGGAGTTACCCTCCAAACAACTTTTAACAAAAATTCAAACAACTAAATATATTTCAAAAATGTGCTTTATAATTTCGGACTTGTATTTTTGAAATAGATGGGGGTTAATCGTAATCAGTTATGAAACTTTTATGTAATCAGAAGTGGATATAGTCTTAAGTTTAATTTAACAAAATGAATGGTTCACAGCTGTTTAATTATATTAAATATATACTGATTACTGAAATTCAAAGAATAATTTTGTCTAATTGGCAGCATTTTTACTCTGTTAAGCGTGTTTAAAAGAACTTTTCAGGACTTAGCCCGACTATTTTCCCATTCAATGATCTAGGCACAAAAAGACAAATTCAGCAACTTTATATTTTAAAAATGTATGATTTGAAAAGAAAACAAAAATAAATAATTAAATGAAAAAACTATTTCAATTAGGTGGTACTTTTAGTCAAGTACAATCTTCATATTACCCTCATTTTTATCTAAATATATAATCTTTACCTTCAATAACATTTTTGTTTGGTTTTAAAACTATAATATTATGATTCTTTAAAGTATACAAACTTTTTTTTGAAAGGCAAAAGGCAAAGTTTGATCATCATTATAATGATAATGCTGTTATGATTCTCATAACAGCATTATTATTGGTATTTTAATTATTGAGAAAGCACATTTGGCGTTTTTAACACTTTGATTTGCAAATAATCAAAAACGAGAAAAAAATAACGGAAACGCCGAGGAATGGGCATTGGATCAAAAAGATCGTATCAATTACAATGTTTATTCTTTTTAAAAAAAATTCCAATATTTGGGGTAATTTTGCTATTACAAGTTCTGAGGAAAGAATTTACGAAGTCACGATTTGTTAGCAAAAAATTCTCTACAAATCCAGGCGATACCGCGTTAATTTAATACCATGAATTTTAAAAAGAAATAAATAAAATGGATAAGGAAGGTCAAAGAAACTAGATGGTGAACAGAGTTTTTATTCCGATTATTTTAGGAGTAAGTGTGATATTTTCTTGTACAAAATAACGGGATAAGAAAAGAATGGGCAACTTTTATCGGATATACCATTTCACTTCCCAATCAGACAAAGAGAATCTAAAAATACATTGATTCATTCAAAATAAAAAAAAGAGTTGGTTTGGAAATAGATTTCGTATTAATAACATTAATACATTTTACTATAACAACGTAGTAAAACAATACATTAAAATGGGATAAATCCGACTAAAAATACAGACAGTCTCAAATCAAAAAAGAAAGGAAAAAGATTTGGGGTAATTTATCAATTTAAAATTAGACGAGTATGCGTACAGTTGCGGACGGTATAAAAAGCGAACTAAAAACCATAAGACCACCACATGTCCCTTTCAGCATTCACAACAGTCCCAACAGAGAACTACACTATCATCTACTCTGCAACTTCATCACAGTCACTCGAAGATTCCTCCGAACGAACCGCCCCACTTAATAAACAATGGAATGATGAAATCACTATCTACCTCATGTTGACGTACAAAAAGTGGCAGTTGTACGATCGAAAGAAAATTGCGTTGAACGTCTTCTTCAAGAATACAACCCAAACTTTGATCGATGTCTTTCACCTCTACAAATCACCAACACAAATCAGAGACAAAGTCAACAACACCAAAAGCTCGTTCTCACTTGTAGTCAAGAAAATGAAAACAGATAATGCTCACTGGGTGAATGACAAATGCGCGTCGATCAGTAAAGACGTCTTTAACTTCATGAGAGAATACTTCTCGGAAGATACGTTCTTCGACGTTGATATGATCGATCGACAAATCGACGCAATCAGGGATAAATACTCACGACATTTTTCCCTCTCGAATCAACTCAAATCAGCAATACTAAAAATAAAGTCTCATTAACTCCATCTTTTGTAAATCATTCTTTTATTGCCTTTTGGTCAAGTTTGACTCACCTCTTTTTCATTCAAGTTTTTACTACAAAATGTTCATTTTCATATTATACTTATTTAACTCTTCTGATGCAATCTGAACTTGGTTATACTATTCATATTTTGCCCGCTTAATTAAAACAAAAGGCACCATTTTTGCTTTGCCATATATAGTTGATGAGCGGAGTTTATTTAGCAGTTCATCATAAATATACCTTTCGAAATCGTAAGCGTTTTTCGTTTTAGGGTTTCTTTATTGAAAAAAAATGTGTTGTTTCTTATGAATAAAATCGGGAAAATGAATAAAAAACTTTTTTAATTTTTGGGTGCATTTTATGTGCGCAACTATTTTGGGAGCATTTTTGATATAGTTCCCTTTTAAGTTCTTTCTTTACAAATTATATTTTTTATAGTAAAGAAGACATATTATGTTTGAGATGGAAAAAAAATTGCGGTTAACAAATCTACAGCTTGTTTATAGTTGTCAACAGAAATCAACAAAGAAGTTTAAGTTGGACAGAGCTTTTACACTTATCATTTGAATGTCATTTATACATTTTCAATTTAGTTCGATAATTATTACCATGATAAAATGTATCCAAGATTTTTATAATTATTTTAAAGTCTTTGTGAATTTAACACAGTTCAAAACGATGTCAATTTGTTAACAACTGTTTTTCAAATAAGATATATGAATGTAATTAATACTTACTAAGATTATCATTGTACAAATCATTTAAACTGTCATCAAATAAAACTGAATTAAAATTGGAAATAAATTCAAAAATAATAATCAACTTGATTCTGTAAAATAATGATTTAAATAATTAAACAATAAAAATAAAACAATACCAGATAAGATTAAAAATAGATTGTTGCAAATCATTAAGATTTGTTTTTTTTAATAAAAAACAAATAAAAAAATAAACAAAAAAATTTAGTTATTTGACACATTTTATTGACAAAAAATATCCCAAAACCACAATTTTTATTCAAAATTATTTCATATTAAAGTGACTTCCCAAGGTGTGCAAGTTAGTTTAAAGGTGTGCAAGTTAAGGTATAGTTCATTTATAATTTTTTTATTAAAAAAATAGAATCATTAATTTTTTGAAATTTTGAAAAAAAAGATTATTTTTAGTTTAATTATTAATTATAATTTCGAAGTTATTACTAAATTATACTTTAACTTGCACACCTTGTGACGTTGCAATTTTTAACTTTCACACTTCGAATACAATTAATTAAGCAACAATTTCGGGAAAGCGACCCAATGGAAATTATCGAAGGACCAGTTCTGGACAACAGTGCACATCGATTTGTAACAATGAACTGCACCTATTAAACAGACTATTTGTTATTGTATGCTATAAAATGGCACAGAGAAAAACATAATGTTTATTACACTTTCTTCTTGTCGCTTTGAATTACGCTAACACAAGAGACATCGACACTTATTCACGTCTTGAAACAAAACAGTTTTTACATTAAACACATAGACAAACCATTACCCAATTTTTATAATTTAATTTGCTTTTTGTAGTTTATTAATTCAAGCACCAAAGGGTTGTGTGTTTTTTGAAACAATTTGGAAACGAATAACATTTTCAATAAAATGTTTTTCAATTAAAATTTAGTCTTGCACGCCCTTTCCCTGTAAAAAAGACTAAAAATTTTAACTTGCACACCTTGGGGAAGTCACTTTACTTATGTTTAATAAAAATAATACATTTTATAAGACTTGAAGATTCTAATTTAAAAAGGTTAAACCAAATTATTTTTAATAAACTATACTATTTTAATACAAAAAGTTAACCAAAAGTTTGAGTTAAAAGTGTTATAATTATTCTTCGAGTACGTTGACTGGGTAGCAAGCAACGATATCAGTCATTTTTGGAATCTTCATAAGGACTTGTCCCTTAGTAATAGGAGCCTTAATAGCTTCATGAGCATGGATTTGTGCCATGACTTCCATAATCTTTGATCTTGGGACTGGCTTAGTTAATTTGCATGGGACTCTATCCAACACTCCACCAGCAACTGGCATAGAAGTTGAGAAGACTCTGAATGGCTCAATATGTTCTTGTCTGACATAAGCATCACCTCTTGGGCATGAGTTTCCTTTAACGGAAGTGATTTGATTGGTCTTAGTGTCGATCTTGACTTCAATTGGGCAACCTCTTGGGCACACAATGCAGTTCATGTGTTTGACCAACTCGCCTTCAGTCTGTGCGGCAACAACCTCATGTGGATGTGCCTCAACATACAAAGTGACTTGTTCGCCAGATTTGCAAGCGTGAGCATCGACCCAAACATGACCCATTTCAGCTGGAAGAGCGTGTTCAATCTCACTTTTTCCTACCTCGACATCACCAACTTTAGCAGTGACTGTCGCGCTTCCAAAGTCCTCCTTAAATCTGAATGAAAGTTTTTGCTTTTGTTCAACAACACAGACTCTATCTGGAACACAGTAGAGTAACTCCTTGGCTGGAATAACTTTCAATGTCTCCTTCTCGCCTCCAATGGACAAAGCAGCAGCTTCACCAGCAATAGCTCCTTCATTAGAAGCTTCATCAGCAAGATCATGGACATGCAATTGATTGCCAGCAGCGTAAATTCCCTTTTCGACACATCTGAAACCATCGACCAATGGTCCACGAGTTCTTGGATTCAATCCAACGTTGTGTCCAGCTTGAACAGTCAAGTCTGGTTGTGGAATAAGACCAACTGAAAGCAACAAGCAGTCGCATTCAACGTCAAATTCAGAGCCTGGAATTGGTGTAAATCTGGCATCGACTTTAGTCATAGTGACTGAGGTCAAGTGTGGGGCTCCATTGATTCTATTCACCACAGTAGAAAGTGTGATTGGGATACCAAAGTCATTGCAGCACTGGACGACGTTTCTCTGAAGACCACAGATCTTTGGGCAGATTTCATAGACACCAAGTACTTTAGCGCCTTCAAGTGTCATTCTTCTTGCCATGATAAGTCCAATATCACCAGAACCTTGAATCACGACTCTCTTGCCTGGAAGAATCCCTTTGTAGTTCACTAAGGCTTGTGCAAGACCAGCTGTTAAGACACCAGCACATCTTGTACCAGCAATCTTAATACCAAATCTGCTTCTTTCTCTGCACCCAACAGTGAAGATGCACTTCTTGGCATGAATCTGGACGGGGGAAGTACCATAGACTACAGCCTTAATAAGATACTCATCATTGGTATTCTCAACATCAGTGACATATGTGTTGACTAAACAGACGGCTCCAGCAGCTTTGGCTTCTTCACCGAGTCTATAGGCATACTCTGGGCCGGAAAGTTCTTCTCCGTATCTTCCAAGACCAAATCCAGAGTGAATGCATTGCAACAAGACACCACCGACTCTGTCCATTCTTTCAATAACTGCTACTTTAAGACTCTTGTTTGTGTCAAGTGCAGCTTTAGCAGCAGCAAGACCAGAAGGTCCTCCACCAACTACTACAATATCAAATTCCTTTCTTTCACAAGCAACATCATTGGTCGGCTTAGCAACATGTGGCTTTGGTACTGATTCCCAAGCAGGATACTCATTGTCACCACATACTTGTTTCTCTTCCTTTCCAATAGCATACGGCGCAATTTCAGAGCCACAGATGCTCTTGGAAACAGAAGTCATTGGGATCCCAAGTCTCTTTGAGAGAATCTCCATGACACGTGGAGTGCAGTAAGACCCTTGGCATCTCCCCATACCAGCTCTAGTTCTCAATTTAACAGCATCAATAGTTCTTGCTCCTTCATCAACAGCAGCATTGACATCACCTTCAGTGACTTGTTCACAGACACAGACGATCTTAGAATAAGCAGCGTCTTTAGCGGCGGCTTCAGCTCTTTCAGCGTCGTTCATATTTCTGAATTTAGTAGAGAGTGGGACGTATTTGAATTCAGTGTTATTCTCAAGCTTAAGTTCTGGGTGGTTCTTCTTGACAGACTCTTCAAAGATCCCCTTAATGTACTCGGCAATGGCTGGAGATGCAGTCAACCCTGGGGATTGGACACCGACGGCTTCGATGAAGCCTGGGAACTTCTCATTCTCTCTAATAATGAAATCGTTGTTATTCTCAACAATAGCTGGTCTGAGTCCAGCAAATGCGGAGATGACGTCCATGTTATTAATAGTTGGAACTAATTGTTTTGCCAAATCAAAGATCTTGTTCATAGCAGCGCCAGTAGTAGAAGTCTCAGTGTACGAGTCTTGGTTGTCTGCATTTGGACCGACCATGACTGTGCCATCGACTGTTGGGATAATCAAAGTACCTTTGGTGACACCAGTTGGGCATGGGAAGATCACACTCTTCACTATTCCTTTCAACTTCTTGTCGAGTAAATACTCCTCACCCTTTCTTGCAGTGATATGGAAGTCGGCTTGGTACAACATGTTGGAGACATCGGAAGCAAAGACACCAGATGAGTTGATGACAACTTTAGCAATGAAAGTCTTTCCATTGGCAGCAGTGACTTCATAACCAGCATCAATCTTCTTAATAGCAGATACAGCTGTGGATGTGTAGACATGAACACCATTGGCTTTAGCAGTTAAAGCAGCAGCAATTGTCATTTCATATGGATCGACTACAGCAGTAGTTGGGCACCAGATAGCAGCTTTAATGTTTTCGCCAAGGTTTGGTTCTTCCTTATGAACTCTTTCATAGTCCCAAAGTTCAACTGGCACGTTTTTAGTCTTAGCAATGTCCATGTACTTGTTCAAATGAGGCACTTCTTCCTCAGACTTGGCTACCATCAACTCACCGCAGTTGGTCATACCAAAGTTGAGCTTCTCGTGCAACTCGTGAATGAGAGTGTTACCTCTGACTACAAGTCTTCCCTTAAGAGTTTCTAAAGTGGTATCAATACCACAGTGGCAAATACCAGAGTTGGCAGAAGTAGCTCCAGTGGAGACATCTCTTGCTTTCTCAAGCAAAGCAACCTTGAGGTTCTTGTACTTGGAGAATTCCAATGCAGCAAAGGCACCAACGCACCCCGCTCCAATAATTACGACATCATATGTTGACATTACTTCGACTTGAATGGAGACATCAGTTCAGTGTCATCTTTATATGCATATGACATGTGGCAAGAATCTTCGATTTCTTTTTTTGGTAGAATTATTTGCTTTTTCTTAATTCGTCGTTTTTTATTAACTGTTTGACTTCTCCAATGGTTTCATTTCTAGTTGTTATACTATTGTTGATTAACTCAAAAAAACCAAACTTTGGAGATTTGCATTTCAGGGTTTTCATAAGTTGTAAAGAGCGTTGAAAAAGGTTGCACCTTCCTTGTAAGTCTGGCGGTTTCGAATTTATAGCGGAATATGTTTTGGAATAAATGCGATTTTCATAATGGATTTTTTGCTGGTTTATTTCCGTTATATTTTTTTTCTAAACGTTGTTTTGGAATTCAACTCTTTTTCAACGATTTTTTGGAACGTTCGTACTTTCTATTTTTGTTTCTTTTTTTTTTGTACTATATATTATAACATTAGCATTTATTTAATAATGAATTGTATTAATAATAATATTATTAATAAATATTTACTATAAATGTATGAATTCCGGCATGTAATGGCGGGGATATAAAACCATAAAACAAGAAGTCGTAACAAAAATAATTTAATTAACATTTATAGTTTCTTTTTATTATTTAATTGATTATTTTGAAGATAATTGTATTGTGTGTTGATCATAGTAATAACTTGGAGTATGAATATAAAAATGTCTATAATCGACCCACTAGAAGTCCATAGTTAGTGTATTGTAATGTGATAAATTCATTTTTTATTAAAAACAGATAAAAATGAAATGTTTTAGAACCTTGCTTTCATTTGTTGAACAACACGTCTTGGTTTGTTTTCTCTTGGGTCCTTCTGAATGTGGTTGTTGTGTTCTGGATGTTTTGGACCAAATGGAAAAGGTGCAGGGACACGAGAGTCCATTGATCCTTCAAAAGGAGCAGTTGAGTTGTCATCATGTGGATGGTGTGGTGGGAAGTGTGGGACTTCTGAACCAAATGGCACATCTGAACCGTCTTTTGGTGGGAAAGGTGGTGGGATGGTTGAGTCACAAGACTCACTTCCATCTTCACAAGGCACGTGTGGCGGATGTGGGAAGTGAGGACCGTGGTTGTGGTCATCATGTGGGAACTCGGGTGGTGCTATTGAACCTTCTGGGACTTGTGAGTCTTCAATTGGCTTCTCATGTCTTCCTCTGAACGCAAGTGCAGAGCAAATGAGTGCTACAAAGAGTATTTGTTTCATCTGATATTATGGTTGATTTTCAATTGTCTTATATAGGTGTCCTTTGCGTCAAAGTTGCTGTTTTTGATAGAAAGGTATTTCGCATTGAAATAGAAATCCTACCATCTTTCCTACCAACAACAGAAGAAGACTCTTTTATGGTTTTTGATCATTTTAATATTAATTTAAGTACTATTTAACTATAGTTTTCAATAATATTTTTTTAAAAAATGAAATATAAACTTTAATTTATAGTTTAACAATGATAATCAATTAGCATAAAAAAAGACAACAGACAGACTCTACAGATTCACATTTTTTTTCAAATTTTTATTTTATTGAACTTCTCAATTATAAAAATTATAAGCTAATAAACAACTAATTGTAAAACAACCAAAAAAAAATAATAAATTTATTTTTATTATTTTGAATTATACATTAATAGTTAATACATTAGAAATTAATAATTGATCTTTAATACTTTTTTTTAATAAGAACTCAACTCATAAACTAGTGGAAGTGATGATTATCTCTGTATTCCGAAGAGTCATTTTCTCGTGGCGACAATCTTTCCAAAAATCTGATCCACTTTATATTATTAACAGAACAATTATCTTTACTTACTTTTTTTATTTTGAATTGATACAATAAACAACATAGAATTACATCCCCAATCACCAACATCTTGGTGGTGCTTCTTTGAACTTCTGAAGTCTTTGACACCCCACAAAGCACATAAAACCGAACTCGGTGATGTCTGAAATTCCACTCAATACATATAAACTCGAACACTCTTTAAACGCATGCGCTCCAACATTCAGCACTTTTCCTTTTATATCCAACCCATTGAGGTCAGTGCATCGAAAGAAACAACAATTTCCTATTGTCAAGTTCTCCGAAGGTGCAGACACACTCTTCAGATGGTCGCACCAGTAAAACACACTTTGTCTCAGTCGTTGTGTTGTTTTAGGCAATACCACTCTCTCCAAATTGCGACAAAAAGCAAAAGCCTCATCTCCGACTTCCTCGACGGACTGTGGGAAGTCCAATGATTTGAGTCCACAACACCCATAAAACATTCCGTCTGGTATTTTGTTGAGAAGCACATTGAAATTCACGTTTTTGAGTGTCGTGCACTGTGCGAAGCAGTACCTTCCTATGTCAGAGGTGTTATATGGAATTTCAATTGAAGTCAATGAACAACAAAAATTGAACGCTTTTTCCCCAATCGTTCTTAACGACTGCGGCAAAGTCATCTTGAAAGTTTCCCGCAAAAAGAAAATGCCGTTTTACCAATAGAAATGAGAGTGTCTGGCAAGACCACCTCTTGGAGCTCTCGACAATTCATAAAAGCGGATTCGGAAATGTTCAAAATGCCTTCTGGGAGGGTAAGTGAGGTGATGTAGTTGCATTCACAGAAACACTTCAGAGCCACGGAACGGACTCTTTCACATTTAGGGATGTCAACACCATAGAGACGTACATCCGTATTGGTGTATTCCACATTCATATATTCTATATTCTCGACTTTATTATAAGTCTCTTGGTAAGTCACTGAATACCACACTTTGTATTGAAATTTATGAGGGATCAATGTACTACTCCTCGAGTAGACGTGTTGCGTTTCGAGTTTTTTAAATAAGAAAGTTTCTTCAATTGGGTTATAGTGAAATCTTGTGAAGAGTATCGTGTGCTTCTTTGAAGTCAACATTGCATTTATGTAATCACTTGGTGAATTGAAATACTTGGAAACAATCATTAGAGAGTATGTGTCCAGTGTAGTTTTCTTCATTGATGTGCAACGCATTGGGTTTTAAGTTGGTGTGCACTCTTATAATTATTGAGCAATATTTGACTCTTAAAACGAGGTTAATAGACTTTTCTACCGTTGTTTATTCATTGATGTTCTTCATACAAAATATTAGCTGTGTAATTTATTTCTCTTGTTATTTTTACACACTTGAAATCTGGGAAGTACTACAGTGTTTCCCCGATTAAATGTAACAAAAAGAGCTGCAATAGAAACAATACACAAAGTTCATTCGACTATTAAAAATTGGTACCAAAAAGGTATTTTTGCTAGCTCTCGTTTTTTTCACATCTTTTTGTTTTTTTTTGTACAATTGTACTTGGGATTGTGTATTTTCTTTTCATTTTTTTAAAATTGAAAAGTAATTCGGCAGAAAAACTCTAAAAAAACAAATAAAAAATGTTAGTAAAATATTAAAAACTTTTTAAACTTATAGCCGGTTTTTTTTGGTAAAATAAATTGACAAATTATTTTTGATTGTCATAAATTAACAGACTTAAAAGTGTCAGAAAACGTCCATTATGAAACTTATTATAATTTATTTGTGATTTTGTTATTTAATAAAAATATTAAAAATAATATTTCATTTTCATGTACTTTTGGACGAATTATTCTAATCTTTTTTAATTGTTATTTTTGTGTTTTTCGATGATTATAATGATTGTAATTTTGGGAAGATCAGATGCAGATTTTTCTTTTCAAGATATTAAAAGACAGTCAAATGTAATTTAATTTAATTAAATCATTGTAGTACAAATAAGAAGGAATTAATTAAAAAATACTTTTTCGATAATTACTATTTTTATTGGTATTTTTATTAATAAATAATGATATTTTTACTACCTGGATAAATTGAATTTTTGCCAGTCTATATTTAAAAATACGACTTTTATATTCATAATAATATTTATAATTTTATGTTTATAGTTACCTTTTATTATACTTTTGTTAATGACTTATTAATAACAATAAAGTAAAATTTTAATACATTATAATTGCATAAAACAATGAGTAAAATATTTAATAATATTTAATAAAAAGAACAAATACAAAAAGACTGAAGATTCACAATGAAAGAAGAAAACGTAAAAATTGATTGCTTACTCTCCATATGACTAACCCCTACAAACACAGTACTAATCATTTCACGTTCTATAGATGCAAAAACAAGACTGAATGTTCTGAAGCCACAACAGACCACTGTCCATTTCCATTTGCACAGTCGATAGCTACAAATGGGTTTTCCGATTGATACTCCATGATTGTATTTGACTTTTCTGGGTTCCATAGAAGTGCGCCTTCATTTGTGGCTATTGCTATATGTGGCAGTTCCCAACAAATATCATTAATTTCGCCTTTAGTTTTGAACGTCGTCTCTTTCTTCTTGTCCATTCTTAGATCGACTATGTTCACAGAATTCTCGTTCGCAACAGCAACTTTATTGGGGTCTTGAGTGTTCGTTGCAATGAATGGCATATCTGCAGTATATATCTTACTCCCTTTCGAACTCCTCGTATCGACCACATGTACCCCCTCGTTAGTTGCAACGACAAAACAATTCTCCTCTTCAAAAATCGCTTTCGCGTCGCTGACCACCTCAAAGTGTTGCTCCGACACCTCCGCTGTTTTCTCGCCGATCTCCCACACTACAACGTCTCCATTCAAATGCCACGAAATCGCTTTTTTGCTCTTCGAGAGGAACGGTTCAATGCCAAGCGCGGGTTGTTTTGTGAATGATTGTTCGATCGAGAACCCATCAATTACTGTCAAATTTCTATCGGCCTCATCAACATAACACACCGATAGCCCATCACCCGCGCATATGAGTGAGTCCAATGAAAACCACTTTGGAAGAAAATGAACGTCAGTCAATGGAAACGGCGACTTTTTTAAGGCTTGGGGATCGGCCAATATCAAAGTATTCAACTCGGAAGAGTATTGAAGTAAGTGAAGGTGATTTGTTAATTTGTCTGAGTTTGTTACGTATGTTGCGCGCAACCGATTAGCGTCTGATTTGTCCATAGAAAGTGTTACGATGGAACTCTCCTCGGGGTGGATAAGCTCGTTTTGAAGAGGTAACATTAATGAAGCATTACAAGATCAGCGAAAATACTCTTGGCATTCAACTCGTTTGGAAATGTATATTTATACTTATTATATACTTATTGTTTAGTTATTACTAGTTTATTAGTCATGCAAAGACATGTGGTAACTTAGTGGTAATAAAGGTGTACTGTTTCGTATCATTTCTTCCTTATGAAAATGAGTCACTCAAAACCATCTCAACGTCTTTTCTTGTCTTAAAAATAAAGGAAGTTGTTATCAGAGGATAAACCAGTTGAAATCCACGAGGTTTTTTGTGCCAATAATTAAAAAATAGTATCGGGATCTGAGTTATGGAAAAATAGAAAAAGACAAATTTTATGGATTCTGGTTTGAGATGAACAATGAAATAAAAAAAAAGAAATTGAACCGATTTTAAGCTGGTGATTGTTACAAGAACAGGAATTCAAAACAAACAGAAGTAAAAAAAAAGAAAAAATGTGTCAGGGAATTAAAATACTATTTTTGGTCTTTTCAACTCTCAAATGGAATATTGCCAACTTGCATCAATGACTAAATAAGAAAGATATTTAACGGACTTTTTTTCGCTGATAATTCTTAAAACGTTGAAATATATCGAAGTAAAAAAGACTTTTGAGTAGTTTCATATTATAAAATTAATAAAAAAACTTGTGTTTTATAATATAACATTTGAAATTATAAAAAGTAGTATTTATAATAATAATATTATAGTCGGGTGATAAAGGGGGTTAATTTGGGACAGAAGTAGTTAATTTGAATAAAAAACTATAAAATATAATTTCTTTAACCATAAAAGTATTAGAAGGGTTTTTTCAATTAACTACTTCGAAAATAATAAAAGAAAACCATAACTTTCTATTTTTGAAATTATTCAATCTTTGAAAACAATGGAAGAAGAAGAGAAAGGAACCCTCGATGAAACAATTACAGGCAATCAACACAAAAAAGCAATTCAAATGCAAGAAACTGGTTTAAAAACTGTATTTCAATATATTCATGATGTATATGGTTAAAATGCCAGAGTTTAATGAATTAACTACAATGAGAAGACAAATATATTTTTGTTTTCGAAAAATGTTCATATTTAACCAGTTTATTTGTACAAATGGAAATCAACTTTTCAATTTTTTGAACTCAGTTGACTGTATTGAAAAAGAAGCAGTTGTTGTTACCTTCAACAACAATGAAAGAGGAATCAAACAGGCTGATTTGGCAACGATATTCTGCATATCTTCACCAAGAATTACAATTATTATACAAAAAGAGGACTGTATATTCCACGATGTTGAATTCACACACTCAACACGCATGAACAGAGATAGAGATAAAGTAGTTTTGGATATGATAAATCATAGATTGTCTCGAAATATTGCAGTGACAACAGAAACTCTCCATACTTTTTTCAATACGGTTCTTTCAGTCGAAGTCAGCAAAGACATGATTAGAAAGTGGACTGCAAGACACAATTTGATAAAAGTGAAGTGTATACCCATGGAAGAAAAACGAATTAAAGTGGATGGTCGAGATCTAGTTTCTTATTATAAAAAACTTTCAAATGCAATCAAAAATGTTCATTCTGAATTAATTATTAACATGGATGAAAGTGGATATTCCAGAAGAGCAGATGAACGAGGTTATAGGTGTTTTATGCCGAGTAATTACAAGGGAAAAGTCGTTAATTCTTATCTTGATCAAAGTGATGACTCTTCAACTTTGATTGCAGCAATAAGTGCATGTGGTGATGTGTTAAAACCTGGATTGGTGTTGACTACAAAGACGATACCATATCAATTCCTTGATATGGGGTTTACACCACAGAATGTTTTATTTATGTATTCAGAAAGTGGGTTTATAACAAGAGATTTATGTGAATACTGGTTTATAAATGTGTTTGTCAAATACATCACAGAAAAGAGAAACTGTATTGTCGAGCGCCTCAAAGAATTGAAACGTCAAATACCAGACAAATTACCAGCAGTTTTAATATGGGATAACTGCTCTTCTCATGTTTCTGATGCAATTCTGAAAAATTGTATTGAACTGAATGTAACTATTGTCAACTTGGTTCCTCATTCGTCACATTTAACTCAGATGCTTGATGTTGGAGTGTTTGGAAGGATGAAAAGAAGAATAGTACAACAACGCGCAATGAATGGAAGAATTGAAGCATTGTTTTTGCAAGAAAAAAATAATGTGAAAGAACAAGTTTGTTAAGTGTCGAAATCTTGTATTGTGAAGTAACACTTAGATAGCTGGGAAGTCAGTTTTTGAATACCATATTGACGAAAAATACAAGAAAAAGATTAAAGATGCCTTTTTTCTAATCGATTCGTATTTTGCATCTGCTACTTATTGCTACAATGTATTGGCTTTTAATCTATGTGGAATTGAATCATTTTGGTGTAATGATTATTCAACTTGTCGTGTCAATCCTTTAAAGTGTCATGGAATCACTGAAAATCCATCATTTGTTGAAATCTTTCAATCTTTCGTTGTTGAACCATTCCCATTGAGAAAGGAAAAGAGAAAGACCATTTTAACACCAAAACAATTGGAGTTGAAGAAGAGCAGAAATGAAATGAAACAAAAAGAAAAACAAAGGAAAAAACCTTTAACAAAACAAGTTTCAGACAAACCACAAAAAGTGCTGCGTTTTAGACTTTTACGTTTCTCTAAGTGAACAAATTGAAGCGTTTTTGTTTATTTTTGAAATAGAAATTTATAATTATTCAATTTATAATCATTTAAAATTAAAAAACTATAATTTAAATTAATATTTTAATTTTATGTTTATTTTGACCTTTAAATAGATTTATTAAAAATTATAGTTTCGAAATTATATTTTTCAAAATTAACTACCTTTGTCCCTTTTTAATGCTATTTATCCCCCGACTATACATAATTAAAAAACTATAATGAAACCAAATAAAATTACTATTGTAAATATAAAAAAGTAAAAAATTCAACTTCAAATGGCTTTTATAAAAATTAAAATAATTTTGTATCATTAACACACAAAACAATTGTTAAAAATATAGCATTTTTTACTACCAAAAAAATGTTAAAAATATCAATAAATTTTAAAAAACAAAATTCATTCCAAAAATGTTATTTGAAGACAACATCGAAACTCGGCTCAAGCTACTTAATGTACTGTTCTGGCAAAACAAAGGTTGTTGTATTTCCTTTTCTAATAGACGTGGAACCAGACCAAGGGACGGTCATCCACTCGACTGTCAAGTTGACAGTTTTTCCTTTCAATTCCTTTCCGAAGTCCATGAGTGTATACTCGATCTTCTCATTCTTCAACACGAGGTGTGCGTTCTCTCTTTTTCTTATCATCGTGTCCCACACCGTTGCGATGTTCATTGGCTGTTAATAAGTCGATTGTGTATCATTGCCATTTATATAGTATAACTATTTAAAATACTATATTTGAATTAAAAGGTATTCGAACAAACAGTTTTTTCAGTCTCAAACGACGCTTTCACCCACACGAAAATCATCTTAGTGTTCCAATTGAAAGACGGAGTAAAGTCCAAGTCGAGGTCCATATCAAATTGGACGCCATCGATTTTACGGTACGATTTGCTGTGTGTTATTATTATAATAATAATAATTATTATTATTTAGGTTCTCGTCACTCAAGTGTGAGTCAATAACAAACAAAAGCGTCACTTTTGGATTGGACACACTAGTAACTGGCGGGACATACAAAACTAATGAAGTAAGGTAGAGACAAAACGCAGCAATACCCAACCACTGCGACGCGTAGTACGCAATATTATACATTCGCTCTGCAGTGTGGTACATCCTTCAATTGGAATTTTGAGATGACATTTTCAATGTTGATCACATTTTGTTGTTTGAATAACATTTTGTACAATGAAAAATGTTATTTAAAATAATTAACTAATTTTCAAGAATTAGTTTATCTGAATAAAATTTTATTAGTCGTGATAAGTGGAAATTTGAAACGCACGCAAAAGTTTAAAAGAAAAAACGAAAATTAGATAGTATAGTAAATAAATTATTAATAATTAAACCTTACAAACATACACAAAAACCCAAAAAATGAGAAAAACTAGACGAACAATTTTGCCAACTGTGTTAAAAATACTTTTGGGAAAAAAGATATTCTAATAAATAATATAATTATTAATGTATTTATTAATTAATTTATTGAAATACTTATAAATTATAATAAAAATAACAATACAAATAGTTTGGACTTCTTGAAACATTCTAATTCCAATAAAAAACAAAACAAGCACAGACAAAAAATAAGCAACGAAGAGGGAAAAAAAATGATTTGGTTGTTGGAATGAAGAGATTGATGAAAGACAAAAAACGAGGAAAAAAACCAAAGAAATTGAAAAGTGAAAGAACTTGAAAAAAACTCGAAATATAATGGACAAACAATCGAAGCGAGGGCATTCGAAAGTCAATCCGCTTGTTGTATTTGGAAACCAAGAGGGAGTCGTCCTCGAAAACGATGATACAAAATATCGAATTTCGAAAGTCGTAGGGAGCGGCGCGTTTGGAATTGTGGCATTTGCAGTCGACCTGAACACAAACGAGGTGATTGCGATCAAACGTGTCATACAGGACAGAAGGTACAAAAACAGAGAACTCCAAATGATGGAAATGCTCAAACACGTCAATGTCTTGGAACTTAAGTCGCATTTTTACTCAAAAATCTCTTGTGTTTGTTATTTCTATTCAATTATTTTAATACTTTAAATCAATTTAATTACTCGTTTCAAATCGTTACTTAACAATTTTACTATTCTTATTGTTATTTAATAAGTTGTGGAAACAATTGATAACAAGTAGACTGAAGACATTTGCTTGAACTTAGTCATGGACTATTTCCCACAAAATATTCACCAATTAATGCATGATTATAGAAGAAGACTCCCCGTCGTGTATATTCGATTGTTTTCATATGAACTCGCACGGTCCCTTGCTTATATCCATGCTTTTGGTATGTGCCACAGAGATATCAAGCCACAAAACGTGTTGGTGAACAGAGACACGGGCGAGTTGAAGCTGTGTGATTTCGGAAGTGCAAAGTTATTGACTCCCGACGAGTCAAACATCTCATATATTTGTTCGCGATACTACCGAGCCCCAGAGCTCATTTTTGGAGCAACTAAATATTCAACCGCTGTCGATGTTTGGTCTTTTGGGTGTGTAGTCGCTGAGATGATTGTTGGACAACCGTTTTTCCAAGGGGAAAGCGCTTCAGACCAAATCACCCGCATTATGAAAATCTTGGGTTCCCCTACCGCCGACGAAATCAAAGGAATGAACCCCGAGAGTCCATACACCCGTGTGCCGCATGTTGGTGGTGTTGGAATTGAAGCCGCCTTGCGTTTCATGAACCCACCATTTACCGCTGTTTTGATGTTAATTAAAGTAATGCAATACACTCCAGAGAAACGACCAACAGCCGTCCAGATCATAACAGACAACTTCCACAAAGAGCTGTTTACCGAGGGGCTTTTGCTGCCGAACGGAAACGCACTCCCAGTCCTGACGAAGTACGACCAAGACGAATGGACGAGAGGTGAGGCAAAAGGTGTGACAGACAAGATGAAACTCTTTGTCGAGCTCGAAAAGAAACGAATTGAAACTCAACAACCGACTCAACAGAAGGACAAAGACTTGCACGAAGATAAGGAGCCGCTTGACGACAAAGAAGATGACGATGAAAAAGAGGAAAAGGACGAAAAGGAGCAAGAGTAACTCAATGTTTAACTTCATTGCATTTGTTTTCGAAAACGACAAACAAAAAGAAGGCAACTTATAATTCGTATTTTTGAAAAAGAAAGAAATCGAAATAAAGAGAAAACAATCTGGCCAATTTTTTGTTTTTTTCGTTTTACCATTTACAAACGAAAGTTTATTTTGCCCATTTAGGAATTTTAACTGTTATTGGGATCGACTGCATTTATTATCATTTACTATCATTTACAGAAGGCCGAAAAATCACTTGACAAAGAAAAAAGGGATGACAAAATTCTATTTTTAAATTTTAGAGTAATTTTTATTAAGGTTTGAGAACCATCATTCGGGGAGTTTGTTTACATTTCTCGAATAAATTAATTCATTTGTTTTACCATAAACTTGGTTTTGCTATAAGTAGGAATTTGAGTAATAATTATAACGGTAATGCTTGACCTTAAAAAATTGAAAAATATTTTGAAAAAAAGCATAAAAAGAATTATAATCCGATAAAAACTGTTGTTTTATACTCTCTTTTTAGACATGATATCGACCAATCTTGAGATATCATGTCTCTTCAGTTCATAACCGAGTAATTGGAATTTGAAATGTGTTCAAAACCCCCCAAAAAGTGGAGTGAAAAAACACGCCAAGATGGAGAGGATAATTATGAAAGTCACAGAAGAAATAAAACCCAAAGCAACAAAGAAGTCACAATTTACAGAAAAAATTGTTTAGAATGCGGAAAATGTTCTTTTGTGTTTTGTGAAGATTCATTATTCTTTAAATTGGCGTCGGGAAGAGAGCACGTTGAGGCGATTGTTTCTACTTTATAAAGTGAAAGTTTTGTGACATTAAGAGCACTTGCCGTGCTTTTAGAAACACACCAGAAGTCGTCCAATTGAAGAGTTTAGTGCATTTTCTAATATGTTTTCAAATGCAGCAATCATTAAACGACTCTTTGCTCCGCCCGATGAAATAGCGACAGTTTCCGTATCTGATTTGTAAAGGAAGAGTAAAAAAGCTTTTTTCTTTCATTGGAACTTCGGTGTTGGTCAGTCATATCAATGAATTGTTATAGCAAATCGAGTTTTCGGGAAATTCAAGGTAACACATTCCATTCTAAAAATTTAAATTGCCAGTATTTGTGACAACTTCCATGTATTATTCCGTGGAGATCAACAAGTCTACGGCAGTCCTGTTGACACGATTAAATAGAGTCTCGAGCCTTTCAAACTCACAATTGGCGAATTGGAGGAGATCCAGAACTGAATTGTTCGAAAAGACGTTTATTAATCGAGTTCAGTTTCATTTTTTTGTTTTTGGAAAAATAAAACGCTGTTTTTAGTCTTTGTCAAGTTATTTCTAGTTATAAAAATAGAATAAGTGGTAATTCCCGAAAAAATAAACCTAAAACAGCTAATCAAAAATCATTATTAAGGCATTTTGGCCAATCATCTTTTTGTCAATCAATTTATTCTTTGTCAAGTAATTATTCTGCCTCCTGTACTTGTTTACTGTAATAATTGGAATAAGTTTAACATATTTTAAAACTTACTTAAAACGATAAAACTGTGCTTGGCTAAAACCAGATTTTGGTTTGATAAGTACATATGAGTTCGAGATTGAAACTTAAACTCGTATTTGAGTGTAAATGATTGAAAGTTATGATGTTTAAAATAATATTACAAAGAAAAACAACTTGTATTTTTTTAATTATAAGTGTTGTCCAAAAAAATAGTAATATTTAAAATTATTTTATTAATTTAATGATAATTTATCTTTATTAAGCAAATGCAAACCTCAACAATTCATCGCCCAATTATATTTCACTGTGAGTCGGCAAATTTAATTTAATTTATAAATGAAATTAATATTTATAGTTCTTGTCACAAATAAAAAAATGTCTAAAAAATTTTATTGAACGTTTTTTTTAAATAATATTCAATGCTATGACAATTAGTTTCTAAAATAGGTACATTCTTTAAAAATAAACTATTTGTTTATAGTAAAATATACTATAATGCATCACTTAGTGATAAGAGCTTGCTTTATAGTTGGTTTGAATGCACTTTTGTCATAACCTTTAAGTCCTTCATTCTCCAAAAACCTTTTCTTCATGATTTTGTATCCATCAGCGGTGAAATAACTTCCTCCGAACGTTTCTATCATATGGTCATCAGGGTTTCCAGTTCTTGGAGCGACTGTTGGTTGGTCATAAAAGTCTTCGAAGTGAGGAGGATCATTTCGGGTTCGGAGATAATTTGAAAACATCGATTGGCGTCTCTCCTCTAACCCGATAACTTTATTAATGTACTTGTGATATGGATCTTCAGCCAGTTGTTGTGATGAAAGCGATTGGAACATACCTTGGAACATAGGCTTCTGTTTGTCGAAGAGTTGTTTGTTCTGGTCGTCGAGCATTTTACGGATGTCCAATTTGTGTTGAGCCGTCAATTTAGCTTGGTCGAGTTTTTTCATTGGGATGTTGACGGACTGTACTGGCATAGGTGCTGCAGTGTTATGAGGACCACCGGTCGCTGGTATCATAGCCGAGAAGTGTGACGCCAAAATATTGAAATACTTCCCAATCATCAAATTCCGATTTTTAACATCACAGCCCGCATCCGCAGAACATGCATCTGGTTTCACTGTTAATCCGGAACCCTCAGGTGGTTCTTCTGGTATCGTCACTTCCTCAGGGGGAAGGTCGTCCAAACTTTTCATTTTAGCGCCTTGTTTCAATAACGCTATAGCCATCTTCGGCCTAAAAAATGAGGCGACTGTGTTAAAATAAGGAACTAATAACTCGATACGAGCTTTGACATCACATCCATCAGCTTGTCGACATCCCGCAAAAGTGACTTGAAGCCCACCAGGGGGTTGTGTTGGAAAAACAATTTCTTTTGGAATTGGAGGAAGTGCATAAGTCACGTAGAAGAAAAATAAGATGAGAAATTGAATCATTTCTCAGGTGTTTATAATATACTTTTTTCAGTCCAAATTGCTATTTCTGCATTTCTTGATTTTTTCAAAAATTTTTCAAAATTTTTTGAATCACCTAAATTTTTGAAAAAAAGGACGCGTTAATTAAAAACAACGCGTTAAATAAATTATTGGAAGAGGAAAATCTCTTTCTCATAAAAAAGACGAAAAGAATAACTCAAAAATACAATGGCTTTCTTCACAACTGCTGCCGGTAAACCACTTAGAAAAATTAGCGAAAAAGACCTTGAAGCATCGAAAAAGCTGTTTTTCACACAAAGCCAATTTGGTGATGACGAGACGCAAAAAAACGTAGAAGACGTTGATGAGCAGAAAGAGACTTTAAATGAGAATGAAGGGAAGGATCACTTTGCCGAGCTGTCTGAGATCTCAAAAGGACATGAAGAGAGTAAAATTGAAATAGAAATGAACCACAATGGCGAAGGGATCGACCACACGACGTTCCCTCAAACTCAAATGTCACAAGACACACTCACAACAATTATACAGGAGATGAACGACAGCGAAAACATGAAGGAAACAAAAACCGTGCTAAAACCAAGTAAACGACAATCCCTTTTGCACCAACAACCTCTGAAATACCCAACACCACTGAAGAGAAAACCACTAACTCCAAGTCACGATGGCAAGAAGAAGAACGGCGTGAGGCTGTCCATCACTAAAACACTCTCAACGGGACAAAAGCCAGTGCCAACAAGTCCTTTGGACCAAGTCAGTTTTGTATCAAAAACACTGGACGCATTTGATTTTTGTTATGACGGAGATGCCGTCTGTCCATTACCCACATTTGATAAAGCCTTGGAAACGCCGATTATTAATAACACGAATTGTGGAAGGAAGAGTGAAGTATTAAGTTTAGCGGAGTGGAGCAAATTCATACCGAATGTGACAAATATGAAGTGGCTTGAGAACCAACTCAGACATGTGATATGGAAACATTTAGGGTACTATTTTCATAATAGAACAATACTTAACGAAGTCACCGTAAAAGATGTCATAGAAGAAGTTGAGAAACGAAGAGTTTTTGAATTGCGACCAAAGAGATCTTTTTATCGACTGTTGTACAACAAAGATGAGAACTATGGTTTGTGCCATGTCTGTGTGGTTGCTTCTATTATAAAAGGGAAGAACACGCGAGAGTTAAATAGGCTCGTTGTGAGTGATGGGTGGTATACTATTACTCTGATAGTCGATGGAGACCTTTCTCAACTCATTTCGATGAACAAAATATATGTGGGACAAAAATTGCGGGTGTGTGGGATGGAGTGTGTTGGGAGCGAAAATGCACGAGAGCCATGGGAGGGAGATACACTTGAGATGAGAGTGTCTGTCAATTGTGTACGCCGTGCGGAGAGAATTGAGAAGTTGGGAAGGACAAAGTGTATTGCTTTTTTGGTGACAGTCAACTCGATTCGAGAAGGGATTGTCCCTGCGATTCGAGTGTGTGTGGAACGGATATACCCGACACGATACAAATTTTCTGACACGAAGTTAATGAGTGAGAGTGAGTTTTCTATTGAAGAAAATAAGCGGAAGGTGTTACTTGAAAAAGAGTTTTCTGAGTATCGCAAAGAAGTTGGCGACAACGTAGAATTACTCGAAAGCTTTAAACAAGAGAAAATGAAAGAGCTTGTTCCGAGTGGGTTGAAGGTGATCCGCGTGTTAGACGGGATGCAGCGGAATGGGAAAGCGAAGCGAATGAATTTGAATGTGTGGGTGAGTCGAGGGGAAGAAGTGGAATTTAAAGAACGGAAGTGGGTTGACGTGTATTGGCTCAAGGCAAAGATATTTGGTGGTGTATGTTCATTGGAAGCGTTGAGAACAACACATTTCAACTTTTTGAATGACAACATTGAACTTCCCAAAGAGTATGAAGAACGCACGATCACTGAAATATTGGACATCTCCTTATCGACCACAACGTCTGTAGCTGAAGTTGATGTTGTCTTTTGTGTCTTAAAAGTAGAAGACGATTCCGTCTATATTACAGACGCTTCAATGAAAACGTGTTTAGTCAAACGGAATTTTAAAGGGAATAAAAAGATTGAGGAATTCCGGGTCTTTTGTTGTCGAAATTTGGGGATTGCAAGTGTATATAATAATGATGTTGTTCTTAAAGAAACAGAGAAGACTGAATGGCTAAGTGAAGGGAAAAGAGAAGACGAAAAAGTGTCGATCAAGAAATTAAGGCAGATGGTGGAGAGTTTCCATCGACAGTTTGAGTCGATGCAACGTGGGGTCATGCGTATAGTTAATGACGAAATAGAAGAGACAGTACCACGAGTATTGGAGTTATTAAAGAAGTTAAGTGACAAAGAAGAAGAGATCAAACTTCTGAAAGACCAATTAAAAAGTGTTGGAGCACCAAATTGATTGTGAAATTATTAGTATTCAATTTTATTTATTCTCAAATGATAAAAATACTATACAATAGTAAGCAATAGTAAACTCAACTTAACTAATAAAAGTGAATGGACCCCCTCACCCCAACACAACTCCAATTTTTTTCACAGGACTTGGCAAAGATTTCTATCCAAATGAATGAACCCATTGGACGTATTGAAATGATTGTGGGACACTATGGCCCCTTTGAAAAGGACCACACATACGAAGTCCCACTTTGGGTCGGACTCTATTTTAAGACGAATAAAATGTGTAAAGTGATTATACCAAGTTGGTTGCATGTTGAACAACTTGAACAATATTTGGAAGCAGAAGAGACATCGGATCTCTTCTCTCCTCTTCCTTTTTATTATCAAGAAGTCGCTTATTCACTAATGAAAACAGCACCGGAAGACTTCGAGGACTTGGACAAGACCAGAAGCGTTTTTGAAGAACTCCGACAATTCAGAATGGATAAGGTCAGAGCTGGTTTGCACTCGTTGAACAAAGACATCGAAACTATCATGATGACTAACGTGGGAGCTACAGAACTCGCACTTGCAAAGGGATTTGCTTACAGCATATTTGAGTCGATTTCACAATTAACGGACGCTGCCGAAGGAGCGGAGAACCACGTCAACTTTAACTTGAGGAAGGCTGGGCTCAATGAGTGATTTGAGTGTTCTATGATAATTAATTAACGATGTAATTTTTATAGAAAATAAATAACGAGGTATCGTTGGTATGGTGTAAAAATAGTAGATAAATAGTTGTAATGTTAATAAAAAGAATGTGTTAATTAAATACTGGAGAAGAAAGTTCGAAATAGAACTTGGAAACTAAGAAAGACTTATTATATGCTTCTATTTGTACTTATTTGTCTTGGAGCAGCAGAGAACTTCCAATTGCCTAGTGGTAAGATATTCAAAAAAGAGGACGTTCTTAAGCACTTGAATGTAGATGGATCTATACAACAAAAGTCTATACTACTCACAGAGAAAGGAAGGAGGTTTGGACAAGTCTCAACACAAAAGGTTAGTATAGTATAAAGTATAGTATATTATAATTAATTTACTAATAATAAATGTGAGTGGAATTTATTCATAAGTAGAAATTGCTGACGAATTTCCAAGTCAGTGGAGTTCTCGAATCGGACGGGATTGGGAGGAAATTTGATATTTGGTTAACTACTAACGAAATTACTAACGGAGGAATTGCAGTGCAAAACAGCAATGAAGGGTATCACATCGTTGTACCAACAAGTCCGTTTAATTCCAAAATTGAATTGTACGACATTAAGTATAACGGCCTTGGGGGATGCGAATTGAACCAAAAATTTCAATTTAATGTCATTCCATTTACTATTAAATATGACGCTAAAACGATGAATATGTCCGTTTGTTACTTTTCTAGTTTTTATATAGATAAAGTATTAGTTATTAATAGTTAGATGTCTTTTGGTGACAAAGACACAAAATGTGAATTCAGCCGAGTTGGCGCAATAAATGCACCATATCTGACTATCGCCGCTTTGGATGATAGAAATGGAGGAAACCACCAAATCGCTTCTTTAAAAGTACAAGACACTAAGAAGAAGACTACAACAACAAAAGAAGCACTTCAAGGAGAAACGAATGAATTGAATTATGCATTCACTGAAAATGAATTGTTTGTTGGTGGGGATAGCGTCGAAATAGCAAAGGAAAAGATTTATTTGATGATGGGCAAGATTGCAGAGAAGATTAGTGAAGTGGAAAACTTGAGTAATGAGAATGAGAAGATCATGAAGATTATAACCAATGGGGGGAAACATTTGTATGATATGTTACAATCACAGTTTGTTATTTTATTATAACATATAGTAAATTATACCATAAATATATATAATAATATATATTATTATATATAATCCACTTAATTCTGTTTAGTGCAATCATATCTAGTACATATAGATATATATTAACACATAGAGAACTTATTATTGATACCAGTGATATTCTATTCGACGTCGAAACGTTCAAAGGGCGTATGAAATCTATTCAAGAAGTATCGAAAGGGACAGTTGGAGATATTCAAGCATTAATAGGCTCGGCAAAGATTCGAAACAAAGCCACAATAAAGTCAAACACGGAGAGTAACCACACCTTCTTCTGGACTGTATTTTTCGTCATGCAATTTTCTACTGTATTCATTGCTGCTTATTTGCTCATGAAAACAAAGATATATTATTCAAGAAAATCACTTTGATTCTATTTTTATTAGTTTAATATCTATTATAATAGATATTATTATAATACTATTCTATCATGATATGATATAATAAATATTAATATATTATTAGTATAGATATAGTAACCCACCTTTTAATAATTATTAATAAGAAACTCATTATAATATACAGTGATGAGTGAGAGTTGTTGTGTCTTTTTGGCTTTCCAAGAAAAAACTTCGAGTATTATTTGCGATGATATCTACGACGCGATGGTGACATTTGGCCCCATCAATCGAATAATTCGAATGAACTCAAACTCTTCGGAACAGGTCCAATCGTTGGTCGAGTTCACAGACAGAATGACGTGCGAAAAAGCAATTGAGTACTTGAAGGTCAACCCTCTTCCTGTCCTCAAGTGTACTGTACGCGCTGAAATTGGTAATGCGACACGTTTGAATATACATACCGATACAGCACATGCTAGAGACTATACAACCAATCCTCGGTACCCGAGTGAACCCAAAACGGCATCAAGGCAATCGACCAATCGAAATATTAATATGGAAGAGTATAAAACGAAAGTACTTATGGTGCATGACTTGCCAAAAAATCTTGTACCTGAGACTGCATATCATTTGTACAACATGTTTTCTCTTTTTGGCAGTATATCGAAAGTGAATGTTCTCTCATCGAAAGACACTGCTATGGTCGAGTTTGAGACATATCAACAAGCTCATAAAGCACTGGAGATACTCGAAGAAGTGAAATTCTTTGGGTCAATTCTTAAGATGAAACATAGTAAGAATGATAATGTTGCTGCACCTTCAGGAACGTGGTGTAAGGTTTTTAAGGTGACTGCACCGTTCATGGAGTCGACTCCACCGTCTGTCTTTGTGAGGTTTGTAGGGTTACACCCGATCATAGCACTCTCCCCGAATTTAATATTCGCGATATGTCATTACTTTGATCATTACGCAGCACCTCGCCCAGTAGATGCTTTCTTTGATACTCAAACGTTTGTTTCAATAGAACTGAAGTGTTTCATATAAAATAAAGGAAGTGTATTGAATTATAGAACGGGTGTCTTTGCATTCAAAAGTACTAATGAAGCCATTATGGCGATATGCATCTTGAACCACAAGAAAGAAAATGGCACGGAACTGTTACTCTCATTTGTCGCTTCTCCACCAAATGTGGCAAGAGAAAATGTCCGAGTGATGAACCAGGGCTTGATAACGCCGGTAGGACAACCTATGCCACCACCCCCTCAGCCCCCTCAACAAATGTTTTACCAAAACCCTCCACAACAACAATACAAGTACGACGATAAAGGAAGAGATGGGTATCAGTATCACAATAATTATAAAGCTTAACCTTTTTAATTAACTATACTTTTAGTAATAAATAAACTAACATGAAAAGAACACAAATAGAATTAGATGAGAACTAAAAGGAGAAGAGAAAGAGCTAAAATAACAAGTGCAGAAGTGCTGGAGTACTGAGAGAAGTCGACATTATACTGTGTTGTCACTGGTTTAATCAAGTCGATGTTTCTTATGAATGTGGCATTCTGAGAGAACCAAGACGATGAATAATTGGAAATCATCGAAGTGAAGGTGGCTATATAGGCAGGAAGCTCTTTATCCGTTCCACGTAAAGCGAAATCGATTGGAATTGTTTTTGAGTTGGCTTGTTCTTCAGTCAATTGTTTGACTTTGACCGCTTCGGAAGGCATTGTTATTTGAGAGGTATACGATAATTCAGTATTAAAGGCTTCATTGATTTCACTCTCTATTTCATATCGGAACAGTCGTTCACGAAGAATGGAATCTTTCTCAAGCTCTAAAGTAAAGGAAAACCCAACAGTCAGACTATTTGACTGCGGCGTACATGACTCATTGTCCTTGGATACCCACCCATCGGCACATACACATCCAACTATACACCCAACACCTCCATCACATGGTTCCCCATCCACCCAAATACCATCGCCACACACTGTTTGTTATATACTTGATAATTAGAAGTTGAAGACGTGTAGTATTACACTACATGTACATAAACAAACTTGAAGTACACTTCCCATTGTTTTCATACAGTCCTTTGTCACAGGCGTATGTGAAAACAACAAAAAGAAAGAGCGAGAGAACCATTAGACTAACTATTTTTTCAAGTTAGTTATTCAGTCTTATTTCTTTCTATATTTCTATATATGAATAGACGTAACAAGTCGGGGTTGTATCTTAGAACTCATTCCTTTGAAATGGTTTATTATAGTTTAGATATAGTTTGATAAACTACAGAGTTTTTAAATAAGTACGATGTCCATTCATTCAAGTGTAGAAATTAATAACAAAAATCTTAACCATTTTTTATAATTAAAATAACAATTATAATAGTATTATAAAATGTATTATAAAATGTAATTAAAATATATTATAAAATGTAATTAAAATATACTATACTATATAATACAATTAAACAACTATCAAAAAATTGATTTTGAACTAAATATGAAAATTATGTTGTTTTTCTTTTTTGTATTGAGTGTGTGGTCGATTTCTTTTGAGGGTTGGGAGAGTCTTCACGGTAAGCACTTTGGCTTGGCAGAGCGTTTACGCCGTCGTGCCATTTTTCACATGAATTCGCGAATTGTCGAAAATTTGAATTCCAAAAAGAAGTTCCGAGTAGGGATGGAAGGTCCATATGCTGCTCTGACATCTTTGGAATACCAAAAGATGCTGAATAAGTATATTGAACCTCCAACCAATATTCAAAGTGATACTTTTCAAGCACAAAAGAAGAATATTCCTGATTCATTGGATTGGAGAACATACGGGTATGTGACACCAGTGAAAGACCAAGGCAGTTGTGGGTCGTGTTACATCTTTGGAGCAGTTGCCACAGTCGAGTCACGACTATTAATGACTGGTACGAGTGGGTATACTTCAGACACATTAGACCTTTCTGAGCAACAAGTTTTGAATTGTATACACTCTGTCAGAGATGGGTGTAATGGTGGAACCTTACAAGCGACGTACTCCTATATCAAAAACAATGGAATTATGGAAGAGAAAGATGAGAAGTATATCGCACAATCGAAAACGTGCCAAGAAGACTTGAGTCTAGTCAAAGTGACAATTGGCGGGATGAGAACAGCAGATATTAGTGATAAAGCGCTTACTGAAACTATTGCAGATGGACCTGTTGGCGTGTGTATTGACGCTTCACAGCCATCATTCCAGTTATATAAAAGTGGTGTGTATGATGAGCCCAATTGTAAGAAGCTAACAAATCATTGTTTGTCAGCAGTAGGGTATGGGACACTTGATGGGGACGATTATTACATCATTAAAAATTCATGGGGAGTGAATTGGGGATTAGATGGGTATATTCTTATGTCACGTAACAAGAACGATCAGTGTGGTATATGTACTTCAATATCGTATCCCGTTGATGTGAAGTTGATCTAATTCATTTCTAGTATTCATATTAAATATAGTATTTTTATAGTATATTATATTTAATTAAATATGGTATATATATACCATATTTATAGTATATCGAAGAATAATAAACTGTACTATTAAAAAAATCAATCAGTAGCTTTTTTAGGTTTCTTTTGGAACTTTATCTTCTTTGTTGGATTCTTCAAAGAATCACTTTCTTGTTTTAATTCGTCTCGTTTTCGTTCAGCACGTCTACTATATTTTGCTTTCTTCCTTTCTTCCTCTTTTTGTATTTTGTCCTCTTTGACTTGTTCGCGGACTTTCTTTGATTTCTCGTATCTCTGCTTACTTATCATTTTACTTGTTTTTTCAGTCTTCTTTTTCAACTCTTCCTTCTCTTGTTGTTGCCCACCAACCAATTTAGTCAAAAAATCGTCTTTAGAAAGTGTCTCATCGATCAAATCATCGACTTGTTTGTCTTTGTTTGATTCCTTTTGTTTTTGAATGCGCAATTTGAGTTGATGTTCGGAAATGGCGTTAAACAACTGTAAAACACCTTTGACCGCAAACTGTCTCAAATCTTTCTCTTTGTCGTTGTTGATCTCCGCAACATCTTTGTGTTCCTTTGAAAGAAACAATTGACGTAATAACATCTTCTCTTCTAACTCTTTTTTCTCATCTTTTGTCACAGTCACTTCTTTGGGTAATTGGACGACTGTGCGATTCTTCTCCGCCTTCTCTAAAGCAGCCTCCAAATCATTTAATGGCCCTTCAGTCTTAACTTGCACAGGCTCTATATTCTCAGAATTCTCGGACACATCCTCTTCCATACTACCCTCATTATCTAACTTCTTGTCCAAGCCCTTCTTTGGCATTGATTTTTTAGTTTCAAGTCAGGTTTACTATTTTTACTATTTCCGTATTAATAAAATAGTAAAATTCAGAATAAAAATCGTTCATTTAAAAAAACATTTCGACGTAAAAAATAGAAGAATTTTTTTAATGAATGAACGAAATTGATATTTTGGTTGAGTGTTGTTGAAACTAAAGAATTACTTGTCAAGAAGAAAAAAAGAAGGTTTTTTGATGACAAAAACAAATTTTAAAAAATAAAGTAAAATGAATTAAAAAAATGGTTAAGAAACGGAAGAGTTTAAATGAAGGATTTTCTTGATTTTGATGACTAAAAATGAATAATAAAATCGAACCATTGTGAACTAAATAATTTGAATTACATGTTAAGTGGGTCAAACACGCCACACGACACAGAAACAACACAAATTGACTTTGTTTCACAGACCAGTACATCCCAAAGTATCGCTGACATGACTCTCCCACTTGCAAACACAACGCGTGTCATGAGAGATGCAATTTCTACACCAACGAGTGGTGAAGTTCGAATATCAAAAGATGCACAACAATACATGACCGAACTCGCTACAGAATTCATTCTGTTTATCTCTTCAGAGTTTGTTATTTTCTCTAAACAAATTTCTTTGTTTATTTTAGATGCTATAAATACTCATTTAACACTTTTCGAACGTTAACTCCATACGAAAAATAACAGAAAAGAGTCGCAGATGTCTCTAATAACTCATCAAAGCCTAAACACACTCTTGTCGGGCAAGATATTATTGAGGCTCTTAAACGTCTTGGGTTTGATGCGTATTGTCCTTCATTACGTAAACACCTTGAAAAGTTTCAATCTGTTTGTTGTTTGTACATCTTGTGTACCACTCGATATCAATAGCAATTCTTATAAGAAATTATTAATTTATAACTCAGGCATTTGTATAGTTATTTATAGAATTAATAATACTAAAAGTGAAAGTATTCATAAACAGACAGATATTCCTGAAGAAGCTATGGAAAATAGAAAAAGACCATCTTCAGACTTGGAGTTAATCAACCCAGAAAAGCCAATGTACACACCACCCCCTTTGTAATCTTTCATCTTTTCATCATTGACCACTTTTGTTCTTTGTTCTGTTTGTATGTTCTATTCAGGCGTGAATTATAGTTAATATATAATAAATTTATAATTACTTAGATTTTAATACAAATACTTAATTTATTAATTTATATTTATATAAAGTCGGATTTTTAATTAACGATGGAGAAAATTAACTATACATTTAGTTTTTTAATTATAATCAATAGCTTTTTTTTCTTTTTTTTTCGAAATAATAATTTTTTTGTTTTATTTTTAAAATTTTTTACTTTTTAACCAAATTATACATCCAAAAAAAGAAAGCAAGAAATGTGGAGTTCGTAATTTCTTCTCTGACGAATTCTCGAGTAATGTCAAAAAAGCCAGCACACCACTTACGATAGTTAACCAAATGAGTGTCATTGTTGTGATGTGGTTAATAGGTCATACCAATTGATTTGAAAAGCAAAGAAAAAGGTTGACAACCAGCGTTTCTTTGAGAATGTCAAATGGTAAAAATTAATAAGAAATTTACTATGTATTTATTGTTTTTAATTAGCGATGGTCGATACTATATATTATAATATAAAAAAACAGATATAGTAAATTTCCTTGTTGTATTTTTGGAATATCGTTAATTAGAAATCAGACTTTATATTCAAATAGTTCACTTTTATAAGACTATTAGATTAATAAAATAATTATATTTTGTTCGTACTATTTTATATAATAATATAACAAACCATTATTATATGATAAAAATATATAATAAAAAATAGTTCAAAAACTAATAAAAAGAGCCATTTACAAAAGTGCCAAAAACTTCATTTTCTGATACAAAATACATTAAAAGAAAACCCTTAAAACTCAAAAGTGAAAACTCAAAAGTGCTTGAATGGACAAAAAGAAAGAACTCAAGAGGAAACCACTGACCGAGGCCAAGCGGATATCAATGTCATTTGAAGGACAGCAACAAAGTGCGTTGTTGTGTCTTCTCTATCATGAGGGATATAATATTCAGTTTTCAGTTCCTAGGAAGTCGTCAGAGATCTGCCAATTTTTAGATGTCACAAAAATTTGGAAAGGAAACGAAGTGATTGATCTGGTTGAGGAGGTCAAAGTCCTTGTATCTGCGGGTTCAAAGGATGTGAACCCAGAGAGCAAACACCATGTGAAGTATGAGAGAAGAAATATGATGGCAGCCACTGTGAACTTTATTATTGGAATGTTGACGAAACTTGGTGTTGTGTTCAAAGAGAAGGGGACGAAAGGGTCTACCATTACACTGAAGATGAAAAAAATCAAATCGATCAAATTCAACAACATCGAATGGGATTCGGAACGAATTGCAGACATCGGAGAAATATTTAACGCACGAATTAAGGAATACTTTAAAGGAAAGAAGAGACAAACAATTGTTGATGTCGAGAATGATAAAGTCGTCACGTCAGACTTGATGACTCAAAGCCTCGAACGGTCTGCTTTCAAAAAGATTGAGAAGGACAAAGCAGGGTACGTCGAAACAACAACGTACCAAGACGAAGCAACGGAAGAAGAAAACGAGAATTTGGAAAGACTAAAACAGAAAGCGCAGGCAGCACTCAACGAACAAAGCCTCTTTAACATGCAAAATGTACAGACCACACAAATGCAAATGATTGTGAAAGAGGAGGACGACCTTCCGAAAATCGAGAATGATAACCCAATGCTCAAAGATTATGTCCACGACGCGGTGGATGAAGAGGAGTTCTTTGAGATGGACGTGAATCCTAAGGATGACGTGTTTGAACAAATCTTAAAGAAGGAGCCTAATGATCTCATTTCATTTGGAAACAAAGGACTTGAGAACTCCAACGACGCGTTCATCGACAAACAACTCCACAAAAGCACAATGATAAACTCTCATGAAGGATTCATGGGTGGGGCGTATTTCAACAACTAAACACAAAGACCGCGAAGATTCTCTTGTTCAATTGGTGTTGCACAGTGTTTTTGTTGTCAAATTCCTCCTTAAAGAATGGAATGAAATTTGCCACCATTCCAGCAAATAACACAATCTAATCTTGTCATTTTTTTCATATTTTTACAAATTTTTAAACTATTTGTCAAAAATTTTCAACAAAAAGACAACAATTGTGACTTTAATTTAAAATTGTTTAAACATATTTTACTAAAATAAACTATTAAATTAATTAATATTATTTTATGATAAAATTTGTTTCAAAAAAAGAGAAAAATACACGATTGCTTACTTTGCCATTATTCTTCCACGTCACATATACTATAAATATATTATTTGAATTTATTATTAAACAACTATATTAATATTATAATTGAATTATAATTAAACAAACTAAACCAGTTAACATTTTTATATGTATACCTTTTAATAAACAAATAATTAAAACAACTATCAATATTTTCCATTAACATGAGACTAACAAAAAAAAGAATCTGAAAAAAGTTGAAACACTACTTTTTTCCATAAATAGCATTTTACTCAAGTAGTAAAATTAATAATAAAATATGATATAATTAGTAGTAAAATACGAGCTCGATAAAAAGTGAGAGATATTGAAAAGACAGAATTAATGGATTCGACCGCATTACAACATTTGACAAGTGTTTTTGTCTTATCGCGCGATCTTTGTGAATTTCTATCGACGTACGAGCCTTCCGAAATCGAATCGATTGGACTCTTATATGCGATGTGTGACGAGATCCTTCACTTGGTTTGTAAGACATGGCGAGGGATTCAAGTTGAAATAGTCGAAGGGAGACCATTTGGGAACGAAGAGTTGTATCAGCAATGTGGCCTTTTAAGTACCTCAACGGAGTCTGATTTGGCAGACCAACTTGCGGATGCGAGAGATGAAATTTTATTACGAAAAGAGTGGCTCAGAGAGTTAATTAGAAACGAAGAAGAAGAGGACTCCAGAAGAGGAATGAGACTTGGGCTTGAGGAAATCACATTTTTGATGAACGACAAACTCGACGAGTTCTATGGGTTAGTCAATAACCCACCTACAAGTGATTTTGAAGATTACGACGTCGAGAAAATCATGAGTTACATTGTCGAGTTGTGCGTCAGAGGACCTTCAGAAGACGAAAAGAGTGAAGCTGAAAAGATTGAGTTTCAGGTGCAATACGGTGATGCGCCACTCCTCAAAATTGAGGAATTTGAGAAGATCAACACCCCAAAGACTTCAGAGGCAAAACAAAGTACAGAAAATCGTCCACACACACCAAAGAAGTCATACGAACAAATAGAAATCAAAGGGAAGATGGTCAGACCATCTTTAAAGAACATGAAGAGTGACTTGGTCTGGAAAGCACTTGACAAAACACCTTTGGTGAAGACAAGAAGTGATTTGGGGAGTATCGGTGTACCAAAGAAGACTGTTATAGCCTTTATACCTCCAGTCGAAGGATCACAACTTCAAGCGACACAATTAGTTGAGTCAAATGGTATTGTAGAAGCACAAGAAGATGAAGTGAAAGGGACATGTGATGTCAAAGAAATGGCACGGGGTGACACTCCACCCTTGCAAAGCAAATGTAGTGTGTTATATGAAGAACAACCGCCGGTGTACTCTGCGAAGCGAAGTGTACTCTCTCGCAAACAGTCTGAAATAGCACTGCAAACTGCAACGGAGGAAGAGAAAGGCAATTATAAATTGTTTGAGCAACGCTTTACCGTGATCAATCAGTTTTTGGACGATTTTGAGTATCAGATGAAATGGGCGGAGTGGTTTAATAGTGTTGTCTACTGTGCGATCAGTAAGTTAGAGATTATGAGTGAATTAGACTTGGATACCTTATTTAGTCGACATATTAAGGTAGTTCCTTTATTACATGGATTGACGGAACCTTTGCAAAATATGAACTATGTTGCACAAGTTTCATCGTCGTATGCGGAAGATGATATGTTCTATGTCTTCATGGACCATCTGAATCAATATTTTGTGAGCGATCAACTGTTAATAGAAGCGATAGCGTGGAAAGGGAATGCGAATGCGATGCTGAGAAAGATGATGAAGAACCCGAAGTTCAAGGAACTTGCGGTGGACGGGAAGAATAACTTAGTTGAGACGTTCATCCAATTTCCGGAGTTGATGCTGGGTATGTTGGTACAGGTAGTGTTACAGATGTACAGCATGACACCGGATATGAAGAGAACATGGGCGATGGAAAAGGTCCGGATTAATGCGGAGGATTTACGACCGGAAAACGCCAATTTTGTGCAACGCATCCGAGCCGTGAAAGAGCTTCAGGAACTTGAGATGCGAATTACTGGGTTCATGCAATGTCAAAGCGACATTGAAAAGTTTGTGGAGAAGGGAAGACATGTTGTGCAGAGATACCCGATCAGTATGGTAGTTGGGAAGAAGTACAAACGAATGATGTTGTATATCTGCAACGATATTGCATTTATCTGTTCGCAACCGGAGAAGAAAACGGGATATATGAAATGTGTGTGGGCGTCGAAATTGGAGAGGTGCACGTTGATCTTACAAGAACATCTTGAGGCGAAGAAGGATATTGTGAATCAAGTAGTGAGAGAATCAGTCCACACAAAAGAGATGGGAGAACATCTGAAGACATTAAAGAACGCAAGAGTACCGAAAGCTGAGAAGAAATTGGATTCGTGTTGTGTTGTGGAATATATTAAGGAAAGTCAGGCGACAAAAGAACTGCTCAAGTGGGACGTTGTCTTCTGGTCAGAACCGGAAAGTAATGTGAAGACATTGAGAGTGGCATTGATCAATGCGATTGGGAATAGAAAGGCGGAGAAAGCTAAGTAACTTTTCATTTTGTTAAGTTAAAATAATCGAATGGGATTAATTCGAATTGAAAAATTGAGGGATAGAAGAATAGTTCAATAAATAAGTAATAAGTAATTGAGTATTTAATAAGTATTTAAGGGAAAAAGAAACTGAAATAAAGTAGAGATGAGAAGGAGTAAGGCACCCTCAGTACTCCTAGCGAAAAGAGGAATAAGCGAAGAAGTCATTAGTATGAGTATCAAATCTGGACTGAAGAAGATAGAAGACTTGATGGAAGGGAAGACTGAAGCGGTGGATGAAGGGACTCCAGCGAAAAATAAGATGTCGATGGAAGAGGAAATAGGAGATAACGCACATAATACAGTGTTGAAGGAAGGAGAAGTCATCTACTATTGGTGTATCTTCCAGAATAAAGGGAAAGAAGCGAAGAATGGAATCATTCAAGTTGGGTTTGAAAAACTGTGGTTAATGGATGCGGGAGGGAAAGGGTGTGGGAGTACTGATATCACACGAGGAGATGAAGAAGAGTTGGAAGTCTTTGATAAAGAAAAGAACGAGAAGACGACGGAGAAGACACAGAAAGTGTTTATTAAAAAGAAAGAGATCATCATCGACACGGGGAAGATCATATCCTTTTCGAATAAAGAGATCAAAATCCTCATCCAATTTGCGAATGAAAAATTCCAAAACGGATCAATTTTCCTCGAAAAACCACCAACAGAGGAAGAATGCGAGAAAATCGTCAAAAAGGCCGCAGAGAAGAAGAAGGTGATATTCACCGGAAGGGTCGTCTTGTCCAGACACCAAAAGGGCTTTGTCATCCCTTATAAGGATCGAGTCGTCGTGAGAAAAAGAACCGACCCATTGTTCGACCCACGTGCCCCTGGAGCCGTTGTCCTCTATGAACCATCTGCTACAAGTCGAGGGGAAGTAGCGATAGTTGTTGATCCGATTCTTGGGCTTAAATTACGACCACATCAAAAGGCGGGTGTCAAGTTCATGTTTGATTGTGTTATGGGGCTTAAAACGGGATTTCGAGGGAATGGGTGTATTTTGGCTGATGGAATGGGGCTTGGGAAGACTATTCAAGCCGTTTCACTCATGTTCACGTTACTCAAACAAGGAATTAACGGGGAGCCAACATGCAAGAAGGTGATGGTTGTTGCGCCGTCCAGTTTGGTTGGGAATTGGGAGAATGAGTTCAAGAAGTGGCTTGGAGATAAGGCGCCCCGTGTCGTTGCTATTGCGTCGAGTGGAAAGAAAGCGGACCAAGCGATGAGTGATATGGAATATGGATATGCTGAAGTCTTAGTCATTAGTTACGACCAGCTTCGCATTCATATTGACAAAATCGAATTAATTAAAGACTGGGGAATGATTGTGTGTGATGAAGGTCATCGATTGAAGAATGCTGACATTAAAAGTTCACAAGCTGTGAGTCGAGTCCCAACCCGACGAAGGGTCATCTTATCGGGAACACCAATTCAGAACGAGTTGGGTGAGTTCTACGCTATGGTCTCTTTTGTCAATCCGAATGTGTTAAGCGAAATCTCGACATTTAGAAGGATCTTTGAAGAGCCTATCTTAATTAGTAGACAAGCCGATTGTACCCCAGAACAGAAAAAGACGGGGAACGAGAGGTCGAAGGAATTGACACGACTCACGAAACTCTTCATCTTAAGAAGAACATCGAAAGTCAATCAGAAGTATTTGCCGCCTAAAGTCCAACACGTTGTCTTCTGTGCGTTGACTCCATTACAGAAGATGATATATCAAAGATTGATTGATTACTATAACACAACACGCGACGAGGCGAAGAAGAAGCGAGCACTGCAACCGAAAGAGAAAAAGCCGAAACGAGAGAAAAGCACAACACCAGACCTTTCTGAAGAGAAGAAGGGGAAAGCGAAACGGGGAAGAAAGAAAGGAGAGACGGTCGAGGGGAGTTGTCAGTTCCAAATTCTTACTGCTCTCAAAAAGGTGTCGAACCACCCGTGGCTCATCCAAGACTTTGTGAAGACATTCCCGGAAGTTTTGAGTGGTATTTTGCCGAAAGGGGAAGCGCTGTATGACATGAATTTGTCTGGGAAAACTGCGTTTCTAGCGGAGCTGCTTGAGTACTTGAGAAGACACAAAGAGAAAATAGTCATTGTGTCAAATTACACCGAAACGCTCAACTTCATTGCACATTACTGCAAAAAGTGTGGGTACCCCTTCATACAATTAGATGGGAGTGTCCCTGCGCAGAAACGAACACAAATGGTCACGCGGTTTAATGACCCGAGTCTTGACGAGTTCATCTTTTTGTTGTCGAGTAAGGCTGGAGGGTGTGGACTCAACTTGATTGGTGGAGCGAATCTTGTCATGTTTGATCCTGACTGGAACCCGGCGAATGATGAACAGGCTATGGGTCGAGTGTGGAGAGATGGCCAAAAGAAGAAGTGTCACATCTATAGAACGTTGAGTTCGGGAACTGTAGAAGAGAAGATGTACCAACGCCAAATCAAGAAATTGGAGTTGGCTGGAAAGGTGGTGGAAGGAGGAGAAGAGAACGAGGAGAGTACATTTGATGACAAAGAACTGAAAGAACTGTGCCAATTCAAAGACACCATTTGCGAAACACACGACTTGCTGGGATGTACGTGTGGAGCAGGGTCGAGGAAGAATATTGACTGGAAGAAGAGCGACGGGAAGATGGAAGTGTTAAGGAAGGAATGGAAACATTTTAATGGGAAGAGTAAGATGGAAGACGATGTGTTCTTGGCTTTGAAACATGAGACTATCAACTTCCTCTTCAGCAAAGAGGACGAACAGCTGAAGGACGACGGGGAAGATGTAGTTGTGGAAGAGAAAATGCCCGGAGACGATGAAAGTGAAGAGAAGGAAGAGGAAAAAGCTGAACAAATGAGTGAGGACGAGTAAAGACTTCTCAAAATATTTTAGTGTACAAACAGGTTATTTGATGATTGTTTCCGACATTTGTAATCTCATGTTGTTATTTCTTTGATTTTTTGATTGAGATTTTTTTATGAAAGAACAAGATTTAATTTAATAATTTAATAATAATAATATTATTATTATTATTAATACATTATTTGTATATTAATAGAATTAATCCAAAACTCAAAAAACAGAAAATGACAGAGAAAAAAAAGAACTTGAAAATATAATGTTTAAACTCTTATTGCTCTTTGCAGTGATCACCTTCTCATATGGAGACGACGATTTTGAAATAGAGGAAGACTTTGGAGAGTACGATCTTGAGGAAGACGATGTTGAGTATGATGATGACGATTTTGATTTGGAGGACGACGACGAAAATGATGAGTTTGAATTCGAAGATGATGACGATGAGTTGGACGATATAGAAGAAGACGAAGAAGAAGAGGAGGATGTTGAAGAGGAAGACGACGATGATGACGATCAATTGAAGATGTACGTCTCTCCGAGTGTTTAATTTATTTCGGATCGCCTGTTATTCTTAGAAGTTAATTTTACTAGAGAAATATTATATAACTACTATTAGTTCTAAATATAAATGTACTCAATTAGTTTGTTGCATCGTTTAGTTGCGACGTTTGAACTTCGACTTTTTCGATTTTTTCATTTTGGAGTGTGTCGATTTGCCTATCTTTCTCTTCTGAAGAATGAGATTTTGACAGAGAACTACTTTTTTCATTTGTTCCGTCCGCTTCAATCTCGTTTTTCTTCTTTTCGTCATCTTTTCGTTTTTGGTTGAGTTCGATGAGTTTCATGAGATCGATATCCGTTCCGAACAAATTTCGATCGAATTTCAAGTTCTCTTCATCATTTTCCAGTTCCTTTGCGATTTCGATGACTTTTGCGACGACTTTATTTGCGCCGATAGTCGATACTACGGGAACAGAAACGACGACATCGACGCCGCTCTCCTTGACACCTCCAACGACCACAAAACTTCTTTTTTGCTTTCGACACATAGCGGATTGGACCAAATTACTTCCGCAGTCATCTTGGAAAGTCGAGTAAGGGAAGATTTGTAGATCTGGGAGTGGGGAGTACTCAGTTTCAAAGATCGCTTTATTGACCTTCTCCGCAATTGTTTTAAGGAGTTCTCTCTTGTTGACATATTCCTCTTCGGTCATGTCCCACCAATTCTTTCGAAAATCATCGACCTTCTCTTCTATTATTTGACTCAAAGCGACATCATCGATCATCGACACAACTAACTTCCGTCGCTCGATTACTGGACTTAACTCGCGTTGTTGTTGTCGAGAGATTGTAGGCTTTGTGTTGACGAACTTATGGGGGTCTTTGTCTAATAAGAGTCCATTCACATGGCACTCGATACCAAAATTCACAGCGGGGACGTATTCGATCATTCTGGAAAGAAAATAATCGTCTTCTGCAATTGGATTTCCTTCTAAATGAATGACTTTAAGACAGTAAAGTCGTTTAAAGGCTTGTTTTAAGTTTTGATAACTTTCTATGTGATTGCTCCGACAACTCAGAATTTGAAGATTTAAAAAGTTCCTGATCCCATCGAGCGCAGTTAACTCATTCAAATCGATGTTCAAACGTGAGACAGACCCCACAAATTGAACATCAACAAATTCAATCAGATTGTCAGACACATCTAAATAGTCCATCGGACGCTCTCGGATATTTTCTAACACTCCAATCGAATTGCGAGATAAGTCCAGAATTTTGAGTTTTGGAAATTTCACCGCAGTGAAGACGTCTTCTGGAATCTTTCGCAAATTACAACAGCTCACGCGCAATAATTCTAAGTTCTCGAAATTTGTCGCGGACCACTTGAACTCCTTAAAAAAGCGGTCGACCTCCGAGTCTGTCAAATTCTCAATGGAAAGGGTTTGTAAAGTCTTCTGCACAGGAGTTGGGATTTTCCACATGTTTTGTGTTCGGACTTCCAAATGCACAATAGGCGTCTTTTCTAAAAATTTCAATTCGATTTGTTGGGGCGCGCAGAGTTCAACGCCGTCAGTGACTTTGAGGTCTTCATTTGTATGTAACATATCCGTTTCATCCTTTTGAATATTGTCGGGGACTATTATTAATGAAGTGATTTGAGAAAACATAATTGAAAGTGTCGGGTCGATTTTCTCGGGCGCAGCAATCGAGTTCAAAAAGGGGACTTGAGAATATGTGATCGTGACATAACCATTCTCATTCTTTTCTTCAACTCGATGGAAAAACAATTCAAGTTGGATACGAAGTGATTCGACTAATGTGGTCTGGACTTTAGGCTTTAAAAACTCGCCAAGCTTGTGGAACATCTCCATGATTCCTTTTTGAGTTCACTATAGGGAGTTCATACAATGCTATTACAATTGTTTAAATGAGATATTGATATTATTCGTATAGATATAGTATACTTATAATTGTAGATATATTATATTATAAATATACAATTAATACTAATTATATTAGATACAATAATGTAATTATAAAAGATATAACTCAAAAATTATAATATATATAATATATAATTATTATATCATAGAATAGTAAAATTAATAACTCAAAAAGTATAATCTGTGAAGTATGAGTAAAACACAACTACAAACTAAACCACACGAAATCGAAATAGAATACTTGAAAAAAAAAATAGAAGAGAGATATTCACCACTTATCAACAACGACACGGACAAAACTAATGTACTGTTTAGACTTCAATCAAATTCAAATATGAATCTCTCCTTCGACGTCTTAAAACTTTGCATTGAAAATGGTGTTTTAATAGACGAGACATCTCCATCGGTCATTGCTGAGGACAGAAAATATAACGCCTTAAAAACAGCCGTAGAAAATTTGAAAGAAGAAAAGGTCGTAACGTCGTACAACGAAATTCAAGATTTAATCAAACAAAGCAACGTAGTTTTAAAAAAATATCGTAAAGAACTCAAAGATATTAAACAGCCAGTTCAATCCGACTCCAAGATAGTAGCAACGCTTGTTGAAAAATATTTAAAATAGTAATTATAAATTATAGTATATTTGTGTTGTTGTATGGTTTAATAATAGGTTTTTAATGGTTTAAAAAACCAAAATAAATAATTGAAAGGGTAATAATTAAATCATTAACATAATAATAATTAATTATACTTCTATTTTATAATATAAAAAATAGTCAAAAAAAATTTAATTCTTCTTTTTCAATGAAGTTTTCATTTTAGTTAAATTATAATTATAATATAACAAATAAACCACTAATACTTTTGATTGTTTTTAAAAAAATTGTTGGTGATAAAAAATGATTGAAATGTGTTTTGTTATATTTATCTTAAATTACAAATTCTAATAAAATCATTAAAAAACAACCTAAATAAAAACTGTTTTTTTGGGTCGCATGAAATTTGCAAAAATGGAAACTTCAAAAATCGCGTTGAAGTTTTCAAAAGAACAATTTTTACAAAAAATATTTTTTTGCGAAACAACCAATCAAATTGATCTTTTCATTGAAGTTTTCATTTATAAAAAAATACAAAACGATTTCTTCTGCTTCTTTTATAACATTTGCAAAGATTTTGAAACTATTAAAGAATTTTCAATCGAGATAAAACACATCAATACATCACATGGATAGCAACAGTAGCAATGGTACAAAATCAACTGATCCTGCACGTTTGAAAGAGCGAAAGTACAATTCGGTTGTGAATGAGACTATTCGAGAGATGGTTTACATCTCTGTCTTAAATTACTTAGGCTTTTCTTTTCTCTTTGTAAAACCAAAGAAATTCATTATAAGAAAGACTCTTCCTTTTCTTCATATAGACAAGTGCTACGATTACTTTGGAAATGTCGTTTTTTCTTATGAGCAATTGAGAAATGAAGCTTTGGAACTGAAAATTGGTACCGAGAAAAAAGATGGTGAAAGACGTATAACACAGTACATCAAAAACAGGACTATCAACTCCCTTATAGAAACAATCCAGTCCCACCAGTTCATCATCACGTCAGAAGTAAAATCATCAAAAGCAATCACTGTAAACACCACAACTCCTTTAGCAAAGAAATTGGATTTGATTATAATGTTCGATGGCGCAAATCATTACTCCCTCAACTCACTCTCACACGAGACTTTTGACTTCATGGAAGGAATTTATATGGAGATCTTTCAACAGGCCATCAAACTTGATTTGTACCTTTCACCTTCACTCATCCAACTCAACTCAATTTTAACAAACACACCAAACAGCCAACAACAAAACAACACGCAATTGCAAACACAAGTCCAGCCAGAACTTTTACAACAACAGAATTATTCCTTTAATCTCCCGTTCTAATAAAAAACTATAAGAGAACAATAGAAATTCACTTCTAATTTATTTGTCAATGTTCGTCACTTGTTTATTGTTTTCATGATTTTATAAACTATCAGAACTATTATTATTATAAAGAAATGAAATCTGTTGTAAATTCGAGAGTTCCAAAAGAAATAATTAGAAGAATAAACGAACAATCAAATCAAGCGAGTGGGCTGTATATCCCAGCACCTTGAAGCAAGTTTCTTCGTGTAAACTTGACGGACATGACGGGTGTGTCTTTTGTGTTATACTGTTTCAGCAAATAATTCTCAGCACTATTCATTGAGAGCTTGTGCTTACTCTCAGTCTCGTGGAGAGCTTGTTGGACATTCCAGACACTGATGTAATTCTCGTTACAACACGTCACGAGAACAATGCTGTTTGTTATTTAATTGAACGAATGTATTTGAATTAAAAGAACACAAACTCGTCTTCCCTCTCCTTTGATACTGAATTGGAAAAGCACATTGACGTGATCGCAGAGTCAGACGTTTTGAGCATTTTTATTTTCTTTGCTGGTTCTCCGTATTTGATATCCCAGATGAAAACAGAACCTTTCTGATCTGCAGACGCTAAATACCTTCCACTAGAACTTATTGCTAATGTGGTGACTGGTGCATCATGCCCGCTCAAGTCTGCCAATTTTCTTCCCTTTCCCACATCCCAGATTTTCACCGTTTTATCAGAAGACCCAGTGATCACCATCAAAGCGTCGGGTGTAAATATTGAGCAGTTGACATCCTCAGTGTGACCACCATCACCCCCAAATATTCTAACACTTTTACACTGTTTTGACGTCCACAATCTCGCTGTTTTATCGTATGAAGATGAGATCATATAGTATTCCAATGGGCAGTATTGTACGTCCCAAATTGGTCCGTCGTGTTCCGAAAACGCCATGATGCACGACGGATAATCGACTGACCACAACCGCACGGATGAATCTTCCGACCCTGACACAATCCACTTGAAGTCTGGGGAAATGCTTGTACAAAACACTGGTGCGCTGTGGCCGATTAACTTCTCTGTTGGGTTCATTCCGTTGATCACTTTTGTGTTTTTCATATTGAATAATCGAATGGACGAGTCCGAACACCCGACAGAAATGATGTGTCCGTCGTCACACCAATCCACGCAGTTCACCAAGTTCTGTGAATTGAAAAATGTGTAAAAACACGTTGTAGGTAAATTGTCCTCGTCAACAACAATTCGAACGGATTCATCTTCGTTGATGCGGTCCTGTGTGTAGTGACTATATTTAAAGTACGTATATTCGGACGGTTTCTGTATTATATTATCCACCCCAATCATTTTTCTTTTAAAGTTTCTCACTTTTTGGTTTTTCTTCCTTATTTTTTCCCTTTAAATGTTCTTTCTTTCCTCCAAACTAACAAGATTAAATAAATATTGTTTGTTCACTATAATTAAACCATAATAAAAAATGATGTAAAACTATTCTAATTTAAAGCTATAATTTATAATTCTACAAACCAAAACTATTCTTATTAATTATAAATAAACTATAAATAGTAACTGAGTCGAAGAAACAATTGTTTAGAGATCATCGAATTTAATATCGTCAAGTTCATCGTCTCCTTTGTGTTTCATAGTGATCTTTGTTTCGGTCTTTTGTTGTACTTGGTCGAGAAGTGAGATAAGACCACCTTCATTAATTTGTCCTGTCATTTGTCCTTGTTGCGCCATCATCATAATCATGTCCTCAACTTGTCTTGCTTTCTCTGGTTTCACTAACCTCACACTCGAAACTTGTTTTTAGTTATTTGAGTATGAAAATAGTAAATAAGTAGGATAAGACAAACGTCTTTCTTTAGCACCTGAGTCCAAACAAGCCTCGAGGATTTGTTGCCTCTTTTCTTCTTGTTCTCTTCATATTAATTCTTGTTTTATTTGTTGCAAATTTGGAAATTTTGAAAGTGCAAAATGTGCTTGTGTAAATATATCACAAACCTCATTTGTTGTTCTTTGTATTGTTGCATCTGCGCTCTGTTCATTTTGGGGTTTCTAAGATGGTCAAGATCTTTTTATTTCTTCAATCATTTGTCAAATTTATGTTTTTTTCGTTCCCAATTATCATATCACTTTATTATATGTATTAATATCATTATAGTTAAAGTATGGTACATTTAATAAGTACTAAAACTACCCAATAAATCAATCGCACTTCATCAATTTCCACAAAAACTCGAGTCCTTTCAACCTCAAAATGTCTAAAACGCTCTCCTCTTTCTCACACTTTTCACAAGCAAATCTGGTGAATAACGACTTGTCGCTTTTGCCCTCCCATATTTTATTGCAGTACTTGGACCCTTGGTCCTCATCTTCTACAACCCATTTCATTCTTTTGGTGCAAAATCCTTCATATTTCACAATCGACTTTTTGGACCCCTCCGCCACTATTAGCAACTTTTCGTTAAACATAAATGCGAAGCCCGTCACACACAATTCCTTCGCTACTTGCCAAAGTTTTGTGAACTTCTGCCCATCAGTTTTGTCGACTTTAAAAACGTTCAACAAAAGTCCCTCTTCTCGCTCTTTCATCATCTTCTCCCATTCTTTCTTCTTCCTCTCGCTCTTTGTTAATTTTCGGTCGTTGTTATCCTTCTCGTGTTTCTCTCTTCGTTGGTCCATCGCCTCTTTTACTCTTCTCTCGACCTCCGATGGGTTCGTCACTATCTCTTCTGGGAATATCTTCGCCATATTCGAGAACTTCAATTTATCTGGTGGAGCCTGTCTCAGTCCCATCAGAATCTCATCGCGTTCCTTTTCATGTTCTTCTTCTCTTCTCAGCTTTCTCATTTTCTTCATCTCCTGCTTCGTCAAAATTGTCTTCACTTGGATGTCTCCAGATGTGACAATCTGCGACGTGGCAGGATGCTCAACGCTCCGATTAATCTGAGCCGCCAAAACTTTTGAATCTTTTCCTTCCAACACTTTCTCAATCTCACTATTGTCAATCTCGGGATATGATGTGTGAGGTGTTGACGTTTTGTCGGATATAAAAGGCGCGTCCCACCACTCAATATCACCAGTAAACGGTGCGATACCCTCAATTTGACTCGTCTCGTCGCCCTTCAAAACACCTTTGAAAATTAATTGTCGTTTAATTCGAGCGGCTTTTAACTCCTCTTCCTTCTCAGCCAAGGACTTAATGTCAAAGTCCAAAGCCGCCTTCCGTTTTATCGGTTTGATTGCGCCACCTCCAGATAAAAATGCCTTGAGGGCCTCATTCGGTTTCGTTACTTTTTTTTCTGCTTCTTTCTCTATTTTTGTTGTAATTGTTTCCGAAAGGACTTTGCGTTTTGCAAGTCGCGCTTTGAGTTCTGCAATTCGTGCTGATTTGTCGGCCATATGTTATTATCAGTATTTTTTTATTTGGAATAAAAAACCACTTATTTATATCTAAATTACCTAAGATTATTTTACTCAAATATATTATGACATGAATATTAAAAAACCACTATTAATTTTCTCAAAAGAGTATATAATGAAAAAAAATTATTGTTGTTTAGGTATTGTGGTGTTAATAAAAGTGAACAGATCGTTGAGTGAGTATGACATAGTAGTAAACGATGTGATTGTTTTATACTTTGCCATATCGGTCACAACGTCCTCCATTTTGTGTTGGCAATTAATCAACGACTGATTTTCGTCAGAGATGACACTTTTCAAATAGAAGTTTTGTTGTATTTGCACGCGATTTGCTTTGTCCACTATTTGCCACAACTTTGCCTGCTCATCCGCAACAACGGAGGTCATATCACAAAACTTTTTTGATGTTTTTTCGATTGTTTCTGATGTTGAAGAGATCAGTCGGTCTTGTATAACTGCTTGTTTCATTTTATGAATGAATTATGAGATTCGGGTACCCAAATCTCATAATTCAAAAAAAGAAAAATAAAAAAATCTCAGAATCACATCACAACTCATTTTGGAATATTTAAGACAAGTTTTTAAGGAAAAAGAACATTTGGTAAGAGAAAAAACAGAACAAATCGAGGTTTATTTTTTCTTACGAGAAGCCTTCTTCATCTCCTTGCGCTTATAGTCCTTGAGGGAGTGGCACATTCTCCACTTCTTCTTAATCTCCTTTCTTTGCTTTCTTGGAGCCTTGGTCTTCTTTTCCATGCCAGCCTTAATGAGGACGTACTTCGCTGAGTATCTCTTCATCGAGGTCAAAGTGTCATAGATCATCGCGAATCCGGTCGTTTTTCCTCCTCCGAACTTGGACATGAAGCCGGACAAAACGATAGTTTGTGGGTCCTTGACTTTGAAAACCTTAGCAACCATCTCTCTGATTTGTTGGGACTTTGGCTGAACAACTCCGGGGTGATAGACATCGACAATAACCTGCTTTCTGTTCAAAAGCGGGTTAACCAGCAAATTCCTGGTTCTTATGGTGACCTCTGCTTTCTGCGCCATGGTGACAATCAAGTTCAGTCTTACCCTACTTTATACTCAGGTTTCTCTTTGCTTTCTAGCTTTTTTATTCTTTCTTTTATTATCATTTTACTATTCACACTTTTAATAACATTTGAATAACATTTTTGTGGTCAAAAATTATTATTGATGCGGGTTATTTTATCATTTATCTCATTTAATCAATCCCAAGATTGTTAATTGATTAGATGAGATATTTGTGAGAATAAAGAAATAGATAATAGGGAAAGTTGATAGAAAAAAACATACTAAAAGTGTATGGTTAAGATAACTTAGAAAAAACCATAACACCAGCCATAGGAACTCCAAAAGAACCCTACCAGTTGACGATGCATCACTTCAGCTCAATCAAAGACGTCGAGGCACACGAGTTCATCAAGGCATATGCTGATCACTTGAAGAAGGGAGGCAAATTGGAAATCCCAGAGTGGGTCGATTTGGTCAAGACCGGCGTCACCAAGGAACTTGCCCCATTGAACCCAGACTGGATGTACATCAGAGCTGCTGCCATCGCCAGACAGGTCTACTTGAACCAGGGACTTGGAATCACCGACATCTGCAGAATTTATGGAGGACAGAAGGGTGGACATTTGACCCCAACCAAGCGTACAAACGGCTCTCAAAAGGTCAACAGATACATCCTCAACCAACTCACCAAGATGGGCATCATCGAAAAGATTGCCAAGGGAAGAGCTGCTACCAAGGAAGGAAGAAAAGACATCGACAAGATCGCCTACCAAGTCTACAAAGAGCACGAGGCTAAAGTGACTCCAATGATCCTCATGCCGTTGAATTAATTAATCCGTTTTGTGGCTCTTTCGTTAGCGTTGTTTTCTTCATTTAGGTTTTTTGTAGACAGTAGTATAGTTTTATAATAATTTATATATAATTGTTTATTATTTTCCATAAGGGTCAATTCCTCGTTAAATTATTTTCTTTCTCTCTTTTTTTTATAGAAAATAAAACTATAATTTATAGTAATAAACACCAATATGGTAAAACAATCACTTCAGTGCAGTTCTTTGTGAATAGAAGTACGCAATTGGATCAGAGTAAAAAACGTGTTTCGTCCCGTCTGCCTTTTCAAACGCGCTCTGACACTCTCCGAATATTTTTAGTTGGTCCTTTCTGTGAATTTCAAAGCTTGTCATTGAACTATAACTTTATAGTAAAAATGCCATTTTGAAATAAGAAAACAAACCAAAGTCTGCAAGAGTTGTACACCGCTCTTTGTAACGATCCCCTTCCTCTTTTTGTATATACCACTGTTGACTGAGCCAAACATGATGTACGAATTGTCCATCACATCGATGTCAGCGACACTGAAAAATCCACGAGTCCGAGAGAAGTAATCACTAATTTCTCCTTTAATTTTAAGCATATTAGCCTTTTGAAATGGGCCGACATAAAACACGTCTGTCTCTCCCTTTGAAACGTCCGACTTGATTTTTTCGAATGCTTCTTTGTTGTCGTTCTCGTTCTTTTCAATGGAAGAAATTGTGTCCTTGTCTTTGGTTTCTTGTTGGGTGTCAATTAGTTGCTGGTTCAACTTCCCTTGTTTTTGAAGAATAGTAATTAGTGTGCTCAACATTTTGCGGTGTGAATCAAAAGTGTCAGAAAAGTTCTTTGTTGGTTTCTTTGTGTTCTTCATTATGAATATTTTCTTAGATGCACGTTTTGTTCAAGTCACCATATTTTTATTTCAGTTCACATCATTCATATAACTTATTCTTTAAATATGAACGAATTGCGTTTTTTGAATTTCAGTAGTATAGAATGTCAAATACTAGTTCAATTAATAAAACAATAGTTATTCTTCTGGTTTTAAATTAGTTGATTTAATGGGTATATTCTCGGGTTTTTGCACGTTGAGGATTTCATCGACATATTGAGTTAATTGCTCGAGAGTGTTGTGTTGCCTTTCAATGACTTCTTGTCTTTGAAGTAGCATATTTGACACTTTAGTTTCCAGTAAGACTTCTTCCATAAAGTTTTGCATGACTTAATGAATCTTAGTGTTAATCATTTCTTCTTAATCAAGAAATCAGTCAATTGAAATCTAAAACTTTTTTTCATCACTTTCTTAGTCTTTTAATTATTTTATATTATATTAAATACTATAAAAGAATTCTATCCATTTGTTATAGAATAATTTATTATATAATATATATAATATAATATATAATATATAATATATATTATATATTATATTATGTATTATTTCATAATATATAATATATAATAAATAAAAAGTAACTATACGAGAACATTGTCTTAATACCCAAACATCTTTTTCATTCTCTCGAAATACATAATTCTCCATCCACCTTCAGTTCGCTCTAAGTCGTGATGTTCAACACCAGTTTGAATGAGATGGAGTTCAGTCTCTTCTTCAGACTCATCACCCTCTTCCAATGTGATGATTACCGTTGAGTACTTTTCTTTTGGCCATGTGTTAAACCTCCACAAATACTCTATCTTTTTGTTCTTGTCAAGTTCTTTTACCTTCCCAGACACGGCGCCACCAAATAACACAAACTCTTCACCAACAACGGCTTTGTATTGGACTGGTGATTGCATCAACGCAGTCAATCTCTCGGGGTCATTCAAACACTCATAAATGATTCTTGGTGGAACAAGAAAATGTTCAGTGATGTCGACTGTTGTTGCCATTCTTATTTTTATTAGTTCATTGCAACTTCTTATTTAGTCTTTTTTCCTCGCGTATCCATTTTTTAAAAGAGTTCAGTTGCTTCCTGTAATTCAGTCTTTTCATCTCTATTTTTTGGGGCTCAAGTGGAAAATTTTCAAATTTTGAATCTTCAAGTCATTTGAAAGTATTTTTTTTTCGTATGTGCCACGTATTTTTGATGTGGTAAAACAAAGAAATAACTCGACGCTATTTGGTGATGATCGCCCAATTTCGTAAATGGGACAACGACACGCGGATCACCATAGCGCAAGTGTATATAGTCTATACAATCACATTTATAATTTCAATTATCGACTTAGGGACTTTATACCCACAATTTAACGTTATGTGGGTATTTATCGTCTATATCTTACTACTTTTATTGTCTCTTATATGTCACTATAAGTGTGTCGTCACTTCAAATGCCGTGCCAGAGTATATCAAAATGGATATGACTACATACAAACCGTGCGATAAATGCGGATTTGGTAAACCAGAAAGAACACACCACTGCTCGAAGTGTAAAGAGTGTGTTCTATGTATGGACCACCATTGTTTGTATATCGCTAATTGTGTCGGCTTTAACAACAAAAAGTACTTCATTCTTTTATTGCTTTATAACACTTTGATGAGCTCTTTTGTGGTCTTCATAAACAGCCCATTAGCAGTGTACGCTTTTTTATATCCAGAAGTTGGCCCAATGTATGACAAAGTATTTCGTTTCTTTGATTTAATACATTTCGGTGCTGCTCTCTATTCTTTTGTTCTCGTCTTTCAAACGGCTCCTTATATGTTAAGTGCCGTATTCTGTAACTTAACTACAATCGATTTAATAGTTTGTTTCTATCATTTCATTAGTTTCTCATTAAATTTCTATTGAGAAATTGGAGAATCTCCTTGATTCTACATTTTTTCATTCCACATTTGTTATTATTATTTATTAAAACCATTTATTATAATTAATAATTATATTATTATTATATTACTACCTATACTTTAGTTAATTATTAATTAAGTAACAGATTAAAGGAAGTTCGGGACTACTCAGTTCACACCAATCACAAATCCGTAATAAATACGACTTGGGAGTGAAAAAGAATATCACTCAGATTTTTGGAAACGATGGCGTTCTTGCATTCTTCCCAACAAAACCAAAAGGCCTCACTTCCGATGGAATCACCTTCGAGCACAACACTGTTTATAGTCACTCACTTGATGAGCAGTACAACGAATATTACGAGGATTACTAACTTTATTCCTTTTATATTTTACTATTCATTTATAGTTTTTTACCATTGAAAATAACCATCCAGAAAGAACGCTAGAAACAATGATTTAATGGTTAAAGAAGCAACGCACTTCATTACTCCTTTCTCAAGAAGTCTTGAAAAATGATTTCGATGACCTCATCGATCTCTTTGAATTGTGGGCGTTTCATTGGGTTCATGTCCCAGCATTTTGTGATCAATTGTTTAATAGTCGAGTTAAATGTGTCTGGTAGAAGTAATCTCTTCCCTGTAGTAACAAAGTCTGCGATATCCCAATTATGTTGGAACAAGGAGCTGTCTGAATATGGGACTTTCTTCGACAAGATTTCAAGTGCGGTGATTGCAAACGAGAACACATCAATAGGGGTGCCATAGTCCAAATTTGATATCATTTCTAAACTATTAATATTATAACTATTAAACTATACTTATTACTTGAATGTAAACTATAAAACATAACAAACCTGGTGCCATATACATTGGAGTGCCAACAGCTTGTGACCCTTGTGAACTTTGTGTGTTTTGTTTTGAATTTTCCTTAATGCTCACTACACTTTGTGAAGTCCCAAAATCAGAGATCTTCGCTGCAAATTGGACCTTTGGACTGAACGAGAAGAGAAGTAAATTGTCCGGCTTCAAATCGCGATGTAAAATCCCGTTCGCGTGCAAAAATCGCATCCCTTTCGCACAATCACTCAAACACTTCATCCCTAACAGTTCAGTAAATTCCGGCTTCAGATATGCACTTTTAACACTCCCAAATGGGGCAAATTCCATAACCATTAACGTGTGACCAGGTACATCACTACTTCCAATAAATTGCACAATGTACTCATTCCGAATCGATGAATATGTGCTCACCTCTTGTTCATATTGAATCCGCTCGTCCGGCGTTAACACATTTCGACTCTCTTTGATAGCTACAACTTGCCCTCTGTAATTGCCTTTAAACACGCCACCAAACCCACCCTCACCAACTAAAGTCTCGGACTTCACTTCAACATAATCAATATAAGGAGACACTACACTCTCTAATTTAATAGGTATGCGCGCATAGATCTCTTCATCTTCTGTATTTCCTTGGCCACACGATACTACTGTCAGATACTCTTCAGTGTGACATGTACAATTCATTACAATCTCAACTTCTATCGATACACCATACCCCCTATCGAGGACACCAACACCATGTTTAACAACACATCTAAATCGATAAGTCTCGGGCGGTTCAACGCGATACTTCAATTTCTTTTTCGAGCGATTGGATATGACAATTTTGTCACACAGCTTTTTACCGACAGGGACAGGCCCTTTCTCACTCCCAAATTTAAGTTCCTCAACACTAAATTTGAATGGAAAGTTTTCATTGTACATGAACTCCATTTCAGTCCCATTTAATTTGTACGTCTTCGCTTTGTCTTCCGTTTTCCTCATTTTGTATTTCCATACAATGATCGCAACTATGATGGAAATGACTAAGATCAGCAATAAGACTCCAACTACAACGCCAAGACCAATACCCAAATTCATCTTTTTCAAGTCTTTTTTACACACCAACTGTTCTTCATCATAATTGTACCCAATTCCGCAATTACACTCCCGTTCATTACAATTGTTCACTATGGCTTGCGAATCAAATATCATGTCTTCCCACGTAGTGCCGTACCCCCCTACATACACTCGCCGTTCATTCACAGAAACAGAATACCCCATTTCCATCCCACTTTCTCTCCCTTCTTTCACCTCCAAAAGTTCAAACCGCGGAGTAAGATCTGTTAATTTGTGATCAAAGTAGATTAAAATTCGTCCTCTGTTATTGTCATATCTGTACGCACCAACAACAAATAGAGAACCATAGGTAGCCATGTTATTTGAATACTGTGGATTTGGTTGGCTATTAGAATAGTAAAATGGGACAATCAAGTAGTTCTCCTGAGTATAGTCATCAGCGTAATCAAATACAATGATTTGGTCTCTGTCGCTCACTGCTACATAAAACGTGTTGTGTATGTTCCCACAAAGTGGATCGTATTCAAGCGTTAGAGAAGTGTTAGAGTATTTCTTCAAAGATATACTCTTTGTAATTTTGGCTTGGCCGTCTTTGTCGATATTAATAATGTTTAGTAGAGTCATGGTCTTGATAGCAACTGTTAAATCACCAGCTGCTATGTATTCCCCACACGCAGTATCATTTACTTGTGTCTTCTTCCCAAAGGAACTTCCACTATAAATGGTAAGAAGTCCATTTTTACACACCAAAATATATTCAGTGTCCTTCACCTCAGCATAGTCTTTCTTTTGAAACGCAAGAGGACTATTTTCATCCGCAAAGTTGTTTATCGTTTTGTATATAATTCCCATTTGGGCCTCGACAAGTGATAGGTTTCGTTGGGAGAGAACCATAACTACTTCTCGTATACAATACGTCTCTGCTCGTAATGTATCTGTTTCACTCTTTATAATGTCTGTCGTTCGGTTCAATTTATCTCCGAGTGTTGTAGATAGTCTGAATGCAGTTTCTATATATCAGTTGTTTGTTAATATTAAACTATAAATAATAATACCCAAAAGAAGAAGTTAATAAAGTTAAGTATTCGTTTGTTGACTTTTGGTACAAGAAAAGTATATAAAGAAGTCCAATAATTTAAATTGAAAAACTATTAAAAAGTTAAAACAAACCATTTAAATCAGAGAGATAAAGAACATACCTCATAGAAGTAATTTCATTGTGGTGTGTTTTGAAGAAAAATGTTTTGTTGCCGTACGTTTGAGTCAGACAAGCCAAGAGTAACAATATCATAAATTATTTAGTTTCTTTTCTTTTCTATTTATAGTTTTCTTAATTTCTTTTTTTTTAGTTTCTATCTAGTATATATTACTATTTTTTTGGAATTATTTTAAAGTGGTTTGTTTTATTATTATGATTGTTATATTATACTATACAATAATACAAGTCATCGTAAATCAAAAAAAGAATAATACATAATAGTTACAATATGGTATTAATATAACAATGAATTATAATTATTTTCGTCAAAAAAAACGAGGTGGAGAGTAATTTTTTTATTCTTTTGATTTTAATGGAAAAACAAATTATAGAACAATATTGTAAGGAATAGTTAAAAAAATAAATACTTATCTACAGAATTATTCATATTCAAATGGTTAAAAAGATGACAAAAAAATTGAATGAAAAGACTTACTCGACTTTTTCACCCCAACATGGGCTAAATTGGGTCAAAAATTGTCCTTTAAACTTCAACCCACACTCGGGGTGAAATACAGTGCCACATTGTTTGCAACGCTTACCTTTTCTGCAAGGCATATTACATACACAACAGATCGTAGTCATCATTCCAGACGATTTAAAATCAATGAAATCGTGTTGGCAGCACATGGAATCTGCAAGTCTGACTTCAGTGGTTGTTGCAACGACCGTTTGAATTTGACCATTACGTTGCACAAAAGCGACGCCGATCATCTTGTCTCCCTCTTTTCGTTCATACTCCAATTTCCTTGAGAAATTGTTGTTAAATACGTACACGTCCTTTTCGCCAATCGCTCCGATTAGTCCAGGTAAACAGACCAATTTCCAAACGGGGTGTTCCAAACTTATAGTATTGATCACATTCAATGTGTTGAACTCCATCACACAAATCTCATTTGGCATATTCTTGTTGATAGCAAACACCTTGTCGTTCAAGACAGAAAACGCCAGAACAGTAGTGTTCGGATTTGACGCAGCACAAAGTCCTCTTTTATACAGTGCAAGATGTCCCATGTTATCAACAAAGAGATACATCCGTTCATAACTTCTCTCCACATAATAGACATTCCCAAATGGTCTGAAAGACACAGAGTCGATGTAATTAAAGCATCCATCTACTATCTCACACACTCCTCCATCGTAGTCAATTAACACAATTCCATTATCACTCTCACCAACAGCAGACACATTACTCATCGGATATTCCATTTCAGTCGTTCCATACAGAATGACACTGGTGCTGTTGACTAAACAGAAGCCACTGCTTGTTTGTGAACCCATCCTCACATCTCTTTCGTACAACTTTGTTGACTCAAAGTTGTGTGTTGAGATCAAATTGACTTCTCCGCTATTCCCTGTCGAACGAACTACTATTAACCCATTCTGTGAAATTCCAAAATCAATGATCCCATCAACACTCGCAATTGTCTTTTGTTCGGTTACACCAAAAATGGACAACAATGGATTCATTCTGAATTCGTGTCGCTTGCGCCGTCTTTCCATTCGGGTTTCCGGCTTTTCTCCATTCAGTCGACTGTCAAGTTTACTCTGGAAATTACCAAAGCTGAATCCAAATGGACTTTTTGCCTCTTGTTGTTGCGCAGGAATTTGTTGTTGTGGGAACAAGTTCACTTGAGCTGATTTTTCTATTTGTCCCATTTTCATCAACTCGCCAAAAGTCATTGGGGTTTTGTTTTGTGGCATTGTTGTTTCCTTCTTTTCTTTATTCTCTTCGAGTTTTGTGTCTATTTTCTTTCCAAAGTCGGGCATTTTGATTCGTGCCAACTTACTCTCTTCCTTTTTCACACTTTCACTCTTCTTTTCTTCACACTTTTCTTCACTTGTTGGAAGTGCCTTTTCATTCATCTTTACGACCGGAAGCGCATATTGTTTTCCTTCTTCTTTCCCTTTCTTTAACAGATTCTGTTTCATTAACATCGCCGCAGAAGACAATCCCCCTCCGTCCATCCCTTTCGTGGCTTTGATGATTTCATTCTTACTAGTTATCACCTTTTTGACTCGTTCGTTTTGTTCGACTAATGCCCTCTCGCGATTTTTAAGCTCGTCGACCGCCTTCTTTAACTTCTCAATTTCATCGTCTTTCATTTTAACTTGCATCCCAGTCAACCCAAGTTCTTTGGTTAACTCCTCGTTCTTGCGAAGCGCGTCTTGCGCACTTTGTTTTGACTTCTCGATCTCCTCCCCAGTCTTCGCAACTTCAATTTTGGAAGATGTGACTTGCCTTTGCAATTCTTCAATTTTCTTCGTCATGATTTGTATCTTTAGCATCGCGTCGTCTCGTGCAGCATCAAGACTCTCTTTTACAGCGACTCCTTCTATTTTGCCATTCTTCACTGTAATTTCAAGAGCAGCCAACATTGACATGTTTGGGGTAATCATCGTCTTTGTCGCAGTTTCCAAGTTATGTAATTCCGAAAGGGTCTTATTATGTTCCTTTTGTTCGTTCTCGTAGTTTTCCGTCATTTCAACGTATTTATTTGCGTAGTTCGTGAAATTCTCTTTGAGTTCTTTTATTAAAGCAGCAGAAGAAGTCAGACTTTGTTTGTATTGTTGTTCTTTGAGTAGTAATTGTTTCACTGTTTGTTGCGTGTCTTCTATCTTTTTAGTGAGTCCGTCCTTCAACTCTTGTGTACTTACAATATGTTCATGAAGTGCACTTTTATAAATCGTCACCAACTCACTGTCTTCATAGTCCAACTCATCAAAATTGGGATCAAGTAATATGTCCAACCCACTTTTTTTCTCCGACTCACTTTCTTCAGAGTCGCTTATCTCAGAGTCAGTCAACTCAGAGTCTTCTTTTGAGTTCGTTGAGTTTTCTAAATCTTCACTTTCTTTCGTTTCTTGAACTTCTTTTTCGTCTTTCTTATCTTCGTTCTCTGGTTGTTTCACCTCTTCAACTGTCTTTTCTTTCTCACTCATCCTTTGAAATTGTTATCAAGTTTTTCGTTATTTCAAGTTTTTGAATCCGATTGCTTTCATATTTACTATAACTAAATCAGTCAGAACTATACCATAATCATCATTTATTTCTTCCAAACTGAAATAATAATATTTATAAATAATTCTTATTAGTTAATATAGTTATTAATTGCATTGGTCATTTTTTCTTACAATTCTTTTTATGAATATCGAATTTAACTTTAGTTTCGATGTTCTATTATTGTTATTATAAATATTATTTTTATAATTGTGATTTATTTAGAAATTAGTAATTTTTCAAATTATAATAATTACTAATAAGTTTATTACAATGAACTAACAAAAAATCAATCACATTGACATAACCAATTCCTTATTCAGGATCAATAACAAAGCTGAAGTTGATGTCCATCTCATGTTCGATTTCGGGGTTAAGTCTCCTGAGTAAAAACCTACTCTGTTTGTTGTCAATTTCGTCAATGGCTGAAAGGAAGTGGTTATAAAACGCTTTGTAGTTGTCCAACTCCAAATCGACTCTGTTCTCCATCTCTTCCACAGTATTATTGAACTTCTCCGCCCTCTCTCTGTCCACCCGATTCATCCCTTTTCGCCTATCAATTTCAATCGAAACGTTAGTGATGAAATAGTCCAACTTCTCTATTGCTGTGAATATGAAATTGATAATCGATGTCGTGATCACTGAAATCGTGGGTGAACTAATAAACAAAACTCGAGCTATTTCATCAACATACGCACCATGTATGGAGCTCAAAGCATACAAGTCATTCGCTGTTTTCCACGCCTCTTCAAAGTGGTCGTAACACTCTTGCATGTGCACATACATGTACTCTTCGAGTGACTCCACAAACCTCGCACACTCCACAAACTTAATTCTGAACCGATGCAAAAACACGGGAATCCCATCAATGAGTGCGGAAGATACAAAAAACGGAAACATCCTTTTAAACACTTTGTTGATCGAAATCCTCAGACACTTCACTCTCCACAGAAACTTGAATATATCGTTGTATGTCTCAACTTGCTTCTGTGATATGATCAGTCCCAATGGCTTTGGTAATTTGTATGAAATCGTCACATCAAATTGTATGTTCTTCACACCGCCTTCTTCTGCTCTGCAACACAGTCGGTCCGTAAAGCAATTAGTCAGATTTAAAGCCGATCTAAAATACGACGTCAAATCCGCTTGTGTCATTGTTCCACATGTCAGTGTTTGATTTATCGAATCAATCAAATTTGTTGCAAAATCTCCTCTAAACAGAAGCATGTATTGTTTAATCAAGAACGTATGTTCAAGTGGGGTGTACTTTTCTTGTAACAATTCCACTGTCTTCTTATGAGTTTTGTTGTTCAGCTGATTCACAAAAATTTGGAAATTGTTATTCTCCGTTTGATCGAGACAAAATAAATTTTTGTTGCTCTCCATTTCATCGGTCAAATCATTTACGTCACACCCGATGTCCTGCAGAAATATGACAGCTTCTCCGATAAATTTAATCCCACTCGCTATCTGACACAAAAAGGACGGCACTAAGTTGTTTTGAATATGTGTTGTTTCTAGCAGCGCTGGTGTTGTTTTAATAGTTAAAAAGAAGTCGTGGTGAGGGTCAGTGAATTGTCCTCTGACCACCCAGTCGTAAATCATCTGATAAAGCGGCACAGACGCTTCCTCTAGCATTCTCTTTGCGATAGAATTCCGCATTTTATGTGGTGAGCGAGTTTCTCGGTGTAAATACGACAACAACTCTCCTCCTTTCAACGTGCAGCTTTTCCTCACTATTTCGTCCAAATTGGATATACAGTCTTGGCAGTACAACCCATGTTTGTACATTTGAAGTATTGTGACTAATTCCGATTGGTGTAGACTCGCGTCTATCTCAGCGACGTATGAAAAGTACTCTCTCAATATTGTTTCTGCTGTTGCGTACACAGCTCTTTGAACAAAACTTTCTGGCGTGTACGTTGCCTTAAACAAAATAAACTCTTTCAGTCGTGTTGAGACTGTTTCTAGTATTGGAATTACATCCGAAGAAAAAGGTGGGAATTTGTTGTTGTCGCGCACGTATAAAGGGTCGACACCCTGAAGCAAAAAGATTAAGTCTTGTACTGTGTCCACTTCTCCAACCAATATTGGTTCGTTGACAACTTCTTCTGCTATTTCAGAGCGTTGAAAAGCAGAGGAGAGTTTCGCCGTGTCTTCGAAGTCTCTTGAACTACCTTCGTCCATCTTCATTTTTTGAGTTTTTTTTTTCACTTTTTTGTTTTTTCCAAAAATAAAACTGAGTTATTATCAGATATAGTTAATATATTATAACTTGATTAAATTATGTCATAATTATTGATGGGATTCTTTTGGCGTAATAAGAAAACAAATAAGGGGACAAAACAAAAAGAAGTTCAACAGATAGAAGACATCTCTTCATTGACTGAATGTCGATCAAAGCTTGCCTCAATCGGATCACAACGGAAGGTGTTTTAAATCGACGTGTAAACAATAGACTGAACTAATTGGTAATCAGTTGATTATCTTTTCGATCTCTTCTGCATTGGGATATGAAGACTGTGTACCTTTCTTTAAAACAGAACTTGTCGCTATTTTCGCAGACATTTTGGCCGAATTGACAAAGTCAATTCCTTTCGCCCAACACCTTGCAAAACTCCCAACAAAAGCATCCCCGGCGCCTGTTGTGTCAATAGCCTTTACAGGCGCAACATCAACCTTTGTCACCTCGTTTCCAAAAACTAGACAGCCATTCCCACCCAATGTCACTACAACAACAACTCCAAACTGTTCATGAAGTTTTTTTGCAGACAACTCAGCCGTTTTTTCGCCACCAATTTGCATTGATTCATTTGTGTTTACAATCAAGACGTCAACGTCTTTGATCATCTCTATGTCAAAAGTGCGAGGCGCAGGTGCAGGGTTCCATAAGGTGTGGCATTTGTTTTTCTTCGCCAAATACAATGCTGTTCGCGTCGTTTCAATTGGAATTTCGTTTTGGCAGACAATTACGCTCCCCTCTTTGAATATCGAACTTTCGCGCTCTTTGAGCTTATTGTCAATTAAAACTCCCAATGACTTTATACAAACAAACGAATGCCGGTAACAACGAGAAATTTGCTCCTGGAAGAACGACAATTTGGTTTTGTCCAGTCTTATCGACGGTAATCATCGCACACCCAGTGGCTTCATCACAGAACCCGATATCAGTCGTGTCAATGCCACATTCTTTGTAATTCTTCAGTGTGTTTTCGCCAAAAGAATCTTTTCCCAAAAATGTCACCATTTTGACTGGAACATCTTTAAATTTTGAAGCCATCACACATTGGTTTGCTCCTTTCCCACCAAAGCCTGTGTGAAATTTTCTATTCATGAGTAACTTTATTGATTTCAGATTTAAAAAAACAACAAACCCACCAATAACTGTCTCCCCGGCTTCTGGAAAGTTGTCGCAGTACCCGATCAAATCAGTGTTAGAAGACCCAACTATAACAACAGACATTGCTAGTGTACGATTACATTCGAAGTTTCATCTAAAAAATGAAACAATTAGAAAAAGCAAATTGGTTGTTTACTCACCAACACGATTGAGCAACAAGACAAATCCAGTTATCTATATTGACACAAAATCAATGACAAACAAAACATGTTTGTCATTGATTTTGTGTCAAACGCTTTTAGTCGTCACTTTTTCATGCAGGTGTTGAAATGTTAAATGTTTCAATACCGAAACACCTTGACGAAAAACAGTTCGAAAAATTCAAACGTCTTATGTTTAAAAACAAGAACTGAAAATTAATGTCACAAAAACTTGAAGAGATTTACAGCAAAGTCGACTTAGACTGCATATACAAAGACGACCAACACGACTCGGATTTTTACGAAAAGCAAGCCTTCATCTGCGACCAGTACATCAACCTTGCTCGTGAAGAGCAGCAACCGATCATGAAACAAATTGATGATCTTAATAAACAGATCCAGCATCTTCAACACCAAAATCAGTTACTCCAGCAAAAGAAGGAACTTATGAAAAATCGGAGCACAGTCTTCCTTCAAGTCGCAGATAAACTGAAAAACCCTCCACTTGCTAAGCAATAATCGTTTTTTGTCGAAAATTGTTCTATTGCAATTTTAATTATTTTTTAATAGTTTACTATTCGGAAATTGGTTTTCCCTAGCAATCAATGCCTCTTAAAAATATTTGTGAAAAATTGAATGAAACACAATGTATGAATAATATGGTGATGGAAAAAATATCTTTCAAACACTCATATTATTATACTTTTTTTTTACGTTTGAAAAGTTAATAACTTTAATAAAAATCTCAGTTGTTTTTTTTGTCTTTTCTTGGAAGTGAAAAATTGATAGTAAAGAAAATACGTGGAACCGACAATTGATTTACTTGTAAAAACATGTTGAAAATTCACGATTTTTTGTTTTATTCAATTTAACATAAAGAAAAAACTGTGATATGTTTTTTTAATTGTTTTTGACGTTAAAATTATGATTATAATATTTCAAATCTTAAAACAATTAAAAAGTTTAGCTAATTTGTTTTGTTTTACTACAGATATAGGTTTTATCAATTCAAGGAGATTAATTTTTTGATTTAAAAACAAATTTAATTTTTTATTTTTTCAATCAATTACAAATTAACAATCAAATTATTGATTTCAATTTGCCACTTAATTTGTCACATTATACAATCAATATCCTCCAAAAACAGACTCAAAAAAACGATTTGAGTTGTTTTAAAAAGACTTGAATTTGCCAAAAAGCAGAAAGAGCTAAAAACACCACATTGAACAAATTGAACGAATGGAAAGAATTGAAGAACTATCAAAAACAAGCCACTGAATGGAATCCCAAATACCTCATCGAGCAAAATCCGCCCGTTTTTCTCGTACATTATCATTTGGGATCACACAAACAGTTGATACAGTTATAACATCAATACTTCACGAAGCTCAAGAAATCAATAAAGAGCGACTTGGGAAAATGACCGAGTTCACTGTTGTTACAGACAAACTCAAGAAGCACAAAATAACGATTTTCAACCAAAAAGATGACACCAAAGTCGACACAATCACAGAAGCAAAGTGGCTCGTATTTAAACTTGAGTACTTCCGAAGGGAGATCTTAAAGGAGTTAATCATTCACGCACATAAATACAAACTTCCAACCGTTTTTTTCAATGGTGTGATGGTTGCAAATGAACCGGAAGAGTGTTGCACGGCGTTTTTGTCGTTTGCCCTTTCGATGGGGTCTTCCCTCTTTGACCCGAACGGAGACGTCTATCCACACTTCCAGAGTGAGTCGATTTTGTCATCAATTCCGCCCAAAGATGCATTGGAATGTATTTTCAATTGGACTGTTGCAGATCGTTCGACCGTGTCAATGGTGTTATCCACCTGTCGAACGTATTTAACTGACAAAACTCTCTTCCAAGTGTTTGACCACAAGTTATCGCTTTGTTATTCATTTTCCCCGACATTACAAAATGACGCATTCCAACGGTTTTACGTCGTCGTCAAGAAGTTTCTTGACTTTTATAGTTCCTTAGTTGATGTGGAATTGGCACAAGACTTCGAAACGCTTCTGATCAGTTGCAAAGAGTCGATGGTCAAAATTGGGAAAGCGCCGTGTTTGGATGTTTCCCCACCCGAAGAGTATTCCCCAAGAACATTAATGTCCATCTTAAGTCCAAGAAAAAGTCGATCAAAAATCGTACCGTATGAACCCACTGAATCTTCCCAATTTGTCAGAACAATGCAGTCTCCTCGTGCGAATAAAACGGTTTATGTTTCCGATTTGGAAATGCGTGAAAACAAAAAGAGGAGTTTGAGTATTAATGAAGAAGATGTACTCAAACGGAAAAGTGGGACAAGTTACTCTTTACCACGAAAATCCCCAACTTCAAATTTTGTGACGCCATCAGTCTCCCCGTCCCCTCTTTCATTACAACAAACGACTTTTGAAAACATTTCAATGTATGAGAAATACCAATCACCAACACTACTTGGAGAATGTGGGATTGGGAAATACTTGGAACAGTGCGACAAGGATCTCTTAGACGTCGACTTTGTCTTTTCAAAGAAAATGATGCGAACGAAGAAGTCGGGCAATTTCACGGACATCCGGTCTCGTATCATTGCTGAACAACTTTATGTCTACGATCTTAAAATGTTGGGCAATACATCGATTGGAGATATTATCAATGGAACACAAAATGCGAAGGAATACATATCGAGTCTTAATTGTATCGAACTGTTAGTCCAATGCTTCATATCAAAAGAGAATAATAGTGACACGTTCGACTTCTTTATTCGTGTTGGATATAAGTGTCTGATATATGGAGACTACAATGCATCATTTTTAGTTTACTCTGCTATATCATCACAAACACAGAAATATCAAAAAGCCTGGCAAGAAATTAAAGAGGTGGACAAATTTAAAACACTGGAGGCTGTGTTTTGTGTGACTAATACAAAGGCATATACCAATCACTTCGACAAATGCAAAACTATGAAATTTCCAATCGTCTGTTTGTTCATTTGATAGTCAATTTCTATTGCTATATATATTTTATATATAATAAATAAACTATATTCTTTACTACTTAATATAGTATAGCAATTACTATTACTTTACAATGATATAGTATATAATAGAATAATACTATTGATGATAAGAACAATGAATAACACCCAGCAAGCGTACTCCGAGTGATCGAACAAACTAAAGCACTTCCAGAGCCTGAAAACACGGAAAATGCGAAGAACGAACAGTACGTCTTTAAAATGAAACGGATGTACAAGTCCCTCAAGCCACTTGAGACACTCTACAAAACATTTATTCCATATGAAAGTATAGAAGGTATCCAAGAATACATATCTCTCTTTCGAACGGAATAAATGGGGAGTTATATACACATTATGTATTGATTGAAATTAAATTAAAACATTCTATTGAATAGATGTACTATTAAAATATTAAATATTTATAGTATTAAACACGTTATAGTGTTATTATATTTGTTTTATTATAACCAATACTTGTGGACAATACAGTAATTAAATAATATGAATTATTTATGGTTTCTGTTCTTATAATACTGACATATCTCATTAAACATTACTTTGTCGGAAATCAGCGGAAACGCGAATTTGTCATCTTCATCTTTCATGTCAGCATCGGCGCCATTGTCGATCAAAAGTTTAACCACCTCTTCGTTCTGCTCTTCACAAGCAACATGAAGAGGTGTTTTCAACATCGAATTTTGAGACAAGACAGTCTTTGTGTGTTTTAATAAGAAATTCACACACTTCATATTACCAGAAGCAACTGCTCGATGAAGCGGAGTGTTGCCATACACATCCCTTTGTGAAGCACCTTCTTGCCATTTTTCATAAAACTTTTCTAAAAGGTCTACCCTCCCTCTACTGTAATGGAACACAGTCCCTTTTTTCTTTGTCATCAATTTAACATCGGCTCCTTTACTCAACAAAATGTCGACAATTTGACTCGTTGTGTCAAGTTCTGTATTGGATGGAGCACCAGCTACTGCAATGAGTAATGGCGTCCATAGCCCCGAATCAACTACATTCACGTTTGGAGCTATGTCTATCACACTCTTAACTAATTCAACACTCTGTAATTCACACGCAGCATGGAGAAGTGTTCTCTTGTCATCATCTAATCATTATCATCCATTAAGAAGATACTTTTAATGAACAAACCAATATACTCTTTGCAAGGCTCGGGGTTCCGTTGTACGTAGTCAATAAGTTCCAGAGTTTTATTGTCACGAATTAGTGTGAAGATATCGACGTGTGTCTGTGGGAGCTTTTCATCATCAAACCGCAAAAACATTTTTGAAATGTGAGATTGTGTTAATTATAAATGTTATTTATTCAATTATTAAATTACTATTTATTTACAATAAATTTGGAAATACTTCAACGAAAATGGTAAAAAAAAATTACAAATGCTAAATAATTAATTTAATATCAAAATAATAGTATTTTTATGGTGTTTTATCATTTTGGTATTTAGTAATGGTATACCAAAAGTATATCATTATTATACTATTCTTAATAGTTATATACTAATAGCTCATATAAATATAATTCTTCACAATAATTCTCAAATGACCAGAAGATTAAATTTGGAGTTATTTAATACGATAATATTAAATGGTAACAATACAGTAGTTTCAAACTACTTTTCGGGAAACGAACAATTAAAAGAAAGTATTATTTAAAAATAGAATCATACCATTACTCATTATTAGACATGTTATTACATTAAATTAAACTAAAGTAAATTATTTCTAGATGAATTACAAGATGTTCCTCAATCTATAAATAGACAAAATACAACTTATCAGTTGACATAGAAAAGTCACCACGTATATTATTCATTTTAATAAAATACAAATAATTTAGACTTGTTGGTCATCATTTATTCGAAACATCTATTATTAATTTGCGAATGGCAATAATTATTTACACTATAAAAAGGGGATAATATGACTCAAAATTCAATGGCTACACTCATCAACTTGTGCAAAGCATTTACCGGGGAATCCCAAGCAAGAAATAGATATTTGATCTATTCCCGTGCTGCTAAGAAAGAAGGTCTTGATGTCATTGCTGCTCTTTTCAATGAGACTGCTGATCAGGAAGGCACTCATGCCAGACTTCTCTTTGAGATGATCCAGACCTTAAAGAAGGAAGGTGAACAGACCCCAAAAATTGAGGCTGAAGTCCCAATCGACTTCGGTGACACTGCAACCAACTTGATGGCTGCTATTGCTGGCGAGACTTATGAACACACCATTATGTACCCAGAGTTTTCCAAAGTGGCCAAAGAAGAAGGTCACGCTCAAATATCTGCCAAGCTTAACTTGATTGCCAAAGCAGAAGAAAACCACCACGCAAGATATCAAAAGATACTTGATGAATTGAAAGCCAATAACCTTTACAAGAAAGCCTCCAAAGTGTTTTGGGTTTGCAGAGAATGTGGTTTCATTTTTGAAGGAACTCAGGCACCAAAGAATTGCCCACTCTGTGGTATGCCGGGTGATTACTTCAGAGTTAAAGTCGATATTTAAGTCACTTTCTTTTGTTCTGACTTTTATTATATAATATAATAATAATATAATATTTATATAATATTTATATATTATACTATTTAAAAGAATTAATTAAGTTATTTAAAAATAGATAAAATGTTGTAAAAAGAAACTAAAAGAAATAAAAAAAGTCAACTGGAATTAATATCTTTTGATAAGTTCATCAATGAAGGCTGCCGTCTCTGTTCTCTGTGTGTTGAGTTGAACTGGGTCTTCTTCGGTTTCCGAGTACAAATCGGCGCAGTGACTTGTCCCTTCGATATAAGACGCATAACAGTCGACATCGTTGTATTGAGTTTCATGCTTAGCCAATGGACTCCATGGATCAAATGATCCCGAAGTGAAAGCCACGTTAGTGACTCTTGGGCTCATAGCACCATACATCATATTTGTGTGTTTAATTTTCTTATCCAATTTCTCTTTGGAGACACCGAAGATGTCTTTGCAGTTAGCGTAGTAAAAGTCGTTGTTAAGTCTTTGGTCGAATGGTTGAGTTTCTGTGATGGGTTGGAAGAAAGAATATTCCGAACAGATTTGCCACGCCCAACTTCGAGTTGAAGCAAATGAATTTGGTTTTGTGACATCAAATTCGCCTTCTGTCTTTGCCATTTCGATTAACATTTGGTCATAACTTGATGGCGAGCAAGTCAGTTTCATGTCATTCAACATAAATTCAACCAACTTCTTCATCCCATTATATGGAGTGTCTTCTCCAGTCAATATATTGCAGACGTCCTCGCACTTCTTCCCCTTTTCCTTCTTGTTATTGTACTGTGGGTATGAGATAAAGTTGGCTTGAATCTCTTGTAAGAAGAGTGTGAAGTCCTTATCATTTTTGATGTCTTTGCATGTCTTAAAATCCGTTTGTATTTGTTTAATACCATCTGCAGTCTTATAGAGTTGTTCGATATTGGCATTCGCTTGTTTCCAGGCAGCTGCACATTGTGGCCCCATATCTTTCTCAATGACATCCATAAACTGTGTAAATTGGTTGGTCGCCAATAAAGGAGCTGACGAAGCAACAGCCGCATACACTACATTGGGATATTTCTGTCGAATCCAAACAGCAAGGTTTCCAGAATATGACCCACCAAATACTATGACTGGGCCAGTGATTTGGTTCTGTTTTTTAATTTCGGAAATGATGTGAATGTAATCTTCAAGTGCTTGAATACCCGAGAGATACCCTAAGTTTTCTTGTGAGAGTCCTCCAACAGGAAGACTTCTTCCATAAAATCGGTGCTCTATTGCCAACATCATTCCTTTGTATTTTTGGGCGTACTTGTCAATCACAAATTTACCACCAATAGCTCCAGCTGACGCAGCACCTTCACCACCTAAGTCAACAAAAAGTGGACCTTCTGGTGTGAAGTATGTATCATTCAAAAAATATTGAATAGAAATTTTTTTGGTGTTAGTAAGGTCGAAATGATCAAGGGGTTGGTCCATATATAAACCAGTATTATCCGCTTCTAATTCCTCTTTGCTAAACCTTACTCGTTGGAAGTTGAGAGAGAAAGCAACTACTATGAAGAAAAAGATCTGCATAAGGTTTCAAGTTCAATTTCGAAATTTTTTCTTCTGTGTATTCCATCTTCTTTTTCAAATCGACTGGAAGAGTGTCGGGTGTTCTAAATAGTATTAATATTAATTTTTTTTAATAAATATTAATATATTTTCTGAAACAAATTGAAAAATCAGTTGTGGCTTGTTTATTAAATTTTTATTAAATTAATCGTTTTTATTATATCTATTATATTTTAATTAATTTATTATTATTTTTTTAAACTATCGAAAACGATTTTTTATTTTTTTTATTATTATAATTATATTATTATAATAATAACAATGAATTATTATATAATTACTCTAATAAAATATAATTAATCAAATTATGATTTTTAATTAAATACAAAAACTACTTTAAATAATAAAAATACTACGAACAATAATTTATTTTTTTAACCAACAAACAGATTTTAATTAACAACTAAATAATTTTTTTATTATTGACTTAATAATTCTTTAATTTTTTTAATAATACGTTTACAATTGTTTTTAATATTCCCCTTTTCAATCGTATTGTCATTAAAGAGTTGTTAAGAACTTAAAAACCACCATAATCCAACAACAGAAACTTTTTGTATAAAAAATCGGGATATCACACCAAAACTTATTTCTTTTCATTTTTCATTTACAAGAAAGAGTTTGAGTCAATCAAACATATTTTGGCAATAGAAACTAAGTAGTTAATTATAACTATTAATCCCATTATTTTACATTAAAATGGCTATTAGTTATGAAGGAAATGGCTTTTTAGTATCTATTACCTTTTCTTTGATTCCCAATATAGCATCATAAGAACTTATAACTTATTGTTGGATGAGCAACGAGAATAAGAAAGCCCTGCGTGAAGCAGAGCGCCCTTCTCGCACCGACTTCACACAAACACTTCTCACACAAAAAGATGCACTAACACAACATCTGAACACTTCCACAACCCCCGTCGCTTCCCTCCAAATCATTCGAAAAACACTTTCCCTCCAGGCGTACGCCCTTCGCACACGCAAACGCATTTCACTCTCGATGGCTCGTCAATTTGACTTAGAGCAACTTTTCAAATTTCAAGTCTACCAAAAAAAAGCGCAAGCGAAGCTGCTCGAGAAGGAATTTGAGGTATCCAAAGCGCGTGCTGTCTCACTACAAAAACTCGTTGTGCTCTCCGAGTCGACTTTTATTAACGAAGATTTCTCCAAAGAGTTACTCACGTATTTATTAGGGGAGAAAACTGTTTCAAATCTCTTAACGAAGGGGTTAGAGCTTGGCTTAGCTGAGTTTCGTAAAGAGTCTGAGGATGATTGGAAGAAAGTGAATTTGTGGATCTATCAAAACGTTGTCATAGCATTAAAGTCTGGGACTGATATTATTCTCGCGGTGATGTACATTAACTCAGAGTATAAAATAATCTTTGCGGAAGATCAGAAACGGCAGTTTATGGTGAAGTTAGGCAAATATGTTTGTTCTTTCTTCATATCATTCATATTATTTGATGTTCTATAACGTCACTCATTCAAAGGTTATCTCAGCAGACACTAAACAAATGATCAACACGTGGAAGGAACGTATTGAAAATCGTCATTTATGGTTCCAAGCTCTTCAAAAGCCAAAGGCATCACGGCGACGAATACCATTAATAGGGGAGATGACTGCTGTCTCTAAAAGTAGTATGTCGATTCTTTTTAATTCACAATTATCTCCACATTTGGAAATGGAAGAAGTCGTCGGTGTCGACTTACATGTTCTCAGCGAGCGCGAACATAACGCACAACAAGCCCCTTTAGTGTATCGATTACTCATACAATACTTCATCGACAATTCGGAATTCGAAGGCATTTTTCGAGTCCCTGGAAGCGGCGATGACGTGGCCAGTTTAGAGCGGACAATAACAAAGCGGTCATTTTCTCTTGAAGATCTAAAAGGAGTTGATCCGTATGCTATTGCGTCGACTTTAAAACATTTGTTAAAGGAATTACCTGTTCCTCTGATCCCCAAAAACATGAACGACAAAATTCAAGAATTAGTCGCTTTGAAATCGCCACAATACGTGTTAGTCATTTCTGTGCGAAAAATGGTCACCTTTTTAAAGGAGAAGATGCCTGAGCATTTTGAAGTCTTTAGACTCCTTTGTGTGATGATCAGTGAAATTGTGAATCAGTGCCCAACTAACAAAATGTGTCTTGGAAATGTTCTCACGTGTTTCGTCGGTTCTGTTAAGTGCTCTCCCTCCATATTCCTTTGTGCTGTTCAAAACCAAGGGATATTCTTCGATAGTTTGTTTTTACTAGATATTAACTAGAATTAATAGTAAATAACATACTTATCACAAGTGTGGAGGTGACATTGGCAATTCGTCCTTCTTTTTTGTACAAAGCTTTGGATACATCGTGTCTTATATATCTAATATATTTTACTATTCTTATGTTTTCCCAATCACTCGATACCTTCCTCTTTACGTCTTTTTGCTGCTGCAACTCATTTGATTGAACATCCGCTATAAAAAACAAATGCTATTAAAATAGTAAAATAAACCAATAGAATTGAAAAGGACACAAAAAAAATCGGGTTAAAAGTTCAAAGGAAAATGGCGAGCAAAATAACGATGACGAGGCAGACCAACAAAATTCCTATCACCAGAATTGAGACTTTGTCTGCTGCGCGCAATCTAACCGTGTCGACTTTTTTCGTTGTTTTTTGAATGTGAGTGTCGACTGCTCTATTTTTGTCTGTGATTTCGTCTAACAGTGGCGCTTGTTCCTCAATCTCGGTATTAATTCCGTACGCCAACTTCTTTTGGACTTGAACTGATGTTGCAATTCGGTCAATTTGGTCACTCTTCTCTAAATTGTTATATAAAATGTTTTTTTCAATTCTGTGGGTTTTAAAAATGGTATTAAAATGTTATTTAAACTGGGAGCATTGTATTTAAAAATTTCGTAATAATACAAACAAACGAGCTTCCATGTCTCTGAGTTGCTCAGACTTTTCGGCGTTAGAAAGAGGAGTGACAGGTGCGTTGCTTGCGAAATCTGGATCCATTTGGTTCTTTTTTTGTTCTTTTCTTTTTGAGTTCTATGTTTCGATTAAAACCGACATTGGAATTATTCTTTTGTTTTTGAAATGAAATGTTATTGTCTTCATTTTGTTTTGTTTTTCTATTGGTTTTTTGGTATTTATGGAATTATTTATTTATAATTAATTTACTATGTTTTAATAAATATTTGTAGTAGATCATTAATTGTAAAAATATTAATTATTTTATTATTAATTTTTAATATTTGATCATTAACTTGTTAAAAGAAATTTATTCAAATTTACTAAATGGCATATAGTTATTTTTTGTTTTTATTTCTATTAGTTTTTAAAATGATTATAAAAATAGTTAATTATTCATTTTAATTATAGTTTATTATTACATGTATAATATAATAATATAGTTAATATAATTATTACTATATATATATATTTTTCATTTTATGTTAAAAATAATTTACTTATTCAAAAAAATATGTGTGATGGTTAATACCAATTATAGTAAAATTCTTTTTATAAATAGATTATCTTTTTCAATTAAAATTATAGTTTATAATAATAAAAAATGTTATAAAACTATGATAAGTGTTTGAATAGAATTATAATCGACAATTATGACTTGTAGTAACCTAACAACTAATAATTTGTGGCATTTACACAGTCCATTTGTAAATAAATAGATTTACTGAACTTCAAAATACAACATGCAAAGTGTCTTGGACTCTCTCCACGACTTCAGTTTGAAGTGTCCCTTCTTCCCAGAATCTTCATTAGAAACACTGAAGAACTATAAGTACCAAGCAATAGACAATTCCTTTGTTGGGAAATACTTCTACCAAGACTTTGTGATTGCCCCAATTATGAAAGTTGTTCCTTTGTGGGCTGCTCCAAATCTGATTACGTGTGCTGGTGGTCTTTTTATAGTTTTAGCTCTTTTCACAGTATACTTAGCTGACTACTTTGGTGCGTTCACACACTTACTCGTTGGTATCTTTTTCTATATGTACGTGATCTTTGATACATTGGACGGTAAACAAGCTCGTAAAACAGGGAGTGGATCTCCTTTAGGAGAATTAATGGACCATGGTGTTGATGTCTTAGTGATGGGAACTTTAGCTATTATTTTGTGCCACGAATTCATGTTAGACCAGTTCCAGACGGCTTTCATCTATTTTGTTGGCTTTGCCATCTTCTATTTCCCACACTGGGTACAACATCAAACTGGTTGGATGATCTTTGGCCCTGCCACTAATCCCATTGAAATGGTACATCTATATCTCTTGATTGAAATTGTTCGAACAGTCATGGGATGGACTCCAGAAGTTGCAAATAAAGCGACTATATTTGGTATAATGGACATGCCAACTTTCTTGATGGTCTTTGCAACTTTTGTGTTGGGGTGCACCATATTTGGAGCTGTCAGAGATGTTAAAGCGGAACTCGAAAAGTCGAATAAGAGCTGGGACACACCATTAAAAGAGCTGATACCTTTCTTCTGCACATCTGTTGTTGCGTTGTCCATCAATTATATTCACATCGACAACTTCTTTTGTGACCAATTAAGACTTGTCGGAAGTGTGTGCTTTGTTGGGATGTTTGTCCAGTGGTATGTTGTGACCAGATTATTACATTTACCATGCCCTTCGTTATACATCAACTTCTATGGAACCGTCATAATAGCTATTGTAATGAATATTGCTTATCACTTCGATAGATGGAATATCGTCAACATGCTTGCTGTTGGTTATTGGGCACATTCGACCTTATGGGAATCTGCTCTTGTTCTCAATGTTATTTACCACTTCTCAAAGTACTTGAACATTAAACCATTCAAAATCGTCCCAAAGACTCAGAATTAACTCAATGAATCCATTAGTTTAGTATCAATTAATTATAGTTGTTTATAATTAAACAAATTATTGTTATAATACTATTAATAAACTAGTAAACTAATAAACTATTAATTTCACAAGAGACAACGTGACATGAGTTATCAACACTCAACACAAAAACGGTTTTGGATGTTTGAGAACTCGAGACAGGTGTCGGAACGCTTCGAAGAAATTAACAAGAAGGCGGGTGATTATTTGACCGTCGAAGAGAACCAAATGATTGTCGACTACTACGCAAAGCAGATGTCAGTGATCAGGAAGAAGACGGGGATGCCATTCAACGTCTTGTTCACTTGCTTGTTACTTTACAAACATTTTTACATCACGCAAAGCGCTCAATTATTTCATCCGAAACACATAATGATCGCGTGTCTCTGTCTTGGGCGGAAGCTTGAGGAGTTTCGATTTGAAGGGGAAGACTCCGTTACAATTCGGTATATGTGCAACTTGATAGTCGACAGTGGTGCGCTCAAGATGGATAAGAACGAGATGTGTAGCATCGCGATTATCTATGAGATAGTCATCATGGAGGTCTTGCATTTTCAAATTGGTAAATTCAACGCTGCTGATGGGTTTCAAGGTTTCATGGAGGCGATGGTCTTGTGGAAAAAGGTCGACAATGAGAGTAAAATGGAGGGAGAAGGACAAGACAAGGGGGAGAATATCTTCATGCGAAAATTCTTTGAGACGAAGAATGAAGTGTCGAGCTACCAACCGGAGTATTTAGCTGACGCACTTTCATTTCTGAAATTGGTGTATTTATCGGACGCGCCATTTTTGTATTCGCCATCGATTATAGCACTCGCAACACATTACGATCAAACAAAAAAGGACGAAGAGTTTGAGAATGAATTCAAACAGTTTGTGAGTAATTTGGAGAAGGAAAAAAATGTCGACATCCCAATCACCACACTGGAGGCGGTGATTAATTTGGCGCAAGAGGTTGTGGAAGTAACGTCGGCGGCGGTTAAACCCGTGTTTGTGAAGCTGAACAAAATCACTAAACTCTCGTTGGTGGCATGTTCTGATGTTGACTATATGTCTGTTGTTAATAAAGCGAATGGAAAGTTCACGGTGATGGAAAGTAGTGTGGTGAAATGGCATACAACAGATAAGGCGGTCTATCAGGTGTGGTGCCCACTTGGACCAGTCAGAGCGGATAGAATGTCGCCACTGAGGCAATTGCCTCGATTCATGTTTGTGCAATGCGTCGTGCTAACTATTGTATTTGATGCGTCAAGTAAAAAAAGTTTTGAAGACTTCAAAGGGTGGATTGGAATTGCTGAACGGATTGGAACACCACGTGTTGTTGTGATTGGCATCCATTCGGAAGAGAAGTCGCCTGTTACACAAGAAGAATTGAAGTCTGCATTGACTTCTTTGATGTCGAACAGTTTGTATCTTGAATACTTGGGGTGGAATAATACTACGTCGACATTCCAAGACTATTTGAATGTGGTTCAGAGAGTACTTTCGAAGAAGTTCAATTGAAGTTTAAATGATTGTTGTGTGAGTCCGTTTCATTAATATGACAGAAACAAACACAAAGAACAATCAATTGTACAACAACTAAACTCCTCAAAAGAGTCTTTACGCCTCTTCCATAAGTTCGGGAATAGCTGAGGAGGACGACTTGATGTCACGGATTTGTGAAATGCAAAGTGGCTTAATTCCAGTCTTCTCTTCGAGTTTTGCAATTGTCTTTATTTTTCCAATACAGAAGATTTGGTCAGATATATCAAGTATCAAGTCATCTTCTGCAACAACCACCGTCTCGTCCCCAAACTTTCTAACAACTCCAAGACACTTTAAACCCTTTGAAAGCAAAGAAGAAAAGACATCTGCAAAAGCCATTCCACTCCAATTCTGTTGAATGTTAAATTTAACAACAGAAACGTTGCCTGTCAAATGAAGGAAGTCCGTCCAAAGCGTTGCGCAATATTTGTTTTTTATCATATGACAGATCATTGGGACAATCATATATCTCGAGTATACCGAAGCATATTTCTTCACAAACCGTTCATTCTCCAAATCGTCCATTTCTACAACAACGGGAACTAGACCATTGATAATGCTGTTGATCGTCTCGGAGACTATAATCACCTCTGCATCGTCAAAATTCTTTGATTTACTTGGAATCACACAAATCGATTTTGCACGACGGATATTAGCACGGTCCAAGTCACCGACCTTCAGTGGGTTACCTTGCATAACATACAATTTACGGATGTTTGAAAGAATCGGCCACTCTTTTGTAACATCTTTTAAGTTCTCAACAAATATGACAATGTCCGACTCTTCCTTCTCTCGCAACTTTTCAACTAACGACACAGTGTTGTTGTGAAACCCAACAAGAAGAAGGTGATTCTCCCCGTTGTACTCCCCAATCATCGTCTTCTTCAAATTTTTCACTTTAACAAAAACGGGCTCTTCTGTTCCATCCTCCACTTGGATACTTTCGATATTGAAAAAGCCACGAGAATGATTGTCAGTCTTGTCAAGGATTAGGTCAATGCATTTGTCGTTGCCGAGAACAAACATGACATCCTCAATTCTCAAGGTTCGTGGAGCGTCAGTGTAATATATCACATCCTCCATTTTAACACCAACTAATATAGAGTCCGCCTCTCGGATTAACGCCAAGGTGACCGCCTCAACTTTCAAACCGATGAAGCATTCGGGAACGGGCATGCTTCGAACAACTCCATACAACTTTCTAATCTTTTCATCGACGGAAAAAAGTGTGAGCATTAAATCAATGAAATTGGGCACACAAACTTCTCCCACCATCAACTGCTGGGCATAATCTTCACACAACACATCAATTCCCATCGCTTGGAAACTCTTTGACAACCGATTTGATTTCAAATACACAAACTGGTTCAAACTCGGGTTCGCCATTTTAATTGATTTGCACTTCAAAAATGCCATATAATCATCCCCATCAGACACAACTAGGCTCCGCTTTGCACTCTTTATGTCACACAACTCCAAGTCTTCCTTCTTAATTGGGTTGCCTTCGATATAATAATTCTTCACATTACCAACTAACAACTTTTTCCAGTTATTCCCATCAAAAAGCGCGACAATCTCCTTCTTGATATTCTTGTCGAAAAGACTGAACATCCGGACGTCGCCAGAGTACAACACATAGTTGATTGTTTTCACTTTACTTGGACGAGTTGGTTGTGAGACGATGTCAAGAATCGACTTAGTTTGTATTGGGAGAATAATTATAGTCACAAAAATCGTGCAAATGGCGAGGATTTTCCCTTCAAACGTCTGTGGTGTGATATCTCCGAAACCTATAGTTGTCATCGTCACAATAGTAAAGTAGAAACAGTTGTGGTACTCGTGATACTTACTTTCAATCGACTCTCCTTCGAGTAGATAAATCAAATACGATGAGATGTACATCACGCAAAATATTGTCAGGAGCATACGAATGGACTTTGAGATGATTTGATATCTTCTAACACTGTTGCCAGTCCAGAACAGTTCAGAGACAGGAACAAACAAGTCCACAACCAATACTATTCTTAGAAACCCAAACCCGTACACATGACTTCTCCATGGATACAAAATGCTCTTTGATGCAAAGACAAAGTAAAATAACGGGATTGCAGTTATTACGTTAATGATCATATTTAAATCAACTATTCTTTCAAGTATAGTTAATTTAATAAGATTTAAATAGATCATTGTAAAGAACAAATACAGAGAAAGGGCGACTTCAATATCAACAAAAGTCCACAGCTTATCATCTCCAACAACATACGTTTCTCCACAGTACAATATGCAAATTAGAATATTAAGAAGTAAATCTGTGAGCACTAAATATTTTGTGTAAATTGAGGTTCGACACTTCTTTGTGAATTTCTGAAATGCTCTGATCTTGTTCGGTTTTGTGTACACCTCAAGTACCTTTGGCGAGACCGGTTCTGTGTCTGGGGAGCTCGACTGTTCATTATCCACAATGATTTCCTTCATTTCTTTTTCATCAGTCATCCTTGTATAATGAATTTGAAAGCTTTTGAAGTTCTTTCAAACTCGCTTTTATGGAGTGGACAAACAAAAGGATGGTTAAGAGGCTTAGGTTTTTGTGAAAAAACGAATTCTTTTTTTTTGAAATGGAATTACTTTCCAAACGACTTAGACTCACCCCAATTCTGTTTTTATGGTTTTTATTATTGGTATATAATATATATACAATTATAAATATTAGAATTCTATACTAATAAAATAAAATTTGTTATACTAATTAGTGTTATTTTAATTTTTAATGGAAAGTTGTTCTTGTGAACTTATAGTTTTTTTTCTAATTGTTACAATTATTGGGCCAAATAGATGCATTTTTGTTGGCTCTTGATTTTGAAATCGTCGTATTTTTTGTATCAAAAAGAAACAATGATAAAGAAGTCGTGATACTTTGCATCAAAAAAGATCACAATTCCCAAAACAAATTTCTATTGATAGAAATTTTCCCGCCAATCTTAAAGTGATGTTTCAATAACAAATTTCATAACTTTTAACTTAACTATTTTAATAGGTTCAATTAATTAACAACTAATCTTAAAGAAAGTAAGTTTCAAATACATATAAAATCGCATTAATTAATAAAAGAATTAATTTTTGAATCGCATTACAATGTGTCTAGTTGATTCAGTCTTTGGTACTTTCAAAATGTTCTGAATAATCAAAGCAATATTAAACCTTTGAGAAACGTCACAAAATTCTCCTTCTAAACCTCTTGAGACGAATTGCTTTCCAAAAGCAAATTGGATACTTGAGTTGTTTTTACTAAGTTCTGCGAATGGAGGGGTGTATATTGTCTTTGTAGGTGTTGTAATTGTCAGACGACCAACACATCCATTGTCAGTCATATCAAATTTCTTTGGAATCTTAATCATTTCACTGCGGACAACAAAGAGGAAATCAGTCTTTTTCAATTCGACCACGCAGTACTGTGGCGATACACACGTAAAGAAGCCAAACGTGTAGTATTTATTCACTTCAAACAAAGCAATTGGTGCTTTCCCGATTATCGCCTCATTGAATACCTGGATGGGATGTTTGTCTTCGTCGTAAAAGGTTTTTGAGTCGTAAATGAGTTCCATCTGTTTATATGAAGTCCACTTCGAGAATGATGGGAGTGACGATTGCACCAAAAACAGTTCAGGGTCGTTTTCAAATATTTCAGCAATTGGTTCAACTCTGGGTTCTTCGTGTTGTATATGACTTGTCTGGACTGTTTTTTTGTGAACGTCCAATGTTTCTTGTTGAGGGTCACACTGGATACCAAAGGTAGTGTTTTGTTTTGAGAGTACAATAGGACTTGGTAATGTGTACAGTGGTGACCTTTCGAGTAAAGTGTTTTGAAAGCTTTTTTGTTGTAAGTTAGTGCGTTGTGAAGTAAAAGTTGGTATGAGGGACGTTTTCGACGAACTTGAATTTGAATTGGTGCGGACAAGTGTCATTACCTCAGTCATGAAACTATCCAAAACGTCTTTAAGCACGTTAGCGGAGATAGTTTCGTTGTGCAAGAGGTTTATGCCAAATAGATTAATAGTGGTTTGGTTCATCTTTTGTATTAAGTTTTACTTGAATTATTTAAGTGGGTCTTCTTATGTTTCCAAAACGTCTTGAGTTGTTCTTATAAAATAATATTTTAAATTAAAATATTATATTAAATAACATTTCGAGTTAAGAATGAATTAACGAAAGATTGAATCTTATACAATTTTATTACATCGTTAATAAATATTATTATTAATATTTAATAAAATAGTTTTTTGTTTAACCATGTTTTATTCTTCTCGGAATTTGTGTTTTAAAAGCATATTTATTGATTTCTTCTATTGATATTATAACAATTTTCAAATAATGGTTTTTTATACAATAAGTTACTTTCAATTAAATAGTTATATTTATGAGGTTTTGTTAATTTTTATTTTGTCGCTTTTGGGTAATTTAAAATAAATAAATATAAATAAATATACTTGGTTAATCATCATTCAAACAATGTTGTTATAATCTAATACGATATAATTATAAAATATAATAACAATACTATATATTAATTGTATAGTATTGTAATTGAATTTGGTAAATAAAACCAAAACCATCGAACGTGAAGGACAACGCTTTAATTCATTAAATCAACAAATCATTGTTTGCGTTGAATGACACACTCAGTCCATCCGTTATAATTTTGAAGAAGAAATTTAAAAATGGCAGAGCTTTTTGTTTGTTGTAACATCTAAATAGGGGTGGTGTAATTCTCCTTACAATGGTCCCGACTTCCTCTCCAAGTTCCACCATTTTTTGCGCGAACGAACACAAATAGACAAACAAATTTCTGTTGTCATCGGGTATAATATATTTCACATGTGTTATTAGACACTTTACACTCACTTCTTCACTATATTGACTCCCGTCACAATGCAACACGGAGTCATGCAATCCAGACAAAAACAATAACAGACCATCACAAAACAACTGGACGGGTCCTTCTGGGAATTCATTTTCAGTGTCGAGCGCATTGACAAATTGGCTCATTTGTTTCTTAGAATACATACAAAGGGGTGTCTCCTCAAAGCATCCTTTTGAATATTTCTTCAGGATTCTATCGACAATTCTGTACAATTCCTTTGGTATAAAAAATGGGGGTTTGTTCATCTCATGTATTAGGTTACCAATTAATGGTTTTGGCATGCGGTTTAAGCTTTCAAGACGCATCCCAATAACACTCACCTTCGTTTTTACACGCACTACAAACGATATCTTTTCCTCTTCACCAAGACTTACATATATCTTTTTCAAGAGCTTGTTTCGGTCTTGATTCATCCAAGCTATGCTCTTGTCAATACAAACTGACAACTTTAACACCACTGAATTTTTCCCTTCAAAAACGTCCAACACTCCACTACACGGACTGATTGTAAGCCAATCTTGGTTATATTCACAATATTCACATCCTTCTATCTCATACACAACACGAAACTTACCAACGTTCTTAAGTGTAACTGTCTGAGTATATGTCGTAAATAACTCAACATCTTCAAATTGAATTTCACTTGGTTCTGAAACGACTTTCGCAACTGTAATTTCTTTGTATCGCTTCTCACTTTCAGCTCTGTACTGTATAACTTCATCACATCTCTCTTTATTCACTCTGTGAAGGTCTAATGTAATCAGTGAAGAAACAGGTTTGTGGTCGCTCGTGAAAATTTCATAAGAGTTATACTTCTGCGTCTCAGCAAAGTGGCAGTTCTCCGTTTTCCAAAGCACTCGATCGCACCACGACGGAATTCTATTTTCGACATATTCGCAACTTTCCTTTCCAATTTCGACTTTAAAAGTT